TAGTACAAGGACGAGTCCGTCTTGGCCCATGACACTCCGTTGACAATGGCAGCGATGAGACACATGAAGAAGAGGATGACAAAATTGCAGATGACGCTGAAGTTCATCTCGCGCGCGATCCTCGAACGCTTGGTCGGCGTGATGCCGGCGTTCTGCATGATCTTGGTGTCGTGTCCGGTGAACACCACCACGCCCAGCACCCACTCGGTGTTCCTCAAATTGCAGCCGCGCAGGAGCATGTTGTCGATGGTAATGGGCTCCGTCATGTCCTCGGGCTCGCCGCTGAGCTCAGGGATGGCCTGCTGCCACTTGATGGCACCGTTGTACTTGTACAGGTTCGGCTGCGGGGGTTCACTCTCGATCCTGAACTCGGCCCTTTCGCAGTCGCGCGCGTGTTTGAGAGGCCGTCCGCAGCGTACGGCCTGGCGTACCTTGAGATTGGTCTCGCCATCCAGGTTCTTGGTCTCAACATAGCAAGCACCATCGGGGTCGGATGTGGAGAGGATGATGATGTCGGCCGGCATCTCGTCATCGCTATACAAACGCACAAAGTCGCCCACGTTGATGCTTTTCCAGGTGTCCTTCTTGAAACGAGCGCCTTGCACTGGTCGCTGGTAGTTGATGACGTCGCTCGTGAGATTCTGCAGGGCCTGCACGCGCCGCGCGTCTTCGTCTTCTGGCAACTGGATGCGAATGTGCGGCGTGGAGGGGGAGGGCACAGGAGTCATCTGGATATCATTGGCGGCAGAGTGGAAGGAATCGCGGTTGCCAAAGGGCGAGGCTAGCGAGTCACGAATGTTCCTCTTGGTCCGCTGTGTCTCGATGGACGCGCGGGGCTCCTCTTCGGGCGGCGCAAGCTTGAGCTGCTTGCGGCGAACTCTCTCCTCCTTTGCCTTCTTGGACCACAGGCTTTGGATAGCCCGCCAGATGCCGCCAAAGAAGGTGGACGTGGCCTTTTTGAACTGACGCCATAGGCCAACCTGATCGTCCGACACATTGACGTTGGTCCAGTGAACAAGGCGATGCACAGTGGCGTTGTTGAGCTCGATATCGAGGACTGTTCGGCGGTAGTCCTCAATGGCATCTTTGATCGCAGTCACCACGACGATAAAGATCAGTGGGACGGAATTGAGTCCTGGGTTCTCGCCACCAAAAATGGGAAAGAACTAAGAGAGGGATGAGTTAGTCGCGGGCGTGCGTGGTCTCGCTTGGACAATTGAAATACGCACCACCAGGATGACGAGGAATAGGAAGAACACATTGGCAATGTTGTGGAATTGAAACCACAGGTTCTTCGGGATAAACGATAGCGGCGTGTATTTGGCGGTGCGGATCTTGTTTCGAGGATATGTCAGGATGGGGTTGCCTTCCTCGTCCTTGAGATGGTCGGGTAGGGGAATGTTGAAAAAGACGGTCCTGTTAGTCGCCTCGTCCTCGTCCTCTTCCTCGCCTTCGTCACCCGCCGACGCAGCCTGATTTTGGGCCTCGGGGTCTCGCTGATCGCCGTCGTTCTTCTCGTTCGCCGCCCTTGTTTTCGCTTGCCGATCGAACAAGGCTTTGCGTTTTGAACCTCCACTCTTGATCGTCATCCTCCGCGTGGCCCATCTTGATCGCTGTGTTCCCAAGTCTGTATGCTCTAAGGCGTCTGGGTCTACCGTGGCCGAAGCAGGGTGGAGTGAGTTGGTCATGTCGTCGGCTCTCGAGGACTCGAGGGGGCAGTGTGTGGTGAGTAGGTCGCGGGCAAGCGCCCGTTCAGCCCCGAGTTGTCAGCCAGAATGCGAGGTTGCTGTCGTGCCGTGCTCGCAAAAGAGATCGTGGATACCGCGATGCTTCGAGAACGGAGGCGGATAGCCCGTGGTAGGGGGGACGAAGCACCGTGAGTCCAGAGGTGGTGGATGATGCACGGTAATGTCGCGCGATGTGAAAGAAAGAAACGTCTTGTTTCTCGCTGCTGTGTCGTCGGCCAGCGATGAGCGGCGTTGTGGGAAACTCGGGGATCCGAATCCGTGAGGGTAGACGGACAGCGCGGCTGGTTGCTGAAGGGGGAAAAGTTGGGACTGGACTGGACGCGGGATGGTTGGATGGATGGATGGAGAGGATGGATATTGAGAGTGGTGACAATGAATGGCGGGCAGGCTGGCTGGCCACTCTGGCTTACGCCTCACAGAGGGCGAGGAAGGGGTATCCGCACGGGACTGGGGCGGCAGGGTGGAGTACTGTACGTACAGGCTATCTTTCCGTGCCCACAGCGGACTCCGGCCCTGTGAATGGCCCCTATGCTGGGTCGTTCAGGCCATTTGTCGACAGGCCCGGTTCCCGGACCTTCCGACCCAAAGGTCTCTTAGGCGTCCTGCACGCCGCTATAATAATAACTGTGCTGTCAACAGCGACTGGACATGGACTGGACTTCCAGTGAATACAACTGGGAACACTGAGAGCGCTGATTGATTCATAAGCAGGCCGCTGGGTTTAAAATGCCGCCCCATGTCCATGTCGCCTTCAAAAGCCACCTCCCGTCACGGCGTCACCCATCCATCCATTTTCCATAATAGAAGCTCGGGCTGCATTTCAGAGGCGGGCTAGTCGGCCAAATCGGTCACCACTGACTCGGACCCCTAGATTTTAGCCCACCGCCAGCCAGAGCCTCAACTCTGGGCTACGTACTATTAAAAATTGTGGTGTATATCGACCGTCAACAGCCTACGTGTAGGCTGGTCAGGAGAGCATCATCAGCACTCGTCCAGCATCTGCAGTGCGTAATTAGGGGTCGATGATCGTGGATGCGTTCCACGCTGCCATGCAGGCTTCGCCACAGCCAATTTCGACTGCGTATCAATCTTGTCGTTTCAAGGTCCAGTCCGGCGCTGGCGTCAATGGCCCCGGGCTCAAATCCAACGAACTGCCCCTTTATTTCATTACTCTCCGCAATCCCATCTGTCTATCCGTATCCGTACTGCACAGAGGAATGAGCAAAGCTCACGTCTTGCAACACACAGAAAACACTGACAAGCGCTGACATGGCGCTCGGTCTGCTGACAATTCCCGTCCTCCCTCGAGTCGAACTGGGCTCCCATTAATAATCACCTATAAAGCAGCGTCTGCCGTCATGCGGGCCCGCTAGTCTAGTCTAGCTCGTGCTGACATTGTCAGAAGCCGGGCGCACTGTTTTTTAATGCCGAACAAGCAGGTAATAGGTCCCTTAACTCCAGCCTCGCCACAACGCATTGATGAAGCAGAGCACAGCATTACGTCGCGCCTGCGCGCGTGTTTCATTCCACGCTCAGCTTATAGAAATGAAGCGACTTGCAATCGTGGCCAGCGAGCCCTCTACACTTGCAATGCATTTCAATGCCCTTTCCAGCTCCAAAAGTACTGGCAAGAGCCCGTCGTTCGTGCCTCGCGTTTCGCGGTGTCTCCATCGTGGGCATTCGGGGTCCCGAGGGGCCCGACGCACTTTTGAACGTGGTGAGAGGCCCGACTTGCGTGAAATCCGTATGGATAAATTGCATTTGCATCCACCGTCGGCGTGCATTAATTAATCTGTACGTCTACCTTGTGCCAACAGTCCAACAATGAGGCTGTCTGGATTTTCAGTTGTTATCAAGCTCACTGGCTTTCCCGTCCCAAGTGGCTGGCCTCCTGGGTCCTGAGGAATGCCACATGCCTTCACTAGCAATGCTCCCCACAACTTCACAAGACATTGGAGAGTTCTGCAGTCGTCTGCAATGTAACGATATTGCTGATCAACGCTGCGTGTTTACAAAAAATACCTTGTAGAAATGGTGGGGCTCGTCGCACACTCCACGGCGACTCCAGTCTCCAGTTCCTTGACCTTCCTGCAGGCTGCAGTTGCACCGCACTGTATCCCGGTAATTGTCACACCTGGCCTCCGTCCTCCCCTTTTTGGCTGTCCAGCATCCAGAGTGGGATGAGAGTGCGGTTGGATTGACGGTGTAACGGCATGTTGACGAATTCCACCGCCTAGCATTCACTGCCACAATCAGCCCTACACGGCGTCGCAAATCAAATCTCAGCATGATCAAAACATCAACAAGGCTCGGGGGTTGACCCCTTTCTTGCTGGTCCGAGCATGACATTTCGGCGTTGACAAATCCGCCGTTGTAAAGAAAGATCGGCCCTCGTGTGATGATACGTATGCAGATCCCCTACTCCTGTCGCAGACTCGAAGCATCCTACAGTATCCTCCCGCCGATCGCAGATCCGCAGAAAGGACAATCAATGGTTGAAGAATGCTGCGACACGGATCTGTGTGTATGAGCGTCACTGAGCCTCCCTCCAGGCGACCGCAGCACACAACCTCTATATCCCTCGACCCTCAAAGTGTGCAAAGCTGTTACCCCATCAAATTCCGCACGCGACCACTATGTTCTGAGATCATCGTGATTCTAGAGCGCCAAGCTTACACTGCGCCAATGGTGATTGGAGATTATCCCTGTCTATGCCTGTCTCAGGGGAAATAAGCTTCGCGGGTAAATCTACCTCGTCTCTAAAAGGGTGGCCTACCCTACGGACTAAAGGCGGTCACCTTTTTTCACCACCACCTCTGTAATGCATGCCTAGTCGAGAACGGCTTGATGAGGTACTAGAGCCGAGCTCTTCACGGAGTCACAATATCTTCGGCCGCAATTGTGGGTTGCATATTTTAGTGTCCCAGCTACATGTCATGTCAACTTTGACTCACCACAGCCCGTCCCAAAGTCCACGTACACATACATACACGAGAATCGTGTCATGCTATACGTTGCCCACAATTATCGGCCGCAGCAGCCTGACGGGTGATCACTCGGTAGCGCGGTGTCCCCTTTTCAAGGATGGTATCCGGAAAGTGACAAGCCATTGCCCGTGACGTCCCATGAGTCTGAGCTTACTGTTACGACAACACACTAGTCTAGTAGTTCACATAACACACCTAAGCAAGCATTACACACAGATCTATGAACACCTCAAACTGTATTCAGCGAGTGTAGATAGCCAATCGATCACCAAGCCGCTGTAGCCTGAGGCTGCTGCTCGACAGGGGCAGAGGTTGTCGTACCCCAGGCATCGCCTCCAGCAGAGGTACCATTGTCGGCACCAAAAGCACCTCCTGTATCGTTGTTGCTGGTACCGCCTGCTTCGCCTCCCCATGCGCCACCTCCAGCACCACCATCTGCTTCGTCGCCGGCCTGCGCTTCGGTCTCGTCAAAGTCAGATTCGGTCTCAAACTTGACAGTTTCCTTCGTGATGCTGTCGGGAAGGTAGTCTTGAAGGAACTCGGGAATGTCCTGGCCAGCTTCAACAAGGGTGCGAGCCAACACGTCGGCGATGGGCTCGTCCCTATCACCGAAGAAAGATGTTGCCAATCCGTTGCGGCCAATGCGACCTGTGCGACCTGGTATTGATTAGCTTCTGGTCCGAGTACACTATCACAAAAACTTACCAATGCGATGCGTGTATTCTTCGATGCCGCCATAGTCCATGCTGGGCAATTCCTAGTTGATCACATGTTGAACGTTGTGGACATCGATGCCACGAGCAGCCACACCTGTGGCTACGAGAATGGGGGCGTTTCCAGAGCGGAAGCGACGCATCGCGAATTCACGGTCGAGCTGCGACCGTTGGCTCGTGATAGAGACCACGGGATATCCCTTGTGGAAGAGGAAATCCTCAACGTGATCGACAGAGAAATGCGAGTTGCAGAAGATGATCGTTCGTACGCCAGTGATGGCGTCGAGAAGCGCCAGCAAGTTGGCGTGCTTCTCTTCCTTTCGAACCTCGATGATGCGCTGGCGAATGTTGGCCGTTGTGCTGCCAGCGCGACCAACTCGGAACCTGACGTGGTCTTCGGCTAGATACTCTTTGGCCAGGTCCCGGGCCGCCTTGGGGAACGTCGCAGAGAACATAACGTAGCGCATGGCGCCAAGCTGTTGCTGTGCGTTCAAGATAGGGTTGAGCTCATCGTGCCAATCGTCATGAAGCATCTCATCAGCTTCATCAATAACCACGTACTTGAGGCGGTGGAGACTTAAGGTACGATCAGCGCGCACCACAAAGTCCTTCAGACGTCCAGGGGTACCAATGAGGATGTCACAACCGCGGCTGAGAAGCTCCCGCTGGGCGCTCATGGTACCACCGCCGTAGACAACGGCCGGGCGGAGCATGGAGCGGTAACAGAACTTGCGAGCTTCGTTGAAGATTTGGATGGCAAGCTCTCGCGTTGGCACAATGATGAGAACCAGAGGTTCAGCAGTCACGGCCATTTGTGAAGTCGGATCGGGACGAACACCCGCCCACTTTTTCGCCTTGCCCATGAGTTTGCTCAGGATGGGAATCATGTAGGCTGCAGTCTTGCCAGAACCTGGAGAAACGTTAGTCTGGTTGGTATACAGAGAGGAGATATCGAGATACACATACCGGTCTGTGCAATGCCAATCACGTCGTTGTTCAAGACAATGGCAGGGATCGCATACTGCTGGATGGGTGTCGGGTCCTTGTAACCCGCCATCGCGATGTTTTCAAGCATCGCAGGATGCAGACCAGCGTCAGCAAACTTAGCGACTGGCTTGATTTGGGTAGGTCCCTCTTGGATCACAGCGACCTCCGATACCCTGCATGCGTTAGTTGGTCCTGGGAAGAGCTGAAGAGATTCACTTGGCATAGTCAATACCGTCAAGACCACGGTCAACCTCAGGTCCGAAGAGATCATGTTCCAGACTTTGGTCGCGAGGACCGACGTCACCGTACTCTTCGCACCACTTGTATACACATGCTTCGGCCGCAGATACATGAGCTGAGGCGTCCAAAGGGACGTCAGGCACGGTCCAACCAGCGGCAGCAGGAGCATCAGTGGTGGGCAGCGCTGACAGGCCGTGGTGGGTGTCTTCATAATCGCCGTTGGTAGACATTGTGCGTGAAGTGAGTGACTTTGCTCGGAGAAGGAGTAGAAAGGTCGGATGCTGACGAAGTGGTACAAGAAAAGGTCAGGAAGGTGGTGATGAGGAGAGAAGACTTTGACGAGGGGAGGGGGATTTATATAAGCGAGAAGGGCCCATGCACGCGTACCTGCCTTGGAAGTAAACAGCAAAAGGCATGTTTATAGCGCAGGCCAACAGTATCAGTGAACGAGGCTCTCGTCTGATGTGATCTAAACTTGAGCGGATTCACAGGAGATCACGGAAGCTAGAGCGGGGTAGAACTCGAGGGATTCCTACATCGGAGGGAAGAGAATGCAAGAACTGAATCTTAGATCCTTCAGGTGGCGTCTTCAGAGCAAAAGTACGCTTGGAGAGGGCTGGGGATGGTCAGAAGTGCGAAGGCCATATTGGTTGGACACTCCTTAAGGACAGACCGACACCACCACCACTGTCTCTCAAAGAACAGGGACCACTTGGGATCATAACGCCACTGTCCTGAGAGACTTGCAGAGACCAGAGGTGTTTTCAAGTGTCTACTTACGTTCATTAGCAACCATAAATAATAGTGATGTCGCAGGGGGTATGAAAGACCTAGCACCGCAAAACAAAGCTTTGCCCAGGAGAGTGGAGTAGAGAAAAGAATGCCATGGCTTGAAGGCCCCGAACCCTTCTTTGCCAACGCAGCCTAGAGGACAAGCGGTGATATGCAACTGCCCGGACGCGCATTAAGGCAAATAGGATGGTGAAGTGTCGTGTAGTTGGCCCATGAGGCACTATGCGCTTGATTGTAGCCAATATGGCGTCGAAGAGACAGTTGATGGACAATCCCAAACACCGCCATGGCAAGACTTTCGGTATTCTGACTTTTTGGGCAACATACAAGCCCTCTGGTGCATGGTCTTCTAGGGTTTAGTCGAGCACACCATTGCCAAGAGGAATCGTTCACATCCACAACACAGCTGGAGCCAAAGGTTGTCACCATAAGTCTAGGAGATCTTCCGTATCCATGGCACCCAGAGGTTCATAGTCCCCCATGCCCATGTCGCTTCTCAGGAGCTGATCCAATCCCGCCGCAGCTCTGCCAGACGTGCCGCCCTCCTTTTTGGCCGCTTCAACACCCTTCACAATATGTGATAAGAATCTTCGATGGAACACCCTTTGCCTTGACTCTCGGTCCGCATACATCTCGCCATCCTCATCCCTGCGCATGCCCGTCAGATTGAGATATGCAAAGGCATTGGGGTCGCGAGGTAATCGATAGAGATGATCCCAGTCGCCTTCGTCCTCTGCCACAGCCTCTTCTGGAACGAAACCCGCCGCGAGAAACTTGGCAAGAATATCAATAGCGCGCGACTGATTGATCGAAGCTTTGCCTCCTCGTACGGCGGCACCCCGTCCTCCAGACGACCAGCCGTCCTTCCCTGCAGCCGCAGACCAACCAAGAGTGGCGCAAAAGGTGTTCAGCGTCTTGATCCAGCCTCCCGGGCATGAAACCACATCGACATCTGCAGCATTGAGGAGCCACTCCATGAAGTTCAGCGCATCGTTGCTGATGTCGGCAGAGAGATGTGTCAAGCCGGCCCTGATGAACATGGTCGCCTGCTCCACGGCGTACCGTACTTGCTCGCCCGGCAATTGCTCGAAGAGTTTGAGCAACTGCTTCCTCACCGGAGTAGAGCTGTCTGTTATCAAGGGGAGGAGTTTGACGAGGAGGGTGTGCGTGCCAACGGGGTTCACCGGCGGTTGCTGGCTCAGTTGACCAGTCAGATGCGCCAATCCTTCTTGTCGTTGTTTGTCCGATTTTGAGGATGATGCCACGGACAGACTGTGCTTGAATTGTTGGATCACATCGGGTGCAGTTGTGGAGAGGGACTGCTGCCCCATGACAATTGCTGTCAACGGTCAGTTTGAGATGAGATCACAAGTTGAAGATGGAGCTCACATTTGGCCTTGAAACTGGTATCGGTGACATTGGAGGCTTTGGGCTTTGCTTTGCCGACCTTGTATTTAGGTTTCTGAATTGAACAGTCAGGTTGCTTCTCTTGAGATGGACGGTAAACTCACCTGAAAGTCCGCCTTCTTCTCCTTCTTCCTCTTGGCACTTTTCCCCATGGTGACTGTTGGGCAACTCTATCAATGTTCCTGGAAAGTACTGAGATACTGTATGACAAGATCAAATGCCTGATAGCGTTTAAACAGCACAGCCAGCATATACTGGGCTAGAATGATTTTGCCTGATGTACGTGAGGATACAAGATGCTGTCGCTGTCGGCCTAAATTTTAGCGGTGTAATGTGGCAGAATCGTTCTTGACGTGGGGGACGGGACGGATCCCCATTGAAACGTAACGCGACTTGAGAACGGGAACCGCTGCTTCCACACCAGCCACGTCCACCGTTCGTATTGCAAACCCTCTTGTGTCGAAGCTACGATCTACGAACCTCGCATATTCATGATGGCCGACCCCTCGTTGGTGAGCGAACAACCGAACCCTTCGTCGCAACACCGTTGGCTCACCTAGAGACAAAGACGAATGGCAGAGCCGCGTTGGATGAAATGCTCGGCCGCCTCTCTAGGAAGCCCGGCTTCAAGGCCAGCATTGTGCTCGATCGGACGACAGGCTCTATCATAAAGACAACCGGCGATCTTTCTGCCTTGCGAACATCCAAGTCTCGAGACGAAGCGACGGCTGCATCCTTTTCAAACGAGGCACCCGCGGCCGAAGAGAGCGAGTCCAAGGGCATCGAGGATTTCGCTGCCATGGTATGGAATTATGTCAATAGCTCCGGGCAACTTGTACAAGAAATGGACACAGACGTGAGTATTGAAGTCTCTGACCATTAGCACGTTGTTGAGATTATGGCCAGGACGAGCTGAAGCTCCTACGACTGCGGACGAAAAAGCAGGAAATCATGATTGTCCCGTACCCGAAATACATCCACACGGTCATCCACGACACGCCACCCGCATGATGGAGTTTGACTCTTTCTTTCACTCCCCGCGTAGAAGTTCCCCAGCTGCCAAGGGGAACTATCGTACAGCCTCGCCTGAAATACCGACACCTGGATGGGCATCAATCTAGCACGGGCCCAGCCACTCAAATCCGCTCAGTCAAAGGGTAGACTGACCTTACCGATTGCCCGGTGTTGGAGGAGCCGGCACTCAAACATGGTCGCACGACGCAACAAAACAGCGACAGTGGTGTCAGTGTCGGCGTACACGAGGCGGTTTAATCAAGCGAGCAACATGACCGAGATGCACTGTTTGTTTTTCAAGATACCCTGAATCAAGATACTATAACAGATATCATGGATGGCGAAGGAAGCAGCAGCGTCATGGCACAACTGCGGTTGTACCCCCCTGGTTGGTTTCGAGACCCTGCGATAATTGGCAATCAAGATCCAAGTTTCTGGCGATTGCGTCAAGGTGCGTAGATCTCGCAGCAAACCGCAAGCCACCTTGTGCCTTGTTCCACGCGGAAATTGTGGATTGCGCATAGATCATTGATGATTATACAACGCGGGCCGTCCATATGTACAAGCGTCCCTCCTGGTAAAACGAGTCGTGGGCTCGTCTCTACGCTCTGTACTGTCCATCTGTCGCCAGCCAAAGCCCGAGAATCCCCACCGAAATCAGCGCTTCCGAATCCGAATTGGCGAATCGATACCTGCTGCGGCCCGTGATACCGGCAGCCTTGGCGGAGTAGCGGTTCCTCTAAGCCTCGGGTCGCGTTTTGGGGATGGCCTCACTCTGGAGGCGGCGCTCTAGGTTAGCGAGGAAGTCAACCTCGAGCCATCACTCCCAAGGTGGAAACGATCAAATCGGAAGCCAAGACGATACGAGACCACGACGAAGGTCTATCCAGCAACTTTGGGAGGGGCTTATCCACCAGCGGAACTTGAAGCGGGGAAGCCCGAGCTCTCCAACTCCAGAAGCGGCTATCAGTGCCATTCCAGGGACCTCTGATGCCGTAATTGTTACTGTGAGACCATTTCCCTTTTATTCTACCCACCCGACATCTACTTCGACTCGCTTTTCGAGTTGAGGAAATTGGCCTCGGTCTCCCCAAACTTGCAAAGACTAGGTCATCCGCTTGACACTGAGGAGGGCACTTATTGCGTGGTGCCTGTTTCCTACACGATCAGCTCGGCCCAGCTGCGAGTGGGTGGGTCACGAGGGCATCACTGGCTCTCGGCTCTCAACAACGAACCACTTCTTTCATTCAAGGGTCCTTCAATACAGCGCATTGAGTCTTGGACTTCAATTTCTTGAAAGTCCCTTTCCTCACAATCGCGCTTCCAATTCCTGGCTCTAACGTGTGCGACTCAGACTCCAACATCCACAGCGCCACCCCCGCCATCGTCATACTCACCAAACAACCCACTGCCCACACTTTCTCCATCAGGCGAGGTCATCGACACGCCAAGCTCCAGCCCAGTCGACGATACCGCGTCCAATGCCCTGCCCATCGGGGCAGTGATCAGACCTGACGGCACCATGGCAACGACGCTCGACGAGAATGACATTGAGAAGCTCTTCTCCGGCGCTCCTCAATTCTATTGCCGCACAGAGAGCTACTTCCCAGGCGCGCCTCATCCGAGTGTCGCGTTTCCTTTTGACGAGGAGGTAGAGATCAGAGATTTGACTGACCATGTTCAAATCGAAGACAAGGCCTGGAGCGGGGTGACGGCGTGGCCGCACCTGACAAGAGATCTCAACCATGATGCAGCCGCCAGGAAATCAGCCGAGAGCCGCACCAAGGCGCATTTCCATGTACGATGTCGCGAGAGACCCAACATGCTGAGCATGCAGGGGCTAGAGAAGGGCACAATGGGCTTCCAGGCTGCGCTTGAACTGCCGGTGGGTGACTCACTGGAAGAGGAGCAGTTTGGCTTTGAGAGCGTCGGCACCAAGGCCAAGGTTATTGTCGACGCCCGTGCACGGATGCTGGCTCACTCCGGCTGGCTGAGGCGGCTTCCAGAACCAGAGATTATGCATCGACTGGAGAGGAATGGGGAGATTTATCGGAACAACGACATGCGGAAAAGACCGTCCGTCGAAACGTACAACGATCTCTTTCAAAGCTTCATGAGACCATCCGCGACACCGCTAGACAAGCGAGATCATTACAGTCTGATCAATCAAATCAACGCCCTCGTCAAGTGTCTGGCCACAGCCAATGTCTGGATCGACCTCTCGAGGGTCGAGTGGCGCATACGCCTGGGTCAAGTGCTCTGGGGCCAGTCTGGGGGCGATGAGCTGGATGATGCTACTGACATTCAAGATGCCGCTAGCGCGAGTGAGAGAGCAGAAGAAAAATATTGGCTTCTCATGCAGGTTCTTGTGTCGACCGAACTACTCATCCGCCTGGACGCCATTACGGAGGGCGAGGTCAATGGTGTCGAGTACTTTCGGCCTGTAGACGGGCTATACTTTGAAAGACAGGCAAACCAATCTGTCAAGTGGTCCATCCTCCTGGCCCGCAGTTGGCTGGACAACATTGAGCTGGTGAAACAAGAGGCCGGTCCCGGCGAACAAGTCGATCCCCTGAAACAAAATGGAGGCTGGCTGGCATCGCTGGTTAGCAAAATGACCCTGAAGCATTCCGACGAATCTCTGAAACCTGGATACCACTATACAACTAAGGGCCGAAACGGCCATCGGCAGGTCGATGGTCTCACTCACTTCGCTAGGAAGCTACACTGGCCCGGCATCGACGCATACGAATCTCGCATCTCGGTGAACGCTGAGAACACAGGCGACCTAACACCGACTACAATGGGCACACCAGGGACGCTGCACAGCATCGCTACCACGGGATCGTCATACTTTGGGGCATGGGACGTCACAAGTCACCATGGGCAACAGCATCACGCACAAAAGGTGCAAGCGCAGCGAAGGAAGATGGCTGCCGCGTTACATGCCTCTGGGTGGTTGTCCAAGTCGTACATCTTTGCTCTCATGCTGCCTGGCGAAGCGCTCTCGCACTTTCTCATGTCAACGTTGTTGGAGAACGACCAGGAGGCTATGGGCACTCTGGGATCGTTTGCCAATCTGTGTGGAGGCTTTGTGTATCGGGGCAAGAGTTTCTGGAGCACGTCATGCATCGTGGGGCGCGTGCTTGCTGCAGGCGTGGGGGCAGCAGAGTGCATGGGGTGGATATCGACCGACATCGTGCCCGACAGCACATCGGATGGCTGGCTCAACATTGAAGCTGAGGACGTGCCAGATGACCTTCAACGCCTGGGCAAGAAAGCGAGGATCTGGGGCAAGAAACGCATCGAGCGAGACTCGTACATTCTCGGTGACGCAGACGAGAGCAACCTCGAGCCTGGCGACTTCACGATGCCGCACGAAAACAACTACGAACAACGACCAGCAGCCGCTGCCATTGAGTTGCGGTCTTTCAAGTTGCTTCGCTCGGTGGAGGCGGTCCATCCGTCGCCCCTCAGCGAGTTCACCGGCACCCCGTTGACAGAGTCCACTGCGGCGCCTGACTTGCCCTCCTATCCTGCCAAACTGATATTCTCCGTCTCAATCGGCGGGGGGCGAAGCGAGGATTTTACGTTCCCGCTGACGTACGACATTAGCTTTGTGACGGCGCATCCATGCTCGCCTTCGCGAAAGGTGCGGTTCGTAAAGTCGCCGTCAAGTCCGACGATTCAGCAAATTGACGTGTCGGGCAAGAACATGCTCGGCGGCGCCTCGAGATCAGTCTACAGGGCTGGTAGGTCTACAGGTCACTTGGTGTGGTGACAAGCTAACAACAGCCTAGGTCATCCCTTGCACAAATCGTACCACTACTCCGTGGTGCACATATCGGAGCTCATCAAGAAACGAGGGCACCCGCTCATTGATTTCCTGGGTCCCTCGCCGCAGAAAAACCCCAAGGCAAACGACAATCGTGTCCTGGTGATCGATTGCATCACGAATTACGCCGAGCCACCACCTCCCTCACCTGTTGTTACCCGCGTGGAGTCGGGAGGCTCTGCTTCCTTGCCTTCTTTCGGACGTAGGGGCAGCTTGCCGGACAAGATGCATCTCGAATGTCGCCGGCGACAGTTTGGGTCCGACATGGAGATTCTCGTGAGAGCCTTGTGCGCGCAGATGGGCTGGAACGCGCTCATCAGCAGGCGGAAGAGGGGTTGTTTGGCATGCACGATCCGCGAGGCGTGCGCATTGGGCTGGAGAGTGATTGTCAGAGTCGAGTGAGGGAACGGCTCGCTTGTACACAAGAACGAGAACGATGATGATGAAGATGCTTGATGACTGGCGTGCTGGGACAGCAAAATATCACTTGGAAGGATCGTTTGGCCCCGATGGAGGGTCCCAAAATATCTGCCATTGGGGTCATATGGTTATAGTATAGCATTGAAATCGAAAATATGACTCAGACGAGCGCGTTTTGAGACTGCGTTGTGGAAGAGGCGAATGAGGTGAGCGACGAGGTCAAGAGATGCTGCCAAGACCCAATGTCCGCAAGCAGGCTAGCGCCCATTGGACCCCATCTCCAGTCCCCAGACTTCGAGTCGCCATCCATCTTCGCGCCATTATCGCCTACGCCTCTACAGCTCTACTCCCCCGACCGATTCCGTTCCCTCGCAGCAACCGACACAATGGCGCCAACAAAGGATCTCCGTCGCGAAGACCTCAGTACGTTTCCCCTCCACGGTTCCACCACCTCAACACACACCAACCCGCGCCAGCGCGAGCGCGACCTCCATACAGGGACAGATTGCTAACACGCGCGTGCGATAGTCATCCCTTACCAGGAACCCAAGGCCAGCGGGGAAGCCGACGTGTCCTCCTCAATGGCCTCGACGCTGCCCATGGCGGCCATGTTCATGCGCAACAAGGTGATTGGATGGTACGCCGCCTCGCCCGACCCCGACGCAGCCCCTCGATCGATACATTCATACCACGAAGCGAGCACACGAGGGCTACTACTATAAGGGAATCTATACTGACGAGGGAATAGGGTTGCTGTCGTTGTGGCGATCCAGAACTGGCTCGGCGAGAGCTCGTCGCAGAAGAAGAATGCGGCCATGCCGGGTTACTTGTCTGTCCTCATGTCGCGTACGTATCCATTCCGATGCTGGTCGTCAGGACGAGCGCTAACGAATTGGTGGGACACAGTCGGTGCGCTCATGACATCGTATATGCATCTGGTCATCCCTCAGCCGGGGCAGAAATAGCGAACGGTTGCGAATAGGGAAACATGGGTTGGGTCTTTTGTATGTACGGCGGCGAGATACCTCTGATGAATCGGCAAAGCTGTTCGGACTGCTTTGTCTTCCGATTGAGTCTCTACAGTGTGAGGCTGCGGTATGGCCCTGGGAGAGCATTGAGATGATGTTCGAATAGCATGCTCAAGGTATGTCGAATCATCACGCGTGTTGGGTGCCGTTTGGTGGTGGTCTTTAGACTGAGGCACGGAATGGCACGCTGCAACAAGCTTGCAACCAATCTGTTCAATTGTACTTTGATGTACGCGCTTGAAACGGCCACTCTGACAGTCCGCTGACGATGGGGACGACCTCGACAGTGCGACATGCAGCAATGCTGCCTTCGCGTAGCTCCGTAGTGATGTTTCCGTTGATTAAATCTTGCGATTTCTTTCAAATGAGGTAATGTCAGATAATTAGCGCCCGGGAATTTTCTGACCTATGGGGCTGTCTTGGGTCGCGGCATTGTCTGGCATTGTGGTTGAATGTTGGAGGCCTGGTCCATCTGAAACCGACGATGAGACGCCAGCTGCACCAACCGTAGCGACTCCTGACCAGACCATCAACCTCTGCCTCATGATTGACATTCAATCTTTTCTCTCCAACATGCCTTCTCCATCAAATCCTATCTCTCATCCTGTCTGCCTGTTGTCCCTGAGCTGACTTTCAGCGAAGCACTGTTGACGTGCACCCAGTCATCTATAATCTGAACCTCATCGAAACTCCAACAACACATCACAGTTCAGCCCCACTGACATACATCATGAAGCTCGTCTCTCTTTCGCTCGCGGCAATTGGATTCGCACAGATGGCGCTGGGCGGCCTCGTCATCACTCCGATCGAAAGCGACCAAGTTGTCGAGAAAACCTCAGGAGACTGCTTCTATGGTGTCGTGACACCTCAAGGATGCGGGTGAGCACCAATTCGAGCAGTATCTTGGAGGTGACACGATGCTAATTCAAAGACAGACCTTTGAGACCTTCCTGAGATCAGAGAGGTGATTCATAGGACGATGTGACGGGCGGCTAGGAAGAAGCTGTCTATCTCCCACAAGATCGCTTCACGCTGCATCACTTGGCTTGACGACGGCCTGCCCCACCGAGGAACTGTGTTTCTAGACTCAATGACCTGATCTGTTCATGTGCGTTTTGACTATAAGAGAATCGCCCGCATCGGGCGTCGAGGCTGTGCCTCTTGTCTTCGGTTGCCATGGGGGGCCAGCGGAAGGGGGCCAATAGTCGAGAGCTCTCGCTCATAAGTGCAGCGGTGAGATACCTCGGATACCGCGAGGTACCAAAACCCAACGCCTCAAATCCAGTGGGATACATGCTGTCTGACCCCAGAAAACAGTTGGGACAGCAAAGGTGCCGAGGCCCAGGGGCCAAATGTCAGACATTAACACAAGCTCGAAGACTTTTACTTTTGCAAGCACCGAGCCAACGTGAGTCGTCATTTGTCTTTCTTTCTTTCTTTGGAGTAGAACGTAGATTTCCTCTGCCGAATCGTCCGTGTGCATTGATGGGACAAGCCATGTAGTGAGACCATGACCACATACCCATGGTCATTTGCCGCTTTCCGGACGAGAGGACGAGCATGGATCCGAGTCTATGATGAGCTCTTGATCCTTTTGCCCGAGGCTTTCGACAAAGACATTACATATCTTGGCCCCCTGGGTTCGTGTCGTTCGAGTGTCCACATACAACCAGGGAAAGCCCGACCGACAAAGACTATCTCGGCGCGTCCATCTACCCTGGTGTGCCAGTGGATATCTCAAATGATCATGCGGGGATTCTGAAAGTTCCCCATTCCCCCATGAGCAAGTACTACGTAGTAGTCATCCGTTGGGGTCGAATCGCCAAGGGTCGACACTCGACCCGTCCTGCCAATGACGGGTTCCAAGGAGCTGGGAAGTGGCGGTTTGTCATGTGCGTACCAAGATCACACCTGCATGTTCTAAGAGTCTGCGCCTTTGACAGGGCCTAGAACTTCCGCATGGCAATACAGGCTATATTGCGTGGGCGCAGCAGGCCACGAGCTCATGTCACGGTGGCGGGAGCTGTCTGGCATCAGTTTGTGCCTGCCTGTTTAATGCTGGTACGCGGCTTCTTGATGGGCGTTATAAACTGTGAGATATCCATTGTGAAATCCACGTACTGCCGGATGTTTATTTCAATGATATATGCCGTGTGTTGTCGCAGACTGTTCCAACGATGCGCGAATACATGTGTTTATGCAAGACACGAAAATCACTTGTGCCGTACGGAGTACCATTGCAAGCCATGTGCAACAGAATCGGTGTGAGTGTTTCGATAGCTGCCTTTTCCTTCACCGACTGTCATTCCCCAAATCCGTTTGCAGTTAGAAAACATGAAGTGTAATAGTCAAAGTAGTGTTCTATCCTCGCTCCCATTTCGATACAGGGTAGCCAGTAATACAGGGCATCTGGCCCGGATGACATTTTCCACACCCCCAGGCTCATGGCATCCGAGATACCTTCTCGCACAGTTTGATTGGATGTCAACGCTATGATTCCCGGCGTGTCCGCTTAATGCATCCACGCAAACCCTCCTATTCTCCACCGCCGGAGCGGGACCGGATGCTTCCCCACGGGGTTACATCGCAGCTACGTACGTACAGCCTCCCAAGGACCGAGCTGTCACGCGCGAGAGCCAAGGGCCAAGGCTGTCCCCAACTAGACCCCCGCGGCAGGACGCGAATTCACGACTCGCTCGGTCGGGGAAGTCTGCCATGGGAGAAGAGATCCAGCATCGACTCCTGACTCAGGTTGGCTGCGAGACCAGCCCGTGGGCCTGGACCCCCCCCAGACTAGCGAGGACGCCACGTACATTCCTGGGAGGCTGGGCACGGGTTGACATGAAGCTGACCTCCAGGGTTGCGTGTTGCGTTTGCGCTAGATGCATCTGTGCATCGGGACATGCATGTTTAGCTGGTGCTGTAACAGCCGTGCTGTGCGCCCTTGTTGGCCGTGCGCGGGCGCAGGTCGTTGCAGAAAGGAGATGATCCCTCTGGCCCAGCATTCATGCTTGCTCCAAGACAGAGTCGGTCGTTTGTGGCTTTCATGTTCCCCAAGCTATTTGATCTTGGCCCACCACCCGCTCCGCCCGCCGCCTCTCGTTGTCACTGAAGAATCCAGACCTTGGCTAGGGCCCTGGAAGTGCTCAGCTCGAATATCGGTTTCTCATTTCCCCGCAAACCGCGGCGAGGACCCCCAAGGCGACCCAGGAGATATTCATCCTTGCCAGGATGGGCACGGACACGGGCTAATACCACCTGCATACATACTTATATGCGTTCCCACCCCCAAGCATTGAAGATCAGACCCATCCATCATCGGCATTCTCCCAGGGCTCACTCAGTCTTCTCTACGACTAGTCTATTCCATTCACCAGAGGACTCAGGTGTTTCTGAGTACAGATCACATTCCATTGGCGTCTCGAGAACCCTTTTCGCATTAAAATAAAGAAAGGAAACAAGAAAAAGGAAAGAAGGCTGCGTCAAACTACACATACAGCATCCCGATCCCCAACCCAGTCGACGCTCCCAATGTCTACACCTCCACGCTCAGAGACAGAGGGGAAGGAGCCGGGGACGAGGCACGTGGAGTCGCACAATATCAACGATGTCACCCGGGTTCTAGAGAATGATGGCACGACGGCCAAGGTCGTCCACGCTGATGGCACCATCGACTACGTCGACGCTCATGCGTTGGGCGGCGAGGCCGATGTGATGCCAAAGGGCTACTTTCGCAGTCCCCAGTTCATCGGCACGGTGATGGTGAGTACAGGCAGAGCATCCTGTTCATTGGGATACGATGCTGACAAGATCCGCAGGCGCAATGTCTCGCCAGTATTTGCGCGTACCTGGGCTGGGTGCTTCCGGCCAACACACTGTGAGTTCATGGCCTCTGGTCCGATTGAGTGTGAGCAGCAATGCTAACAGCCAACCCCAGAAACCTCATCAACGCCGACCTCGGACCATCAGCCAGCATCACCTGGGCCGCCACCATCTGGACCATGGGTTCCTCCATCGGCTTCCTCCTCGTCGGTCGTCTGTCCGATCTCTACGGCCGAAAGTGGATGGTCTTGAGCACCACGGCCCTCGGTCTCATCGGCTGCATCCTCGGCGGGACCGCACGCAACGTCGCCATGCTCATCGTCGGCATGGGCTGCAACGGTCTCGGTGCGGCGGGCCAGCTGTCCTTTGGCATCGTCCTCGGCGAGCTCGTGCCCAACAAGCAGCGAGGCCCCATTGTCACGCTCGTCTTCATGTCCTCGCTGCCCTTTGCCGTCTTTGGTCCCGTCATTGCGCGGACCCTGATCCGGGACACCTCGGAAGGCTGGCGATGGAGCTTCTACATTGGCATCATCCTCAACTTTGGCGCCCTCGTGCTCTACCAGTTCCTCTACCACCCGCCCACCTTCAAGCAGCTCCACGTCGGCAAGACCCACTGGGACCAGACCAAGGAGCTCGACTTTATCGGCATCTTCCTGTTCGTTGCTGGCTGCGTCCTATTTCTCATCGGTCTCTCGTGGGGTGGCTCGACGTACCCCTGGACCAGTGCCGAGACCCTGTGCCCCCTGCTTATTGGCATCGCGACTGTTGCAGGCTTCTTCGTCTATGGTACGTCCCGATCACGACCCGCGCTGCGACAGTGCAGCTTGCTGACATGCAAACAGAATCCTACTTCTGCCGCGTGCAGCCTCTCATGCCCCCTCGCATGTTCCGCAACGTTGGATTTGTCGCCATCATCTCTATTGCCACCATTGCCTCCATGGTCTACTACTCCATGACAGTGCTCTGGCCCACCATCATCGGCAGCGTCTTTGGCCGCTCGTCAATGGAGATTGGTTGGGACTCGTCCGTCGTCGGTGGTGGCGTCCTCCTCGGCCAAGTCTTTGCCGGTTTCGCCATCTCCTACGTCCCCAAGGTCAAGATCCAGTGCGTCGTTGCTGCAGGCCTCATCCTCGTCTTCTTCACTGCCCTCACGACACTGGATCCCGACCACCGGTCCATGGCCATCGCCTTTGGCGTCGTAGGCTGCACAGCCGTCGGCTACCTGGAGAACATCTCCTACCCCGGTGTCACGCTCCTCTGGGAGCCGCAGGACATTGGTCTCGCCACCGGTGTTCTCGGATCGATTCGTGGTCTTGGCGGTGCCGTTGCCCAAGCGCTGTACAGCTCCATCTACAGCAACAAGTTGACCGACTACATGCAGCAGTACGTCGTACCGGCTGCCACAGACGCTGGCCTGCCGGCCGACTCGATCCCGGCCTTGTTCGCGGGCATCACCGCGGGGGATTTCTCTGCTGTGCCCGGCATCAACTCGGACATCATCGCTTCTGTCAGCGAGGCGCTGGTCAGGGCGAACACGAACGCCTTCAGGATGGTGTTTTACGCGACGATTCCGTTCTCTGTCATTGTCTTGGTTTCAGCGTGCCTAGTGCCCAATGTTGAGAAGTACCTGACACAAAATGTCGCCAAGAGGTTGCAGGACAACCAGTTCAAGGCGGATTTCAAGGAAAAGCGACCCGAGTCTGCATGAATGATGTGAAGGATATACCCACGACATGGGAGGTAGCGGGGGAGGGCGGCGTCTCAAACAGATTTATTTGCTACCGCTCAATCTGTAGTCAGTTGTACAGTAAAACTTACATACTGTTTAATACTTGTTATCGTTTTGTCATCCATGCGCTGGCTTCCAGGTCAGGGAATAAGCCCTTCACATTCGGTGATAGTCTGAGTTTTCTAGTGTCCCATGGGTTCCTCGGAAGTTTCTCTCATCGACCCTCCGTCCCGCTTCAGGTTCCTCGTGTATGACGCGCACAAAAAAGGGGTCTCCCACATCAGCATCGTCTTGCCACGGTAGCGTTGAGCATCGCACCAGGTGAGCTGTAATCTCTTTTTTGGGCAAAGATGTATACTCAGTGCTTGCAAAGGTCATGTATCCTTTTTACCCGAGTTGAAACTATCTATATTGTAGATGTGTTCGTGAGTTCCAGATTGCCTCATCGTACTATCTCACCCCCATCTGTGTTTAAACTTTGCTAGCATGAGCATTATCACTCGAGGATCATTACGTACGGTACCGAGTAAGTATATTTAGTATAGTCAAGCAAGTCCAGACGCGTGTCCCGAGGTCCTGTAAAACGTATCTCAGTGTATACTCAAGGCCCCCTGCTCCGCACCTCGTTGAACTACTGTCCCCCTTTCTACACACTTGTATCAGCAACCATCAACCATCAAAATGCGTGTCTCATTCCCAACAGCTCTTGTAGCCTTTGCAACTGGCACTTCAGCAGCTGGTACTCTAGGTTTCGCCCTGGGTGTCAAGCGCGTAGACGGCTCGTGCAAGGCTACAGGCGATTACGAGGGCGACTTTGACGCCATCCAAAGCAACAGTGGCAGCACAGTGGTCCGCGTCTTTGATGCGTCCGAGTGCGATGTGGTAGCACAGATCCTTCCTGCCGCTCAGTCTAAGGGCTTTGGTGTCGTCCTCGGCGTCTGGTGAGATCTGCCACTGGATTCCCCTCGCAATGATTTAGCTGACACGCACAGGCCCGATACAGATGGGCAATACAACGCCGGCAAGGCCGCGATCGTCAACACCGCCGTCAACTTCAAGGACCAGATTGTTGCGGTGACTGTCGGTTCCGAGGGTCTCTATCGCGGGACGTATACCCCGGACTTCCTCGTTGGAAGGCTGAACGATCTTCGAGCCGCGGCTCCCGATTTCAAGTACGGTACCGGCGACACGTGGAATCGCTTTGCGGACGGCACTGCCGACCCCATCCTCCAAGTCTCGGACATTGCCCTTGTCAATGCCTTCTCCTACTGGCAGGGCGCCAGTATTGGAGCGGCACCCGGTGTCTTCCAGGACTCCATCGGCCAGGCTTTCAACCACATCAACTCGGTCAAGCCTGGCATACCGCTGTGGGTAGGCGAGACGGGATGGCCATCTCGGGGTACCACGTACCAGAATGCCGTGCCCACCGTCAAGAATGCAGAAATATACTACCGACAGGCTGTGTGTGGATCCCTGGGCAGCGGAACCAACGTCTTTGTATTTGAGGCGTTTGATGAGCCCTGGAAGCCGCAGTCTGTCGGCGAGGACGGCAGCTCGGCGGATGAGACGAGCTGGGGTGTCATGACAGCCGATAGGCAGCTCAAGTACAATCTCATGTGCTGAGGTTGTGTCAGCTTAGAGTTTTGGAAGCAGGGAAGTGTGTGGGGAAGACGGGGTGTAGTGGAAGAACTCATATAAAGGCTCAGGGCGTATAAATAATTGAGAGAAAAGAAGTGATTGAGAGAACCTAAGCCGCTGTGTCAACTAACTGTATTACTACTCCTGTGATAAACCTGTATTCCTATCGCTAGTTGTAGTAGTGACTCATTAAACATTTCCGAGCTGGAACGATGCATCAAAACACTTTGATAACACTTGCCCTGCAAGGATCAGCACGAATACATTGAACCCAAGCCCAACACTGAGATATCAGGTTCACATCCGAACTAGAAACAAAGGGGTTCGGAGAGCTCACCTAAAGGGTGTGCCCCTTCCAACTGATGCGAAAAGCCGGTGACAGTGGCAATGCCCTCCGCTTCCCGAAGCTTGGACGACCCAATGCATGGCCCAGCAGAACCCCGTTGGAGGAGGCGTTCCAGGCTAGGCCACGGTTCCTGTTCGAGAAACGTATGAGAAAATGTCCTCGACATAGTCGATGACCACAGTAATCAAGGTTCTCGAAAAGGGGTCGACGTCGTACGTCAATTTGCTTTGGGAGTCTTCCGCAGCAAGCATGTCCATACCCCCAACAGAGGGCGCCTAGAAGATGAGGCTCTCCAAGAACGCTGGACAGATATCAGCCTCTTCAAGCGTATTGTGACATGAGTGGCTGTGAACTAAAAGGCTGAGTGAGGTGCATATCCGGCCGGTGTTCATCGACCTCTTCGTTGATATCCCAGCTCATCGTATGTAGTTTTCTTGAGGCAGACGAATGGTTGAATGGTGCCTGTCGGTCCTCGATCAGATCATTATTCCCACTATTGAAGCAGTCATTGCACACTGCTTCTCTTTCAGGGAGCGTGAAACGCTTTCCCGTCGTGGTGGCCCCGGGAGCTTCGACTCAAAGACCCAATTGCAAGCACCAAGCCACGGTGGGCGGGAGGATGGTGCGAGCTTTTATAAATACTTCTTAAGCTGAAGATTACTTGGTATCGATCCGGTGATAGGGGCACTGAAACGTGGAATGTTGGCTGCCTCGTGACTCGCGTTCCAGGGCGCGAATGCCGCGTTTTGGTCAAGCAGCATATTATGGGATGCTCAACGTTTGGAGAGCACCTTCGCAATGCCTGTAAGTTTTTACCTTACCTGTAGGCATAGGTAATACCACAAAGCTTTGGGGATGCACCCGCTAGAATGTAACGTTAAAGGGTTTATCCTTCCGCAGCTCAAAGTCTCGATGTGTGTCTATAAGGCGCAGGAGCGAGAAAAAACGGGGGCTTTGATAGAGCAGGGGCCCCAGTGGCATGCTGGGCGTTAATGAATTATTTTCCTCGTACAGGAGTCCTTCAGCTCCGCAATCCATCCCAGACAAGTATCTCCTCCCTCACTTCGTGCACGGCGCAATCATCATACTCTACTATGCAGTATTAATGCGCCCTCGCCCCCTCTACCGCGGCTGCTAGGCACGTTTCAATTGCCAAGTCAATGTCACAACTCACACGCGGAGCTTATACCATAGCAATCGCCAGGGATTAAGTCTGTGGCGTATATATGCAGATATTCCCACCAGAGATGATGCACGCCAGCCCGGGTAGGTGCCGGCACAACAACCTCATCACTGAGACTTGTCGACGGTGAGGCCCGACTCCTGCGCCTCGTGCTCCTGCAGACTGGGGGCGTTCTCATCGGTCATTTGTAAGTCGTTGGCGTCAATGTCGGCAGCCCACAAGGCGGCTCCCACTACGTACAAGTTAGCAGCAGTTCACCATGTCGAGGCCATGACGACTTGCCCGTGTTGGTGTAGGTAAAGAAGACGGAAGCGACTGGAACCATTTCAAGGAGAGTGGCAACAAGGCCAAATCTGGTAAGTATTCTCCGTCAGCAAGTCAATCCAGACATAGCAGGGTGTGGGCAGACGTACGCTGTGTAAGGCCCCGTGTGCTTCTTCAGCCAGTCTCCACGTTGAGAAGCCGACCACTTCTTGAGTTGGAAAAACTTGGGCCTTGTCAGCGCAACAACTCCATACAAGATTTTCATATACGTACTCTGTCATGGACGCCTTGCCCACGTCCCTTGGCTTGGAGGAAGACGAATACCGCCGTGCCAACAACGGGGATGAAGTTGAGGGGCAAGTACATAAAGTACCGGACAATCGCTTTGGGACTAAACTTTGCAAAAGGGCTCATGATAACCTTGCCCAACTTGGCCATGGGATTGCTTCCGGAGCGAACTTCGCGGCCCTCCTTCACCATGTCCGTCTTGTTGCGCGTCAGCAGGGTGCCGTCAAAGGTGTCCAGCAGAGAGTCCTGCAATAGATAGTTCTTGGATATCATGTTGACAATGGTGGAGGACTCGTTCAGAATCAGGAAGACCGTGGTGAAGACAGCGAGGGGTCCGTTGACAAAGACCAGCACGGCGAACTGGGGGAGGTAGGTGAAGGTGAACATGCCAGCCGTGACGCTGCCGTAGAGAGCAAGATACTGCGGCAGTTTGGATACAAAGGGCTGCCATAGAGTCCGGTGAGAGAGAAAGTAGAAGATGCCCTAGTTGTTCAATATCAGCGACGAACTTCCACAGCTGTTGTCCAGAATTGCCTACCTTGATCGGGTAGAACCAAGCTCTACTCTTGGCAGCATCAAGAGCCACACCCCGCGCCTTTGTGTAGTCTTCCTTCCTACCAGCACGTCAGGACTTTCTGGCGCTTGACTGGGACCAAGCATCTTACAAGACCTCCTGGGCATTGTTGCGGATAGAGTCTGTGACGCGCCCACGACGCGTAGGCTGGCCTTGTTCGTTTGCGTCGGCCATTGCTGAGACGATCCCGTACAAATCACTTCGCCTGTGGGAAGGGGGAGATGGGTAGTTGGCGGGGAGTGACGGGGTCTTTGGGCGGTGTGATGGATTGATATGCTCGTTGCCTGACTGTGAAGCTTGGATGGAAACACCCTGCCAGCCGCAGCGTGTTCCTTCCCAAAGCTCGTTCAGCGCACCGCGGGGCAGCTTGACGGTGTGATGTCGTCATGAGCCGGACTGGGCGAATGTGGCCCGTGCTCAAAGCACCAGGAGCTACTGCTCCGTGACCAAGTTCCCGCCGGCGAGAAGTCGCCATCAGAAAATGGAATGCAACCCAATGCTGAGGCCGTCACGATGCGAACCTCAAAGGCTGCCAAGGAGGCATGGACAGTGGCAAGAGCAACAGATTGCCTCCTGCCAAAGGAGCCAACATCCGCTCCGTACCCACCATCACTCCGGCACGGGGCTCCACAGTCGCGGTGACAGCCCGGACATTTGGAGCGTTGACTCCGGCTTATGCACGGGGTCTCTATTGGAAACCTGGATAAAGGAGCCTGGGCAAGAAGCGATTCGCGGGGACTGCTTTGACAAGACTTGTTGGCCAGCCTCGCGTGACTCTTTTCCAATGATGCGAGGCGGAGGTCACGTCCGTTGATCGCCGTGCTTGTAGATGGGATGAGGATGATCTGACCTCATCTCCCCCCCTCAAAACGTCCTCATATGTGTGACACCATATAAGAGCACAGTCATCACCCCAGACTGACTCCTGGAGATGGCGGTTAAGTTCGATTCTCTCCCACGCGTAAAACGATAGCAAAGATGGAATCGCGATATATTGCAAACAACTTGCCCACCCAGACGCTGCCGTCCACAGAGGCGCACGTGCTGCTTGTCCGATCTCTCGAAGCAGTCCTCACACAGACACCACCGCTTAAGCGGTACACGGCTCGGCAGCTGGGCGGACTGTACAGCGGATATACTGGCATCGCCTACCTATTCTTTCGACTAAGCAAACAACATCCGGACCTCAAGGTCAGAGGCCATTGCCTAGAGTTCTGGGCATCCAAATACATGGAAGGAGATCGCTCGTGTGCGGGACTCACCAAAGGCAACTGTGGCTTAGCTTGTGAGAAACTTTCATTCCAAGCTCTCAGAGCTTGCATGTCGAACAAGAATGACGACCTATTCGAGTTTCTTGCGAATATCCCCCTGTTGCTTGGGCCGTATCCATCGGGCGACTTCTACTCGTCTGAGCTCATCTATGGGAGGGCCGGTTTGTTGTATTTGATCCGGATGATTGAGGCGCACTTTCCTGGATCCAAGCCATACCTGGACTCGCCAAAAGGTTGTTTGACACAGAAGATATTAGAGACCGACGACGATGGACGCGGCAACTGGGAGTGGCGAGGGAAACGATATTTTGGCGCGGCGCACGGCGAGATCGGGATCATCACGCAGCTCGTTCTCACGAACGCCAAAACAGCACCGCGGCTCCACGATCGGCTTGAGGACCTGCTCGATCTACAATGGGAGGATGGCAACTGGTCCTCCAGCGAGCTGAGAATGCGCGAGGGCAAGAACCCGAAGCTGGTCCAGTGGTGTCACGGCGCGCCTGGGTTTGTGATGTCGCTCCACTCGCTGCGAGAACACTTTCCCGGGCTCGAGTCGCAGATTGACACGGCCATCCTCCGCGCCGAGGAGATCATCTGGCGGCACGGACTGCTAACAAAGGAGCCATCGCTATGCCACGGTATTCTGGGGAACGCCCTGTAAGTCCAGCTCCCCTCCTTTTTGTTTGGATCCGCGTCCAAAAAGGGGCTGACATGTGACATGATAGCGCCTTGCCCAAAGGTTCGAAACGAAATCATTTCTTGTCCTTGGCGACGACCGAGTCTATGGAGAAGATGCGACGCCATGATCCAAAACTTTTCGAGCCGGCTTCATATGATAAAGACTGGGCCGTCATGACAAACTACCACACCAGCGCGGCGTGGGCCTGGGCCACTCTGGAAGACGAAACCCCGAGGATGATCTTGTACAACGATGTGTAGAAGAGAAGGTTACGGTGGCGAAATTCTTCATCAATACAAGCCTTATTTGACCATAGCAAGCTTGTGATCAAGTGAACCAGGACAGTGGACGCAAGAACTTGTGACATTCGCTGCTCATTGCCTGCGGATCCCATGCGTACGCCACACCGTTTGAATTCCTAGACCCCAATTCAAGCGCCCGGGACTGCACGCCCACAATCAGCCACACCATCCAAAGGTGTCGTTGAAGATGATCGCCTCCTTCGGCAGGGCTTGGCTAATGCCGCTCCACAAGCAGTAGCGTCGGGATCGGCATTGGCGACAGCTTCACAATGCCTCCGATTGGCATTGGCCTCAATTTTTCTCTGGCCCCTTTGGCCTCTGGGGAAAAAAAGTTCTGATGTGTAGGCGGATTGGAAAGGCCCATCGTCATACCTCGGCATATAGATGGTATTAGCGCGACCCGCCAATATGAACAACCGTTCGAATGCCGCTGCCCAAAGCCGTGCGGTGTTCGTGTAGCAATGAATTGCTGGAATGTGAACGACATGCATCCGCTCTGCTCTCGTTGCGTGCAGATTCCAGAGAGCTCGCGGTGGAGCAGTGTCGACAATTTATACTTTAGTGCTCGGGATCGCGACAGCTGGTGCGTCGCACGACGCTAGCCAACATTGATAGCAAGAACCCGAGCAGACGCGGGCTTTCATTCATCTCTGAATTATTAACACAAAGTAAGGTATCCATATCGCGGGCTCGTTAGGGGCGTGCGGGAGTTCACATGATCCACGATCCGGCTGTTTGGTTCCGAGCGGGCGCTTGTGGTCGGTGCTCACGTCACGATGGAACAACGCCCAGCCTTATTGCTTCAGTCTTTTCAGTTGAACGCTTGCCCTGTCACCCTGTGTCAGTTCGATAGTTCCGATGCAATATATTGAGCGGTGGCTAGACGAGTCAATGGAGGATCGCGAGCTGAGATCGGGCGATCCCATACCTTGTTGGTTGATAACAGCGGTGATAACAACGGTGATGATCGCGATCGTGCCTTGGCCAGCGCGCCTTGGAGAGGAAACGCAAGCGGATGACAGCCTGCAGGGCAGAGTCGACAGGCTGGTGTGTGCCCTTGGACGAGATATGAGATCACCTCCTAATCAGACGGTCAAGCGCCTGCATAGTTTGATATTGATACCATGGTCCTTGGTCGCAGTTCAGGTCATCGTTCCGAATGCGAGTCCGTACGACCAGATGGACGGAGCTGAAGCTGACACATCGCGGAACCACGTGTGACCGCGCCTTATGTAATCCTTCCGCGTCTGTGCATCGATAGCCCGCCAATGGTAGCACCGGCGTGGATATGCGTGGCTATTGCGGAAACAGCAGATGGAGTCGGCTTGCCTACTATTAATCTTTGGCAGGGCGGAAATCGATCGATGTTCCGACAAGAATGCATGTGGAATCATCATGGGAGGAATTTCTGCCTTGGCCCGCCCGTCCTCAATCGGTAAGGGGCGTGTGCAGCAAGTATCCGTTCAGGCACTACTCAGTTAAGTCCGAAATCCATAGGTATCATGACACCTTGGGAAATGCCGATCTGACAGCTCGAGTCTGCCCAATTGTTGTCGAGTTCTCAACTGATGACTTCATGCTGATTGTCCGTCGCTGGCGTCGCAGATGGACAGCTCTGTCCGTCCCCTTTATCATCATTCTCGTCACCCGAGACGAGTAACGAGCTGACGAGTGAAAAGCGCTGTCGTGGACTCGGTGGTCAAGAGACTCCGCCCGGTGATCGGGCTTTTCTCGAAATCGCGAGCGGATCCTTGGCTCCCCCGGCGGGATGAGGTGCGCTAACTGAAGACCTGCAAGTCGCTGCAACACATATCGATTTGTTATTAGTCCCCGCGAAGCGTGCCGACGACCGAGAGAGGCTGGACAATCCCGCCCCGGGAGGCTCCAGAGTCTAACATCTGAGCGTCTGCCACGGTGGAATTCGGCAGCTGGATTGATACGGCTTTCGCATATCCGTATTGGACGCCTCAGGTCAGTTCTGTCTGTATGACTGGTCCCAGCATCACTGTGGAAGAAAGGATTATGGTGAAGTGGTCTATGATCAATCATTTTTAGTTGTGCAAGATCAGGTGTCAAAGGGATATATGTTCCAAAAAGTTGCCAGTGATGGCCATTCCAAGCGGAACCCTAAACCTTGTTAAACGCCTGAATCGTTCTACTTCCATATCATGGTCAATTACCTGAAGCATACAGGGTGGTAGTCCCTCTTGCGCCTATAGTTTACTTTTGTTTACAGGCCGGTTACCAACGGCTTCTTCTATTACTTGAGTAGTTCGAACATTGTTGATGCCAGAGGGCCAGCCACATACTACTGGCAAACCTGCTGGCCATGTGGCGTCTAGTAGAGCCGAAACGGCTCAGCCAAGCGACACGCACGCTTGTTCAAGCCGCAAATGTGCCAGCTGTATTATCATACCACACTGCAAGGTGCTTGTCGACACTATTGGCTTCAGCCTTTGAAGTCGCGGCCTCGGGGCTTGAACAACATGCCATCGGTGTGGGGAACCACCGCCTCTGGGACCTGGGTCAGCTAGCATGTGATGCACACGTACCTGGGGATCTACATCGTACTGCATGGAATAACACGCGATCCCACGTTGAGCAGTACGAACTAGTATGTAGGTATATCGTCTGCGAGAAGACGAATACCATCGTCGACTCTTGTCGCGCATAGTTTTATGAGACAAGATTCGCCGTTGAGCCAGTCTGAGCCAGTCAGAGCCAAATCGAGCATATGGACTAGCAGCGAACAGGAATGGTCAGATGGCGGATTATATGCATTTTGTTCTTCGACCGCTCAAGTCCCCTGAATCACACATGCTGTTGAGGGGCGATTCCTGCTGTTGAGATGCGCTGTTGAGATGCCGAGGAAAGTTCAGGACCGCAGCTGAGAGTCGAGGCTTCAAGGGGCGCAAAGCAAGGGTCCTCCTTAGCATCACCTAGTCGCATAAATTTTCGAAACTCAACATTGTCCAAGGGCCACCGTGTCTTGATGCATGTACCTATATAGACGACGATGACGACGACGGACATGAGAGCTTGTAACTCGAACCGCTTTTGAGCGAGACGATGCACGACTGGACAGCCGCTGAGGACAGGCGGTAATGTAGGCCATCACCGAAAACAGGTCTGTAGTTTCTAGCCCTTCACAGGCCTGGCGTTGACAGCTCTGCCGCCACGCCTCGTACGATTCACCCAGTCGTCATGGAAACCATGAGGAGGCAGAGCTTCTGACGGCATTGTCTGATCTTCTCGTGGGCTTTTGAGCTAGAGATCTCGATTCAAGGCAAGTTCTCACAAGGTAGTATCGACCGCGGATGCGCCGAGAAAGAAGGACGACAAGAGCATTCTAGTCAGGCTTGCGAAGGCGAGACCCTAGGCTTCAAGACGGCCTCTTCACCAGCTTGAGAGATGGAGTAGAGCTGTCTCCACGCGCAGGCGAGTGGTGCATGCATTGCTGCATGTTGATAGGGCTGAGAGCAACCCTTGAGACGTCTGCCTGGTTTCACTAGCCACATCAGCGCAAAGCTCAACTGTTGTGATCCCTTGAGGATCTCGCATGATGGACTGGACCCTGCTTGGTGTAGAGCGCGATGGAACGTAGCTTAAGTCTATTTCGGCTGCCTGGCTGCGTCCTCCACACACGCCCCTGCCCGCAGTGTCAGCACCAGGGACTCGCCAGGACGTGATGGGTGGGAGTTCTTGGTAAAGTCTCCTGATATCAGCACTAGCAGTATGATCTCGACGTGCTTCTTTAGGAAAGCAATTGCGGTTGTCGATAGGTAGCCCGTCCTAGACCGTAGGCCAAAAGTCTGTTTTACGCCGACAAGCATTTGGCGAGCTTTGACTTGTTGCCACAGCCATCGCTAATCTGGAGGTTGCTGACGGGGGCGGGGTCCAGAACGTCAGGCTGATGGTCCATGAAGCCATTTCTGCGGAGTACGGCGAGGGCAGATTCTTGGGTGATAGGCCGCCGGCAAGTCGCACACCCACTGGCCATTGGACCCTGAGCAGCAGAAGCTGGCGGTTGGACGCCACATGCAGGCCTGATAACCGGGACGGGGTCAATGGGGGCATCCAGTCCTGCTTCAAGCTTGAAGGTTCTTACCAGAGCGTCGCTTCATGGTTGTAAACAGCGTTGCACCAGCACGGGGAAGAGCCAATTGATAAGCTGGCTGAGGAATCGTGAGGATGGGCCGTGAGGGGTCCATCGGCCGGTCCGTCCTACGCACCCCAAAGTCCGCCACGCTGTAGCGGAATTCCATGACACCAACTCGACACTGATGGACAATTGGTTGCCCACGTCTGGTGCTCCTGCATCACTTTGTCAATGCCACGTGTGATGGCGACGATGATGATAATGGGAAGAATCATGTCCCGATAATTTCTTGGTCATTGGTGGTGAAAGCCCAGCCAATTGACAGCGACTGCACAACAACAACGAGACTCACTCGCTTGTTCATGACCAATGGACCATGCGGCTGATGATCCAGAATCCAGATCCATCCCGAGAGAGGACACGGCTCACGGCACCTGTCAGGCTGTCAGCAGCTGCTCCCATTCGCTTGGGCCAATTCGATAGAACAAGGCATTAGTCGGCGACAGCATCGAGTCTTGTCGCTGCTGTGACGCGATCAACAATTGCATTGCTTGGTGAAATTCTCTGTGGGGCTCGGGCTGCGTGCGGTCTGGGCATGGCCAAGGGGCCCAATCATTCAATGGAAGGCCTGCCCTGGTTCGGCGACTTCAGGCGTGGGCTGAAATCACCAAGTCCGCGACCCCGTGTGCAGGCGAGTGAGTGAGTGCATGTGCGTGAGTGCGTGGTGAGTGATGAATGATGATGGCTGATGACTGGTGAGTTTCGCTGGTTCGGACATACTGCTGGTGCCGACGACCGGCGCCGAGCTAAATGTTAGACGCACGCCACCACCACTGGCCGGAACGCTAGCCCGTGCCGTCAGTGTGTAAGGTAGTCCCTGTCCATGTCCTTTACTCTCAATCCCGATGCCAAAGAAGGACCGCCTTTCTGCTCCCTCCCGCCCTACTACTATGCTCCATATTGCGGAACCAAGCGTCGACATGAGCTCAGACGTGGCAGGTACGGTACTTTCAACTCGATTGCTCGCGGTCTCGTCATCCCTCCCGTATGCCGAGCGTGACTGCTACCTTACTTTTAGTCTTTACTTACTCATATATAAGTATCTAGCTCCCTGATTCCCCCGTGGCTCTACTCCAGCCCCTACCGCCCTCACCTCTCGGCCGTTTAGATACCATCGTGTCGTTCCTGTATTGAATCTTTTTAATGATACCCTCACATACCCTATACATATCGTACTCACATTACTATTTCATGTCGATGGTCGACACATCTCACCCGCCAGCAAACAATAAGAAAACTCTGACACACTCGCATGCTCGCTCGACAACTTACATACATAACTGGCACATTTATGCATGCGCACACGCACACACACACACACAACCGTCCATCCTCTCTGATTGTTGTTAGTTCTCAGCATGGTCTCAGGACTACTGGCAACACCGCCCGAGGATTTTGCCTCTGATACGCACAACAAAAGAAACACTACTCTCGGCAGCCATCACAACAAGACGACGCCCAGCAAGATTGCCCACCGACACGCTAGGCAGCGCGAGGCACTGACCAAACCTATTCTCAAGCGCGAGCCAGCCCGGGCCAACTCCAGCATGGATGGCCGCCACAAGCGTGTCTGGAAGGCGTGCGAGAGATGTCGTATGAAGAAGACGAAATGCGACGGCGAATTCCCCTGCAAGAGATGTAAGGACGACGGTCTCATTTGCACGGCTGGCATCCGCAAAAAGACCGAGTACAAGCAACTGCCAAAGGGCTACGCCGAAGTCCTCGAGCATACGCAGTTTGCGCTTGTGCAGACGGTTCATAAACTTTATCAGATGGTCCGTGAAGGCCAGACCTGGACGCTCGACGAGCCTACTCTCAACGACCGCAGTCTACCCGTCATCCACGACATTGCAGACAAGCTTGGCTGCATCCGACCGCACTCCGACATCGACATCCCGATCAGCCACATTTTCCCCGAAGACGAACGCGGCTTGACGGAGCTGCAAGCCAAGCTCGAGGAGGCCGAGGCAGAGAGCGCGAACCGCGACCTCCAAGTGAGCAGAAACAGCAGCGCCAGCAATGCGGCAGCGCCACAACCCATCCCGCTGCAGCATCAGCAATCCTCGAGGTCGTCGGGCAGTCATCAACATGAGGGTGCGATTTCGTCTCCCTCCGCGGCAGGCATTTCCTCGGGCCCTGGATCCGTGTCGGACACGTCTGACCTGGACATGGACTACCGCGCCACAGCGTTTGGAGGCAGCGGCGGTAACTTTGTCGACTCTCCCCCCAGCTACGCGACGTCGCACCATGAATTTAATCCCCGAGTGCTACCACAGCCGCCTCGCATCAACTCAGCACCGAGCTTCCTCCCGGCGGGCCAGCAACAGCAGCTTAAGGGCCGCGTAAGCTACAGCGGGCCGCAGATGATGAGTGGCCAAGTGAGCACGGCACCTACTGGCCCCCAGCAACACCCGTCCATTAAGCAGGAGCCACAGCAGCGGCAGCAGCAGTTCGATGCCACCATGAACGACTACACGCAGCATCAGAGCAACATGGCGTTCCTCGCTAGTGAGGGGAGTAATGACGAGGGGTTCCTGATTAACACTAACATGGTCGGCCCCGCATTCTTCGACGACGGACTGCAGGTGATGGGCGATGGCACTATGGGTGACCCCATGTTGTGGAATGGGGTTCTGGGCTCATCAGAATTTGATGATCCGCTAATCTAAATAGCGTCGCAAAGCATTAATCACGAGCGCATGTTTTCTAGTGACTATAATGACCTGTACAATAATACTCGGACATATAATAATTCCTAATGCACATACGATACTCGCATCAAGCCCCATTATCTTTGCGGGCTCAATGAATCTTGGCCGCCGCTTTCAGATGGCGTGCCGTTTTCGATTCTGGATGCATGCAGAAAAAAAGAAAGGTCAGCAAGCCGGGGCTGAATGGCATGCCATGCCATTCCATTCCAGAAATCCAAGCCCCCTCCGCCAGCAGTGTCACTGTCGTACCTAACGATGATAGGTCGTCACAGTTCCCCATCTCCTTCGCCAGCATGCATGCCCTGGCTTCTACATTCTAATCAGCTTCATCGTGGCTGGCAGTCGGTCGGGGGACAAGACGAGGCGCATGGTTCTGCTGACCATTGACCACCCCCCATGAGAATCATGGTACGTCATTGACTTGTTGGAGAAAGCCGGGAGGGACATGGTAGCAATGAGTGGACCTCACTAGACTGCGGCCGAGCACGTTGCAGGGCGATGCTCTGAGCTCTTATTAAAAAAAAAATGAAGCTATAAACAAGTTTGATTAAATCAAAATGCATCCCATTCTGGCCTCTGATTCCGAGCAATGGCAATGGCCATGAGCTGTCAAACTGTGCTGCGGATCACTTACGTCCCAATGCGGTAGTGGTGATGCTACACGTACAGCAGCACAGGGCGTGTGGGGACGAGTCACGGCGCCCTGATCTACCGACTTCGTGTGTGTTAGGTTTTCTGATGATTTGATTGTCAAGACGCTGGAAAGACTTGGCGATGCAATTGGTTATTATTTGCGTACCTTTCCTTAGGCAAGAACCAAAATGTGGTCTGTTGGCGCCGCAGTTATCTGAGGAGAGCTCAGAGCTCCCGTTGTCTTGATATCCATCACTTGACTGACAGCCGCAGGCCCGCTGGCCCTGGCCCTGACAAGGGATTGATTCTCCTGGATTGTCTCGACCGGCGACAGAATCTTCAATTACTCCAGAATGGCATAATAAGTGTGACATTCATTATGTCAATAGCCCGTTTGACAGCACGTTATGTAGCAGCCCGCAGGCGTTGTGCAGATCATAAGCAGCGCCCGCTGCTGCGGGACACGGCATCTTAAGCTTTGTGAGTGGGTCCAGGTACGTACCTTCGATCACAACGTCTCCGGAGCATTGCTGTGATAGCCTCACCGCAAAAGGCATTCTGCTCATCCATCTCACGAGTCTGTTACTGTATTACGTAATACTGCGCAGGAATTGCGTAGGCTACCGCTGAGCAAGAGTAATCGCTTCGACTAATGTACCCGGCACGCGTCAGGAGGACCCTGGATCACAGCGGCGCAGCGTGATGAAACGGCTTCGCCCTCGTGCGTGGCCCCAGACGGACGGGTCCCGGACGAAAATGAGCATCAGAAATCTCAAATCACAACATGGGACAACCCTACTAGTCTCGTTATTAATTCGTCTCCTCTGGCATTGCATCCAGACAGTTTGGAATAGAAGGCAGGGTTGCATCGGGTCCAAACGCCTCGTAATGCTCGTCACACCCCATCGGAGCCTCGCCATGCGTCGCGGACTCGCGGGTTTGGGCAACGGTCGAAAGTCTCCGGCATTCGGGGTCTTTGTGGGCTCCGCGCCGGAGCTCCACCGTTCTTCAGTCCCTGGGCTGACGAGCGGACTTATCAATCCACATGGCGAGAGCAGAACCACACGACGGAGTTCATGCGGACGGACGTGCCGCGGTTGTTTTGCTTGCTTATGAAGCTATCCCACTTTTTGCCAGAATTTGAAATTTGTTGCTGGCACGCAGTGATTATTAATATCATGAAAATGAGGAAAATCCTTTTCATTGGTCCCCATTTCTCTAGCCAAGGCTACATTAGCTTCAAGGGTGTACGCTTTGGCTTCGCCCACAGCAAAGTACAGTTGTATTTACCACTTGCTCCCGAGCGGGTACGGCACGAGACTTGTTGCATTAATACCGCACACTACTGTGCCCTGTGCTTTGTAGAGATCATGAGGCTGAAATTGGTGTTAAAACCGATGGTGTGGAAGCCGATTGTTCGGTCAACAATCGTCTGCAGGGTGGGCTGACGACATGTGTAGAAGTGGATTGCGATCACACCCCGCGCCCCTGATCGACAACAGGTTGATGAATCTCATAAATACGAGGTACAATCTCAGGGGCAAAATATCTTTATGTCTTCATTAGTGCTCATGTTGAAGCACGGGGTTCGAATGTCATTGCTTGGTACAGTACCATCGCTCTGCGCAGACGGCCGCAACGCGCTGCTTTGTGGCACAGCATGAGCACGCACTCCAGTCGACGTTGAGCCTTGGCTGCTCTAATGCATGCAGGCTCGCATTCGTCGCGAGAGCGACGCGAGCAACCGTTCCCCGATGCAGTCGCCACCGCCTCGCAAAGGGCATCTCACACTCATAGACACACGCCTTGTGCCTCGAGGGGCTGGCATCGAGCCGTGCCCGGATAGCCATCCCGACTGGCTTCGCCGCTTCATCTTCATGCCTCGAAATCAGCATTACCCGGACACTGCATTAGCGAGTGAGACACGGGCTGCATGCGAGCAATGTTCAGTAGTGTCAGAACTAGCTCGAAGCTCTCGGCACTTGACTGTAGCCGACTGCCTGGAGCATTTGGACTAGTTGCCTCACTGCCCATGATGAAGCAGGGGTAATCGCGATAGCTTAAACAAATACCGCCCCCCAGGCGCCACGCTAATACACAAGACCATGTCGTAGATCGCGCGAGACAAACATCAAGACTCAATGTCCAGGGCCTGCTTCAAGATCGCTTCGTTGGCCCTCCACCAGCGCGCCCGCTGCTCCAAATCATCCGCTGCGCCCCCGAGGGCGGCCTCTTTCCTCCTCTGCGCCTCTCTGGCCGCAGCCATGCCGTTCTGCCGCTTAGTCTCCAACGGCTGTAACTCCGCGTGTAGTCTCTCCGCCTCCTTCTTCTTGCGCGGCACCTTTGCCTGCAGTGCCTCGAGCTCGCGCGCCAACTCGGCTTGCTCGCGTTGACGCTTGGCAACAAGCTCCTGCGTCTTGGCGAGAGGAAGGTTCATGCTCGGGTCTGTACCAGTGAGGTCCTGCTCTGCCTTGAGTGCCGCGATCCTCTCCTCCAGCTGCTTGTTCTTCTGCGGCAGATCTCTTAGCTTGGCTGTCTCGAGCTGGACAGTCTCGTAGCGCCGACTGAGTTCCCTCCCCTTGCGCTCGAGCTCCTCGACCATGTCCGCCACCTCTAGCTTCAGTGCCTTGAGCTCAGACTTGACGGCGGCGTTCTCCTTCTCGAGCTCCAGATTCTCTTGCATGGTGACGATGAGCGGCGGATCCCCGACAATAGCACGGATGAATTTCTCCTTTGTGACCTGCTCAACGTAGGAAAAGCGAAGCTTTGCAAAGAGCTCTTTGTAATGTGCCAGGTCGGCTTCCAGACCAGCTGGCGTGGGCGCATCTAGAGAGGCACTGGACGCGTCCGAGGTCCGTTGGCGCGCGTCTTCACTCTGTGTCGCTTCGCTTGAGATGGGCTCGCTCAGCTTGATGATGGAGATGGGTTCGGCGTTCAGCTCTTCAATAGCCTGAAGAGCCTTGGCTGTGTCCATGAAAATGTCGTCCATGGTTGCAGCGATTTGCTGCTAGCTTAGATTTTGTCGATGGTGATTGAGGTGCTCAAAAGACGTTCACGGCGCGACTGCGGTATCTTCACCGTCAGGTATTACAGTGTTTACTTTAGGCCTCTTTCGGTCTAGTGTGGGGTGCATGACGGGGCGGCCAAGTTCCGCACCAAGTGGTGGCGCAAAGCCGACCAACGCCTCCACTGGATCACAACCTTCCCATCTCTCCTCCATCAAACCACCTGGCTTTGGCCCGATTTGCTTCTTGGCACTACAACGCAGAGTGCCATAATCCACCTATCGTCCCGAAACCGCGGGCGTCGCTCACACGCCTACATCGTCAAGCTCCCTCGCCATGGGTGACGACGACATCCTCACCGATGACTACGTCGCGGACTTACTTGTCAAAGATGCCAACGATTGCTCCTTAAAATATTCAGCGCTGGGCATGGATGCCTATACGTCATCGTCATCATCAGGGAAGAAGTACAGATACCTACCATTTCTCGTCAGCCCAGGTGGCTGACCGAGCGAGCAGGCCGGCAAACATGCCAAAACCAAACACCAGATTTCTCCGGCATATCATCAAGGGCACCGACACGCACAACAAGAATCTTTTAGCGAAAGAGGCTGCTGAATCAAAAGCAAGGCTCCAGGATCTCGAGCACTCGGAGGAAGTCAAGCGGCTCAAGGTGAACCCCAACACGAGGGATATACGGAAGCGGCAAATGGGCGATATTCACGCGATTCTGGGTGGCGGTTCGCGACGGAGACGCCCAGACGGCGAATCGTCGACATCCAAACAGGACGAAGCTGGGCACTCGGGGCGGCATCACGCACGACGTCGAGATCCAGAAAAAGAAAAGGACGATCTATTTGAAAGCCGGCAATCGAGCAGAGCGAGGGACAATGGTCGACTAGCCAGCAGAGATTCTGATCGCAGGTCATCACATAAATCCTCTCGAAGCCGGCGCGAACGCGACAACGATTCGCAAACCGAAGATGACACCGAACGACGACGCCGGAACCGGAGAAGGCGGGATAGGTCTAGGTCGCCAATATTTCGGCGCAAATCGCACTCGCCCGAACGACGCAGGAGGCATAGGCAACGGTCGAGGTCTCCCGCACGCCGAGATGATTCGGACCCATTAGAGGATCTCATAGGACCCATGCCAGCGCCGAAACCCCGAGGTCGAGGTGCGCTCGCGGGATCTTCAGGCATTGACCAACGTTTTTCGGAAACCTATGACCCCAAATTGGACGTGGCGATGGAAGATGATGGCGGGGAAGGCCAATGGGACGACGTAGTGGAGGCTTTCAGAGATCGACAAAAGCTACGCCAGAATCAAGAGCAACGACTAAGAGATGCTGGCTTTGCGGACGCCAATATCAACAAAACCTGGCAGCATGCCGGAACGCAGGAAGAGGGGGAGGAGGACGTGCGGTGGTCCAAGGCTGGCGAGAAGAGGGAGTGGGATATGGGCAAGGAAGACGACGAATCAGACTAGAGGTCGGACTCAAGCTATTGGCCTTGTTTGGACTCTTCACCCGGCACGAAATCTTTGGCTTCTGCCGCTCCCCCGCTGCCGGAGCTGGACCATTGCGGACGTGCCTACGCAGGTGTTCGAGGAGCTACATGTCAGATTTGAGCACCGGGAGACTATTGTATACGTATGCCCAAGTATACTTCAGCTTGGTGGAGTCCAGTCGTGATGAATAGTTGGAATATCTTATTTGAAGATACTTCTCCGTTACGGTTTGATCTCTGGCAGTGAATGGCTTTGTCACACTTGGTTAAGTTCTGAACCTGCTTTGCCTATCGAAGCAAAGGTATAGCCGGACGATACGTCTCTTCGCTAATTGGTTTTCCCAAGTTTTGTACGACGACATATTGATTGATCCTGCATGCAAGCCCATTCTGGGGTTCTGGGTCAGCCCCACAGGGGTCTTGGTGCAATGTCGATCACCTCATGGCACCGGGATACGAAATTGGGGGGGGGGTTTCCAGTCTTTATTACGACTTCACACGACACTCTTCGCGAGAAATTCTTCCCTGCGTGGTACAGCGCCGAAGGGTAGAACTCGACTCTCGTACGTAGATGACTGGTCGAGCAAGAATGGTATTTGATTCGTTGGATAGCGGACCAAGGTACTTAGGGCGATGTGTTGGAGGCTACTCTTCATAGCTGCAAGGGCCGCCGAGACAAACATTTCTGGACCTGGGTATTCCGTCTTAGGTTGGCTCAGAGGACATTACAATATATCTTTGATGGATGGTAGGTTAGGTTAGGCAGGGCTCTCCAAGGAACTGTCTTCTGGCAGTGTAGTGCAAGCCGAGTCTCAATTGCGTACCTTATCGAATCTCAGTGTGTAAGGGACGGGTCTTGGCAGGCACGCGATTACGCAGCTCTTCACCCTAGAGATAAATTGCACGATGCAGGGAGCAGAATTCGAGGGCACCTTCCTTTTGTCTCCTGAACTACCAAAGGTCATCTCGTATTGGGCCTACCCATTTCGCCTCTGCCGACGACCACCGGGAGAGACAACATGGCATGGTCATGGATGCCATGGTGCCAAGACCTTGTGATGTGTTGCGTGAGGGGTCGGAGTCACACGAGTCGCAATCGCGGTCAGGCTTGGGGTCAGTCGCGCACATGGGATTTCGACGTGATGGAGTCGCGAGGCTGTCAATTTTCATAAAATGCATGGCGTGTAACCCGGTGTCTAATGCGGCTATAAGAGTGAGCGCACTGAGAAGACTGTACGGTACATAGCGAGAGGACTGGCGGAAGACCGGGAGGATTGGAGGGTGGGACGGACTGCGACAGTGGACAGAAGGCCCTGGACCTGGGCCTTGGCAGTCTGCGCCTGCCGCCTAAACATGGCGCGCCATTCCCTACCCCAGCCCAGCCGAATCCAGCCTGATCGGATTGTTTCCCCTCCACTCAGAACATCATCATCCGCTCCCGATGCGGCCTTCTTCTCCTCACATTACTCGGTTCTCCCCTACCTCTTCCCTTCTTGTTTCTTCTTCTTTGCTTCGCAAGATAAAGAGTGCTTCTGCGTCGTGAAATTCACATTCCGCTTATCAATATCGTGAGGCCCACCGATATTCCGAATCCCGTTGATCCGTACGTCCACGACTCGAACCTCATAACTGCAGCCGAGACGTCCATGAGACTCATCGCCTGGCCGCGGCCGCCTGCGTGAGGTGCCCTCCCTCATCTGCTCGCCCATTCTTCGTCATACTTCGATTCCGCGTGACTACAAAGAAGAGCGCACGGTCTACAGCCTGCATCCGTGGCACTGGAGCTGATCCCTACCCACATCCAGCTTATACACGTCGGAGCCGCGAGCGTCAACCGTCAGTATCTGGTCGCTGGCTGCTGTGGTTTATTCTGCACAGCAGACGACATGCGTCCACCACGCATCGCTGTGCTCGTCTTCCTCCTAGCCTCGTCCTTCTTCCTCATTGGTCGCGCGTTGACCTACAACAAGCCATACAGACCGAGCCATGCTGCCGCAGGGAACCTCGAGTCCGAACAAAAGTCGTCGCTATGGGGTTTCATGTACTACAACACACCGTTCTCATTATTTCCGCCAAATGCCGCCATCAGCTTGACCGATGACAATAGTACCTCCTTCGCAGCTCGGCCCGCAGCGTTTGGGCCCAAACTGGTGCCCAAGGGTCTTAGCGGGCAACTCTGGGTTGGCGGCGGTTTTGCGGACGACGAACTTGAGGCGAATGGAGAGTTCGGCTGCAGCGATCTGCCCACTCGGGGTGCGGCAGGTATCATGAGGAACGCAAAGACACTGCGCGCTGTGACAGTCCCCCGTGTCGCTTCCTCGAGCCGAGTGACGAGCCGTCAAGAGAAGAGCAGCGGTATATCTATGCTTCTGGATCACGACAACCGCGCCGCCATCGCTCATGCGAGACCCAACCTCGAATCAAAGGCTCACGACGGTAGCCACGATAATTTGCACGAAGGACTCACGGAGGTGCCATCTCACCAAACGTCGGGACGTGCCGAGATTGAAAACCTCCCAGAGCCCGCTGACATTGAGGGTAAGATAGTTTTACTCATGCGAGGCGGCTGCGGGTTTTTGGAAAAGGTCATGTGGGCCCAGCGTCGGGGCGCCGTGGCTGTCATTGTTGGCGACAACACGAAAGGCGGACCGTTGATTCAGATGTTTGCGCATGGCGAAGATGTGGACAATGTCACCATTCCGTCCGTCTTCACAGCACGGACGACCGCTCAGCTGCTGTCTTCACTGACGCAGTCGGGCAATTTTGTGAAAGATACCCTAGACGATAACGGCGATTTCGTCTTCAAAGTCCAGCACAAAGCGGAGCCGGGTGACAAGAGCGAGTTTGGCGATGCATTCCAGGACAAAGTAGATGCTATGTCTAGACGTGTGTCTACCCCTCGGAAGCGTGGTGTCTCGAGCTCGGTACCGGGTTCAGACCAGCCAGACCGGAGCTGGCTCTCGCGGGTGCTGCTCTGGCGTCAATCTCCGTCGTCGTCCCGCCGTCATGCGGCAGGTTGGGAGCTGGTGGGAGATTGGAGCGATGAGAAGGACAGGGCCATCCACGAATCCATGGGCAAAGGGGAGACGAAAGACTCAACGACGCCGGATCGTGGGGTGGGACCCAAGACTTCTCCGTCACATACGCGAAGAGGCAACCTCCCGACGTCTGACAGCCATGGCTCAAAGTCCCATGCAGGTCTTTGGGTGACCATCACCCCAACAAACAGCGCAAGCCCCTTCTTTGACACACTCCTCGTTTTGGTTGTCAGTCCACTGGTCACGCTGACCGTGGTATATGCTCTACTCATCATTCGAGCCAAGATCCGCAGGAGGAGATGGAGGGCTCCAAAGTCCGTGGTCGAGCAGCTTCCAGTCCGAACGTATCACACCGTAGCTGGTTCTACAGCTCCTGCGACGCGGCAGCCTTCACCAGCGAGCAGCTCCCCCGCAACACCGCTTCTACAGTCGTCTCTACTATCTCGACAACGGTCTAGGGCGAATACTGGCACTTTGGAGGGTAACGATCCTGCGCAGCCTACATTAGCCATACCCACCGAACCGCCATCTGAGATCACTCAATCCCATGGGCGTATGGAAGGAGCCGGCGGGTTTTCAGCAGAATGGAAGAAGTACATGGGCCGACAGGTTGAGTGCGTGGTGTGTCTTGAGGAGTACGTCGACGGCGTGAGTCGGGTAATGAGTTTGCCTTGCGGTCACGAATTCCACGCAGACTGCATGTAAGTGACGACCGCGCAAACCCGGATGGTGTTTACTCACATTCTCACAGTACTCCGTGGCTCACCACTCGTCGCCGCACTTGTCCAATTTGCAAGGGGGATGTCGTCCGCTCACTAGCCCGCGGATCACCTTCGAACCCGCATTACGAAGCCTACCGAGACGACAGCGAGGATGAAGACAATGCTGAGGCATCTGGCACTCGACCAGTAGACCAAACGCCCGACCTCGAACAAGGCATTCTGGCCGGGCCGAGCGACAGCCGACAGGAGGACAACTGGCTGGCCTTCTGGCCCAACAGCTTTGGCTCGAGGACCCTTCCGCAGTCACCCTCTCGGCCGGAAGACAACAGTCGCTTATGAGTTATGACAGCACCTGGATTCTTCTCATTTATTTCGGTTCTCTGCTTACTTGCATTTCTTGTTACTTGGTAACACTCCGATACAGTATCCGCGTTTTATTGGCGCACATGGGGTAGCGTTTTACTCATGGGTACACACTTGGTGGCGCAACGGACATGGTGAAGGAGCTTGGCATAGGGGAGCACTATACCCACTGGTCCTGGATACACCACTTATACATTTACCACTGTCAATGAAAGGTTCCAGATGCATTTCGTGGCCGATTCCAAGAGAAGCTCACACACTCTCGGTCTGCATGTGGCCATCAACGTTGCATCAAAGGGTGCCTGTCGCCTGAAATTAAAGTACTTAGTGGACATTTGCATCTATAGTACAAGGTTTGGCCAAGTGCTGGGGCCCCTATGAAATGAGTTCAGGCTTGATGGCCAAGTGGCCGGTGCACGCTACGCGGAAACCTTGTTGACTTACCCAGGGGCTGTCAAGCCGAAAGTCAAAACCTGACTCTACGACATCCAGGTATAAGCGGCATCGCCGCCGCCCAAGCCTTGGAGAAGTAAGGAAGGGAGCTTATATAAAATGGCCTTTGATACCTTTTCCCCCCTCGCACCATCAACTTCGAAATCTGAATCATCGTCTGTCACCGCAACAGCACCGCCAGCTTGCCACGACAGCAACACCTTTCCCGACTTCCCATTCCACAAGCATCATGACTAATTTACTTACTTTGGCACAGCGGGACTTGCTCCCCACCTTGCCAGAAAACGCTTCAGCCGCCACGATAGTCGCGGTCCTTTTGCAAACCCTTGGCGTGTGCCTTCTCGGTTGCGTGGTCAGTGCCATAGCCCTCGTGGGACTCTCCATGTACGTTGCCACCCCATTTGTTCATTTTTCAAGTTGCTGAATCGGTCTTCTTAGTCTTATAGTTTTGACAGTGAGATACTGCTGCTGCTGTTTCACGCCCAACGGCCTCGAGGGGCCTGAGGAGAGCAAATGGCCTCGCTTCCTCCGCAAACGGAAGGTTCTAACTCCCGAGCAACACCAGGCCGCCCCTGAGGTGAATGACTGGGAGTTCGCCTATGTGTCCTCACTGCCACCGTATCGCGCATTTTCAGTCTTCTATCCTCCGGCGGATGCTCCGGCGATGAAAGACGGCGAACAGGATGTGGAAATGCTCGCCTATCCTGTGCTAGCACATGGGGGTGCTTAGGAACAGCACTCGCATAAGTTATTCACTATGATGGGCGAATGGCTGGATAGACATGTGTGATTTCTTTGCAGACAGCAACCTAAATATTAATTCTCGAGATATTACACAGCTTGGCTTGTGTGATTGGGGTCATGAATGTATCCACATTGTCGCCTGAAGGCGCCTTCCTGAGCGAGAGGAACGATTGAAGGAGTTGAGATAACAAAGCTGACCGCTATTGCCAGGATCCGAGTCGTCAGATGAAGGCGTTCCTACCTCATTTGGACATGTGCAGTGAGTAGTGAGTGCATAGGGAAGGCGCGTGTCCTGCCTCGCCCACGATAGGCGGCCATCAACCCGCGAGGACGAGTGTCAAGATAACTACTAATCTACATCCCAACATCACTTTGTGAGCCAACTTATTGCCATACAATATAAATCCAAATATCCCTATCATGGTGTCCTGCTCCAAATTGATACCATTCTTCTCCCCTGATTATTCAGCCGTATCTGTCAAGCGTGCTGTTGATGCGGTCGGAGATGTCTCGGTCGATACCAGCGACGTAAAGGTTCTCACCAGCTCTGAAACAGCTCGAAGAGTAGCACCAATTGCATCTTCAGTGCCGAGTCAACAGTCTGATTCACCAAGCCCGACGGAGATCACTATCCAGAACACCACACCTACCGCTCACCATGGTTTCCACCCCGAGAACGGAGTCTATATACTTCCCAGCAGTCCTGTCCATCACGGCACAGGGTTCCTTGTCGTAGGTTGCATTGTTGCCAGCTTGTCTCTGCTGTTTGGCATTTCGTGTTGCATCCTTCAAGCTCTCAACAAGTACTGTATCTGGGTGCAGATGAGACTCTACCACATGTTACTGACAAGGAAATAGTTCTCGATCAAAGAAGAGCGAAAGGGCCAACGATGCGGAACTCGCCGTTCCGCCATATAAAAAGGGAATCACTACTGAGACGGGAACAAACACACAGGATCTCGATGGTGGAAGGATTGAGGGCCAAGTTCGCGCCGGTACAGGCTTGCCAAAGCCTCTGAACGCACAACTGGCAACGCACGATATTGTGTATCCTCCCCGATCCCACTTGTTCTGATCACGTTTCTTGATGCGATGCGGCCCCTGCAGGCACAAAAAGGGCAAATGGGCGCATGGCTTTGATGGAGAACCTAATTCAAGGGCTCATAATGTATTGTAACTTCTATTGCCCTTCAACAGTCTGTCCAATTCAACGCTTTTAGAGATATCCCTTGAGCACGGCCGCTTCGGCGTTCAATATCGAGGAGCCAGCCGCGCCAATGACAGCTGTGAAAGGATTAGCAAGCAGCTTTGCAACTCAGTAGGGCGGAACACTTACTGTTGTGGCTCAAGGCAACGAATTTGATGTCAAAGATACCAGCCTCATCTTCTCTGACGCGCCCGACACTGACGCTATAGCCGTTGCCTAGGTCGCGGTCCAGCCTGGGCTGCGGCCTGTCCGGCTCGTCGAACACTGTGATGGCCGGCTCAGGAGCAGAGGGGCAGCCGAGCGTGACAGCTTCCGGCTTGAAGTCGCGCAGTGCCTGCCTCACCTGCTCCGCGGTGGGTGCCGGCTTGCTCTCGAATGACAGTGACACGCAAGCGGTGTGTCCGTCCATGACAGGCACGCGGTTGCACGCCGCGGAGACACGGAGGGTGGATTGCTCCGTGAAGCCTTTTTTGTCGGCGTTTAGGTCACCGAGGATCTTCCTCGATTCGCTCTCCAGCTTGTCCTCCTCGCCCGAGATGAACGGCACGACGTTGTCGATCATATCCATGCTACTCACGCCAGGGTAGCCAGCGCCCGAGACAGCCTGCATGGTGACGATGCTGACCTTGTCAATCTTGCCAAACTTGGCCTGCAGGGCGGCAAAGGGCCCAACGAGCCCGATAACGGCACAATTCGAGTTGCAGACGAGGAAACCCTTTTGGAGCTTGTGGTGCTCGCGCTGGTGCGGGATGAGGTCGAGGTGGGACAGGTTGACGGTCGGTACGACGAGGGGCACGAGAGGATCGCGACGGTAGTTCTTTGCGTTGGAGAAGATGGGGATGTTGGCCTTGACAAATTCCATTTCTAGACACACAAGTTTCAGTCAGTGCTCTTTGTTCAACAACGCTGTCTTCTCCTCGAATGGCTCGTACGTACCAATCTCACCAGCAACGTCCGAGTCCAGACCACTGAACACGACGTCGCAATCGGCAAACTCGGAAGACTTGCACTCGCGGACGACCATGTCGCCAATGGCGCCAATGGGGGAGGCTTGCTTCCATTTCACCGCGTCGCGGTACTTCTTCCCGGCGGAGCGCGAGGAGGCGCCGATGGCGTGGAGAGTGAGGTAAGGGTGCTTCGCAAGGAGGAGGATGAATCTCTGGCCTACGGAGCCGGTGCAGCCAAGGACGCCTTGGATCTGTTAGTTGGTGCTTGTTCAAGAGCTGGGCTTGGGAGCTTGGTGGACGATTGGCAAAATGGAGGGGGTAGAGGGGCCGTTGTTGGACGTACCGCACTTCTTGGTGGGAAATTCTGAAGCCATTCTGTCTGGGATGTTGCCTTTGGTTATTTTATGGCTTTGAAAAGATTTATGAAGCTCAAGACAACCAGAACGATGGTGCGCAAATAATACGTGAATGGGCCGCCGAAAACTGGAGGTTCGAAGTCAAGTCATTTGCCCCGCGATCGGACCTGGAGCTGAGCCCCACGTGGAGGGGCACTGTGGTGGGACACTTGCAGCTCTAGGAAATACTTGAAGACAGGCAAACCAGTCTCGCTTTTAGTATGTGGCCGCAGTAGAACTTGAGCTATGGACATGGCATCTTGTGTTAAATGGCCTCATAGGGAGTAGAACACTGATACAATTGAGAGATCTGGCGACGTCGACTGCAAAATTTGGTCTGCTCTCAGGCATAAGGTCACGAGACACGAGAGCATCAATGAGTGTCACCAATTCAAGCAAGTATATCTATGAAATCGTGGGTCGCGTATCCAATGCTCCCTAACAATGCAAATATGCAGCTGTAAATCAAAGTGGGCGCCATTCAATGCTTCTTTCTCGACGCCAGCATGGCCCTCATGGGGCCAACCCCAAACACCATACCACCTGCTTCCTGGTCCACACACCGTCTACTCGATCGACGCTCGCCTCTTGCTGTGAGAATACAGACGGAATTGCACAAAGATGATGGAGTCCTCCACAATGGTGCCGAGTGAGCCAAGCAAGAATGGCAGAGCGTTTAGGAGATACTTGGGCTCCTGCGAGTAGGCCACCAGGCTGATGCCGTAGGTCAGGTTGCCGGTCAAGGACAGCATGAAAAAGAGCAGGGCAAGACCCTCGCAGGACTTCTCCTTGTAGTTCTTGACGATCTGCGGGACACGCGCACTTTGCATGTTAGCGGGAGGTCCAGGACGTCTGGGATGCGAGACAAGACTAACCAGAGGTAGAGCACGGCGCTGATGTAGCCCAGCGTCAGGCCCGCCATTTCAAGAGGGTTGTTTACTGCCTCGGGCGTATCCGGAGTGGGATCAGCTGTATCCCACGCCCCGGCCTTGTACGAGATGAACCACGCGACAATGCCCACAACGTAGACAGCCACGAGGCTGAGGGTGTTCTGCAGCCATTGCTTGCCGCCGCTCGCGTCGTCAGACTCGTTCTCGCCCGGGACAATCTTGGCGGCCGCTTCAGCGGTGGAAACGCCAATGGCACCACTGGATTCACGGCGGAGCAGAGGCGACTCCTCACTGGGCTCCCCGTTCGCAGAGTGAGCTGACTTGCCCTTGTTGCGCTGGTTGTAGTATGCGCACTGGGCGATGAGGACGGTGTCGGCAATGCAGAAATAGCAGGGGAGGGCGATCGCCGTCGGGGCGAGGTGGGTGAAGAGCGCGCCTGTGAGCAAGTGTCAGTCGAAGGTGCCCAGTTTCCCTCTGAGTTTCTGTCGGTAAGGCGCGAGGGCTGTCGCTGAAGAGACTGCGCGAGCCTGACCCAGGGTGGAGAAAAGACATACCCAAGAGGTTTGTCATGTCGCCCAGTAGCCAGACAATCAGAAAGGCCATGCTGAGGCCATCGGCGCTTTGAGCTTTGAAGTTTGCGAACAGTTGCGGGATCTAGACAGGATAAGTCAGGTTAGGGCAGTCGAGAGACCAGACGTGGGAAAGGCGGACGTACGAGGACACATATCCAGGCAACAAGACTGATGCTCCCAAAGATGCCTGATACTGCCAAAGAGACGGGGGGCGCATGGCGGATCGCGGCCATTGAGGCCAGGATCACGAGCGAGGACATGGTGGCGGTGGTCGGTCGTCGCTATCAGGCGTGGGTTTTCCTAGCGAACTTGAAACCCGAGGATAGCGAAGGGTTTGTCGAGGTTTGCAGAATCGACATGTACGAGCGACGAAGTGATCAAGGAGGACAAATTGAGCAGGAGGAGTAATAGTACGTGAGGCTGGAGGCTGGATGCCAAGTCGGTGTTCGCAGTCACAAGGGCAGATTTCTTATCGCGGACGGTGATTGGGAAAGGGCTGGTGCACATTGGCCAGCCGACTCACAGACTGCAGCTGAGAATGTGGGGGAGTCATGCGAACGTGGGACGTGATGATCACCCAGATCTGCTCCGGTCAACTGGCTGTGCGCTGTTCGTGGACAATGAGTCGTTGAGCGCTGTTTGTTTGCATTTCCCAGGCGATAATATCCTCGCCTCTTTGGAATGTGTACGCTCTAGTCTGAGGCTCTAAGTAAAGTCTATTGTATCTTCTTATCCTTAGGTACTGTAGAACTTTTTGCCGATTAGGCTACCACTGACGTCGTTGTGGGTGGCATCCCATAACAGTTATCAGTTGCTTATCGCTGTGTCACCGATTGGCAATGAGTCGTGTCTTGACGTCCGGAAGAGCCTTGAGGGGCTGAAATGCATGTAGGATTTGGGATGAATTGACTGCTACGTCTCAATATTAATATTGAAGGGTCGTCGCATCGCCTGACAATACCCGATTATCTCGCTGCACCACGCAAGCACAACTGATCTCGCATACCGACATGACCCGCCGTGGCGGACTGATAAGGACGGCGCAGCGATATCGGCCCGTGATCAGTCAGTGCTACGTGGGGCCTCTGTATCGGAAATGATTGGCTGAGAAGCACCCTCCAACAACCTTGTTCCTCCGCCAACTCCAGCCTCCCAGGCCGCATCATCAGGCACGTTCACCGGTCATCTTGAGACCAGCTGACGCGACACGCCCACAATCACGTCCAGTCACGTAGCCAGCCATGCTTCCTTCCATCGACGTGCACGGGGTGCCGTGAATAAACAACCCTGGGCTTGAACCATTTTTCTTTCCTCTTAGTCCTCACAACAACGCCATCCTTACTTAGACTTGCAGAGCTTCACTTCAAAATGAAGCTTTCTTACACGCTCACCTTTGGGCTCTTGACCGTGCCTGGTGCGGTGGCCTGGGGCAGTAGGTATCCCGCTATCACTGATCACGAATGATGCTAAAAGACGACAGGTCTGGGACACATTACCACGGCCTTCATTGCTAGTCACTTTGTCTCCAACACGACCGAAGCCTACTTCAAGACCCTGCTCCGCAATGACGAGCCCGACTACCTCGCCAGCGTTGCCTCGTGGGCCGACTCGATCCGCTACACGAAATGGGGACGCTTCACAAAGAACTTTCACTTTATCGATGCGCACGACAACCCGCCCTTCTCGTGTGACGTCGACTACGAGCGTGACTGCAAGGAGTCGGGCTGCGTCATCAGCGCGCTGGCCAACTACACGGACCAGTCCCTCGACCCGACGCTGGCACCGTGGTTGCGAGCCCAGGCTGCCAAATTCGTCGTGCACTTTGTCGGTGACCTCCACCAACCCTTGCACAACGAAGACGTCGCTCTGGGTGGCAACCGCATCTATGTGAAGTGGGATGGGAGAGACTACAATCTGCACCACGTCTGGGACACGTCCATTGCGGAGAAATGGCTCGGTGCGCACGGAAAGCCGTACCCCATTGCGCTCAGATGGGCCAACGCGCTTGCGGTGGAAATCAGCGACGGCAAGTTCGCAGAGGAGAAGGACGGGTGGCTGAAGGAGCTGGACTTTGAGGATTCCATCGCCACGGCGATGGCATGGTCGAGGGAGTGCAATGCATTTGTGTGCACGCATGTCTTCCCCGAGGGTCCGGCGGCCATTGCTGGACAGGAGCTTGGCGGAGCGTACTTTGACGCGGCAGGACCTGTCGTGGAAAGGCAGGTCGCCCGAGCTGGATACCGCATGGCCGTCTGGCTGGATCACATTGCCGATGAGTTCCAGAAACGTTATCCGGATTACCTGAACGAGCTCTAGGTGCATTATACGATGCAGTAACGTTGCAGGATGGAACGCACGGGTCGTAGATTCCCGGTTGCCTGTCAACCTTTTGAATACTTGCTTACTTATGCCGCCGCGAGGACTTTTTGTCTTTGTTGAATACTAACGTGCCGACGAGCGAGGGGGGGTCTCAGCCTCTCAGGTCCCGTGTATCAGACGTGAAACTCAGACACAGGCGAGACAGCCTCCAGACGAGCGAACCTCCATTGTCACAGGAAACGTTGCCAAGCGCACCCAGCCACAGGGACTTTACACCATTGATTATTGCTCGCCCTGGTCATTAGCAATTCTAGCAAACTTGTGGAAGACTGTTGGTGAAGACGAATTGCCCCCGAGGTATTTGGCGTTGCGACCACCACCACCACCACCACCACAACCACTCAGCATTTCGAGCAGGACACGCAAGGCTCAATTGCTCCCCATCTCTGCCGATCATCTGAGCGCGCGCCAGTGGATTTACTATCTAAACTACACCCCGGCCAAGAGCAATCGAGGGTGATTCTGGTACGGGTGAATGCCGAAACGCGTACAGCGTGGTTGCCGCCTCCATAGCAACCCCTGATTGGGCGGGTGGCCTGTCAGGGGGTGCGAGTCGCGACACTTCAAGCTCCACGATCTCGATATCTGCTACGTTAATCTCAATGACCTCAACCACAGATCGTCTCATGATGGCCCCATGCAAAGGATTTCATGCTAGTCGCTAGCCCCGGTCTTGGCGGTGCACGAGCGAGCCATCGACAGGCGTCCCGCAGCAAGTCACTATGAGAAGGATCTGCGGCTAGGGTCTGTAACTACAGACCGGCTCGCTTGAGGCTCCCTAAGTTTGACGAATGTCTGCTGGAACATATGCGATGAGTCGGCCCAGCTGGCCAGCTCCATGTGCTGACAGTGACAGGCTCTGACGGCCAAGAACATCGCACGACCCCGATCCAAGAGATTCCAAATCTCCGGGGTGTTCCTGGCCCGTATCAGCAAGCCGTTTTTGCTGTTCAGGTGTCGTCTCATGTCTTCCAGGATGAAGCCTTGACCGTGGACCCGAGACGACTATTTGGCCTGCGCCTCCCTCGGTCTCTTTTTGCTCTTCTATCCTCTCCTCTTTCTCTACAGAGTCTCCTACAGACAGTCCTTGTTCCTCACGCTGGTAGTTCGAGGTTCATTCGTTCCTTTCTTGTCCATCTTTTTTTTATTGCACGTAGCTGTGCTACCTTTGACTTCTTGGGCTGGAACCCTGCTTTTCTCACTTTCTTTACATCCATTACCATCACGTCCAGACAGCTTTCGCCATGCATATCCAGAGTGTTCTCACTGCCGTTGTGGCACTTTCCGCTGCCTCGGACGCGGCCATCCTCCAGCCACGCAAGTCACCCTTCTCGAGGGCGTTGAAGAAGCGCCAGTTCGGCTTTGGGGGAGGCTTCAACAACGGTGGCTTTGGCGGCAACAACGGTGGTTTTGGTGGAAATAACGGTGGTTTTGGCGGCAACAATGGGGGATTTGATGGAAACAACGGCGACGCTGGCCAGAACAACGGCGATGACGGCCAGAACAACGGCGATGACGGCCAGAACAACGACAATGGTCAGAACAACGGTGGTGGGGGCAATGGCCAGCTGGATCCCAATGTCATCCAGGATGCTTCAGCAAGCGACGGTAATCCTGATCAAGCTTCTGGACAGGCTGCCTCCCAGACGTAAGTTTTGAGATGTACAATTTTGGCAACGAGTGAGCTTATTCGACGACTATAGGGATGACAGCAACTTCATCAACTTCTGTCAAGGGTCGACTTTGACCAACGGCGAGCAGAACGAGGGAGGTTCCTGCAACGGTATACGTAAGTGTGCCCCTGTTCTATTTATCTGTTGGACAAGACTCCGTGCTGACCAGCTTAGCCATGGGCAAGATTCCCGCCCTCAACCGCATGGTCTCTGCCATCTTCACCGAGCCCAAGAACGGTGACACAATTGCCGCTGACACCGACTTCACCATCTCGGTGCAGATGCTGAACTTTGCCCCCGGAACCTTCACAAACCCTGACAACACGTACTACGCTGCCCCCCAAGACCTTGATGGCAACGGCAACATCATTGGTCATACCCACGTTACTGTCCAAGATCTCGGGGGTGATCTTAACCCTACCAACCCCCTTGACCCGACGCAGTTCGCCTTCTTCAAAGGCATCAATGATCAGGGCAACGGTCAGGGCCTGCTGTCTGCGGACGTAGAGGGTGGTCTCCCCGAGGGCAACTACCGTCTCTGCTCACTTGTGGCGGCCGCCAACCACCAGCCTGTGATCATGCCGGTCGCGCAGCGTGGCGCGCAGGACGACTGCGTCCGATTTACCGTATCCAACAACGGCGGCGGTGGCGGCAACAATGGCGGCAACGATCAGAACCAGGGCGATGGTGGCTTTGACTTTGGCAACGGCGGTGACCAGAACCAAGGTCAGGACCAGGACCAGGATCAGAACCAAGACGGTGGTTTCGACTTTGGCAATGGCGGTGATCAGAACCAAGACCAGAACCAGGGCGGTGATTTTGATTTCGGCAATGGTGACAACCAGAACCAAGACAACCAATTCGGCGGTGACCAGAACCAGGGTGGTGGCTTCGACTTTGGCAACGGCAACGATCAAAACCAAGACAACCAAAACGGCTTCGGCGGAGGCAACTTCGGCGGCGGCAACGATTTCTTCAACGCCGATATTGGCAAAGGTGAATCAGCCACCGCCACGCCCGCTCCCACCCCGGGCTTTCGACGCTTCTAGTCGCACACATTAACAAGACCAATAGGGTTCGGTCAGAGATAGGGTTTCTTGGCAACAGGGTATGGAGTCCACTTGGTTTTTGAGGGCGGCGGGCTAGTCTGGGCTCGCAAAGTGAGAGGCAGGCAGGGTATCTGTACGGATACTACGCAGCCAGCAAGTAGATCTTTTGACTTGCGCAGTATTTCTTCCTACCTCATTCATGGGACAGGCCTATAGATTGGTCTACGTAATCTTTTCGTCCTCGTTCAATGACAGTTTTATACACTTTGGATACCATGCAACCAAAACATGAAACGATTTTCCATCACCAAGTTTGCGAGAAGGAAACCATGTCTACAAATAGTAACTCCCCTTGAGATACGAGGGTAAACCAGGCCAGGCGCAACGACTTTCCTTAAGTGGTAAGCTATCCTAATAGTGGATAAGTTTAATCGGGGGTCAAGAGGCTGAGGGGAGCTATTTGACCTCTTGAGTACCTCAATAGAATTCACGAAAGTCTATCCAGAAAGCAGCGGCTTTTAGCATCCACTACTAAATATTCCGCTCTCACATACCTTTTTGCTCAGCTCCTTACGCACTCGAATATCTCCAGCTCCATCGACCTCAGCCTAACATGAAATTCCACATATTTACTCGTATTTGCCGTGCGCTTCCTTGGCTTACGCCGCAGCAAACCCTCCGTTCATCGCGACACACCCGCACGCCGAGCCCATGGAAATCCAAATCTGATAATCGACCTGGAAGTGCCACTGGAAGAACATGGATTGGTGGGAACTCGTCGACTTCCGCCACGGCCACCAAGGCGGGTTCCAGAAGAATGAATGAAGAATCCCGCCCGAGAAGCTCATACACCCTCACGTCACCTTTGGCGCGCCAAACGCCATGGGACGCTATCCTGAAGCGCCAGCCAGCAGTCTGTCTTTCAACTTTGGCTCCAAGCTAGAGTATGGAAAACAGCTCGTGGACGCCAAGGGGAGACTCGGCCCCCCAGAGACGATGAAGCTCAAAATTGCGGACAAGACGAGACACCGTCCACTCGACGGCACACGGACCCAGACTTGGATCCTGGACCTGACCCGCACAACTACCCCCGTCGAGTGGTAAGCTACCCCAGTACGAGCTCACGGGCATAAGGCTGAAAGAGCTCGGTGGTAAAGCACGAGTACATGGCGCACATGATAGATCCGAACGTGGGTAAAGAAGCGATGAGCTACCGGCAGAAAGAGCGGGTGAAAGATAAAGGGATCGTACACAAGTCCCCCAGTTGGTACTGTCTTGACAAAAGCACGAGCCTCGTAATTCTCCTTCTATTGAGCCAGCTGAACAAGAAAGGCCTCCTGTCTGAAGGCGAAGCACTGAAATGTTGAGAAGGTTGGACACTGCAGAGGGAAGGCGAGAGGGATGAAGTCACTGGGCATTGTTACAGCATATCTTCAAGTGAAAGTTATTGTGTGCAGATTCCCACTTGTCCGAGTACATCAAGATTGGGCCGTAAGATATACTCTGCGTACAAGTGAGATATGTAGCTGTGGAAGTCAAGTTACGGATACCCTGATGAGACGGAATTGGTAGCCTGCCGATGCAGTCGCCCGCCTCGTCCATGTTGTGTTTGCAGTCGACACAACACCCAAGCCTTCCAGTACTCAACCAAACACCCTCAGGTCATTGGACCAGCTCTGGACGTCCGTTCCTCCCAGCGAAGTGCAGACGCCCGGGTTCGTCTCCACCAGCACGACCGCGCCTGTGCAGTCAGGGCCAGTCCACCCAGCGAGGTAGTATTTGGCGGCCTCGCCGACCACCACAAGGGCAGAGCCACTGCCAGGGACGGAAATATTGACGCATGCGCCACGAGAGCCGACGTAGGCAGAGGTGGTGCCCGTCGTGCAGTCGTCGGACTCGCGGAAGAGGCGTGCGTAGAAGTTGACGGGCTTGTCGGGCACCTGGGGAGCAGCAGAGGCTACCGTCACAAGGGCAAGAGTAGGGAGTGCGAAGCGCATATTGATGGTGTGTCGCGTGTTGATGTTGAAATATGTGAGTACGTACATGTAGACTACAGTAGGTGAAGGGGCTGGTCGGAAGGCATATTTATACAAAGATCAGCTGCAATGTTAAGCAGAACCCCTGGTCGATAGTTTGATATCTGTATAGGGGTTTTGGGCAACTTTTACGAATCCTACGTCTCATCGTCAGACTAGGAGGCGAGCAAAGTCGGAGCAAGCATAGTAAACGATGAACGAACCCCTTTTTGAGAGCCGCGCGCTTGTCGGGCCCAAAACACGGATAAGACGGCCATCGGACTCCATGAATCGTAGTCAAGGCCATCCTGTTCGCCTCCGAGAGGTGATATGTGTTTCCCAAAAGAGCATGTGCGAAAGTCTGGAAGGATTCGCGCAGAGGATCATGTCCCTAGGGTGATGGTCTGTCCGTCTGATTCTGGGGTCAAAGACGCTGGTATCTATGTTCATTCGGTCCGATCCACGCTCAGCTGTTCCCCGTGACTGTCCTCAGAGTGCAGCGCATGAATGAATGTGATCCGCTTGAATGTCGAAGCTCTAAGTAGACACCCGGGCTACCCTGGTTATCTTGCAAACATTGGGAACGTGATTCAATTCCACAACGAAGGCCATTGTCTTTTGTCGACTCCTTCTCCGCTGCACAGGGCCCGAAGTGTTAGCTCGAGAAAGAAAAAGCGAACCATGCCAAAGGACAGTATAATTGATTGAGGCTCTAACAGTAAGAACGTCGACTTGGAGTTGAGTGCCTAGAGGCATACTGTCTGAACCACAGGGTAGGCCAGGAGTGTTACCACGGACAACAGGACGTCACCACCCTTCCCAGAAAACATCTTGGGGCACTCCGGAGCCCCGGTCGTCAGCTCCAAGCGCACGAACCGAAGAATGAAATGTGATGAGTTGGCGGGCCCCCTCCAAATGCGGGGTTTACAAGTACGTGTACACCTCGCTGTCAAGATGCCCCGAGGTAATTAGCCAGGGTCTTCTTTTCTGGAACAATTAGCCGCGTGATCAACAACTCTCTCCGCGTCTTCCGCTTCAACCTACCCTCCCCTCATCTCCAAAAGCCTTACTTCGGGTAATTATCGCACAAGTTCCTCAAAGGTGAAATACAGTAGGAATGCTTTGATTATACCTCAAGGACTTCTCAAATTCAACAGACGCCATCCTTTCCCATCCGCCGGTCCGTACCGAGCAGCCTTAAACGACGCCTTACAAGTACAAAGCTTTGAAAAAAAAAAAAAGAGAAAACACATCCCTTTTTCCTGTTCCGTTCCTGTCCAGCCAAAAAAGAAGAGAGAAAAGGAAAAAGAACGAAGAAGCAGAAATTCATTAGTGGTATCATGTGGCAGCCATCCTCCCCAACGACAGAAGCGGCACCCCAGTCGCCGCCGGCCTCTCGACAGGGCAGCATCGCCAACCTAGCCGGTGACGATCGGAGAAACAGGAACCCCGGCCGTCGCTTTGGCCAGATTGTGCGTCTCAAGCCTGAGTACGTACAGGAATACAAGGCGTGCCATGCCCAAGTATGGCCTGAAGTCCTGAAGCAAATCAGAGACTGTAACATTCAAGACTGTATGTCGTCCTTTGCTGTTGTTTTCCACCTCGCGCTATGCTTTCTCAACATCCATAAAGGCACATTCAGGACTGCTCAAATGCCATCATCTTCTGACCCGCGATAAACAGACAGTATCTGGTGGGACGACAAGTCGGGCATCCTCTTCGCGACCTTCAAGTACGTCGGATACGACTATGCAGGCGATATGGAGCGCATGGCAGGCAACCCCAAAGTCCGAGAGTGGTGGAGGATGACGGATGGATACCAGGAGAGCTTCGTCGAGGGCGCGGTCAGTTCCGAGGCTGGTGAGCCGGCGTGGTGGAAGCCAGTGGAGGAGGTTTTCTACCAGCCGTAAGAGGTGACCCGAAGCAAGGCAATATGTCTGGTGTACAAGAGCGAATCTGAACTCGCCATTGTAGCATTGAGGGCAGTGAACCCCTTTCATAGAGCTGACAGGCCAAATGCAACCACCATCCTTATGAGGTAGACACTCCAGTGCGGACGATGCGGTTGTTCCCAGTCGCCACGCCCAGTTTGGGCCGATTCGAGGCTCCAGATGCGCCCAGAGGGGTCCCGGGGGTGCTACCCTTGCCAGATTTCCCTCCTTTACCCTTGGCCTTGGCGGCGTCGTCGTTGAGAACAGACGAGTCCCAGATGCTGCGTGGCACTGGGCCCTTTCCCAAGTCTGTCAATCTCGAGAGTGTTGACAGCGTACCCCGTGACAGACCGTCGCCAATTTCCTTGTCGCGAACCTGAAGATTGTGCCAGTCCACGTCGGGGGTGTTGCACATCATGACAAAGTCTGATGGCAAATTCTCGTCTTGCCGTTTCGCAGCCTCGAATGACCCTGCCACGCCCAGCCGTTTGAGATGGCCCTTGTATGACTTGCGCAGAGGATTTTTCAGTTTCTTGTTGGTGACGGCGTTCTTGTCCAGCGCGCCCTTGTCCTCGGCTGTCGTGGCGGACTTGTCTCCCTCGTCGTCGGCCTTCTCCACCACTTTCTCGCGGGCGAGCTCTGCAGCGATGCCGGTCAGGTTGTACATTTCGTACAGGTCTTGCGTCAGCCGCGGCAAGGACACGGGATGCGCTGTGTTGAAGATATCATGTTAACAAACAATGTTCACTTGACGACGGTAGGACAACGCCATCGCCCCATCGACTGGCAAAATCTCCTGCAGGGCAAGAAGGACAGCACAGTGGAGGAGGGACCCTTACGATTCTGGCAAAGCAGGTACTTGGCACCCACGTCGAGATGCAAATCATCGAGACCGCGCCTGGCATCGTCGCCGTCCAGGTGAACCTTTTTCTGATCCCCCCGGTCGCCATCGTCTTCGAGAGCGCGTTTGCGCTTTTGCGATTCGTCGGTCATGGAAACGTCGGGATCAGGTTGACTGGCGCCGTTGACACTGTGAGCCGGGGTCGGGAGTGTTTGCGCGGTTGACATGGAGCTGACATTCGAGAACGAGTGTACAGCGTCCGACGATGTGGTGGCGGGTGACTTTTGCGAAGGGCTCTGGGGAGTCTGGGGGTGGAAAGAAGACATTGTGATTGTCTGATTATCAGTCGTCTTTGTGCGGTGTCGCAAAAACCAGATAGTCAGTGTCAACTGTTCGGAGGAAACAAAGACAACGAGGTTGCCCGAGCCGCTGGCCTTGAAGGCGCTTGGACGCTCTCCCTCAGACGCTCGTCATGCACGGATTGATCATTCGTTTCCCTTGGACTGGCGGCGGTTAGGAAAGTCGGGACTACGTCGATAATCGATCGACCGGCTGAAAAGTGGCTGTCGTTCAAGGTCGTAAATCGTCAAGAAATTTAGGTCATCGGTTTGTAGAAGCCACTGTTTGTAGGTTCGCAGGTCGCAGCGCTCGGTACAGTGAGGGTAGGTTGTGGATGTGGTAGTGTAGAGTGCAGATGATGATGTTGCAGAGCGAGCAAGCAAGACATACACTTGAGGTAAGGTAGGAAGCGGAGGGAAGGTGTTGGTGCCTGAAAATCAAGGTTCTCCGGGGTGGGCGGGTTGTTTGGAGAAACTTTAGTGTAGCGCAAGGCAAAGCGAATGCAGGCGCTGGAGGGCGCTGAAGGGCGCTGTGTTTTGGGCATCACAGGCTGCCGCCAGCCGTGTTAGCCCGAATTTTCCGGTAGCGGGGACTGGTCCCTTGGTATTCATACTTTAATTGTTCGCAACGCTTGTCTACACGAAAGCTAAATATTACATTTTCTCGTCTGATGTAGAAATTCCAGCGCATAAAAGACATTAAGTTTCCTTTCGGAATTAATGCTCTCGCCTCAAGTTCGAAGGTCGTGGCCTTACACGACCATGGTACAAACAATTCGAGCCAATGAGCAGTATTCGTCGACCCCAGTCCGCGCTTAGTCACATGACGTGCAGCGATGTAGTTTTGCTACACACTTCAGGCCCGAATTTTACTCTTCCTCTCCCTTCTTTTTCTTCTTCAACATTTGACCAAGACCGATTCGCGCCGTGTAATATACAACGTCAGCTGGCATGTACTCCCCTCCTCGGGAGAGTACACTCGTCAGTGCCTACTGGCGAAGCTCGGTTGCGTGCGTCGAGAAGAAAACAACCTTGCCTAAAACCATCATCACGAGGGCCCCTCGTGCGGCTGCCATGATGCGATGATGACCTGATGCAAGTGACATGCCTCCCAATACATCATTTCCGAGTGACAATGTGGAAAAGCAAACACCTAAATCAGAGCGGGCTGCACCTTGCGTTGCCTCGCGTTGCGCAGCAGGTGAGTCAAATCCCGAATGGCACTCTTCTACTTCCACGGCTCGTGATGACACCTTACATCTGGTAAACCTATCCTTCCTTGGTCGCAGTTGGCAGCGTCCTCCGAGATTGACTGCCAACCACTTGGATGTGGGAGGAAACTCGGCATGTCTGACATGAGCCCACCGCACCAACACTGCTATCTACTGTGGCCCGACACTGGCTGATGTCGACAAGCAGGCGATACATCACTAGCCACTGGCCGGGGAAGAATTTAGCAAAAGCATCATAGGCACAACATTGATGCCGATACGTGGGAACAGTACATGTAGGGATTTGACGAAGGCATATGCATTGTTCGCATTGATGAGTCCATGTGCGCCTCTATAGACCGGTCCAGATAGCACCGCCCTTTGCGGTCAAAATCATATTAAATGTACAAGTATCAGAAATAACCAGGCTGGCCTCTGGCCTGTCAGAAAAGAAAAGAAGAATAATCCCATGTTGGCCATGCGAGACCTGCCATCCGCTGAATGACCTTGCTGACAAGTACCTGCAGCATAGCAGGGCTTTTGGACGTTTTTGAAGATGGCGGGCCGGCCACACTCGTTCAAAGTCGGCTACGGCCGACTCGTGTATTCAGAAGGTCTATTCTCGCCAGGAAACACGTGAGGTCGACCTGCGTATGTCTGGTGACTCAGAAGTCCGCGGGGGTCTTGGTGCGGCTCTGCGTTCCCTGGTTTGTTGTGAGGCGCAAGTAAATACTCCGTCGCTCTGGAGCTCGAAGCAGTCCCGGTGCGTGGGGGAGGCCCAGCGAGATGGTTTTTGGCATCGTTCGCACGAGAGTATGTAGAGCTCAGTGGCGCGGTGAGTGGCGCCGGTGGATAGCTTGTGGTATATACATTTGGATTCGTGTATTGCGTCGAAGGATCCGATAACGAGACACCGAGATGGTGCGAGGCCCTCGGTTGGTTGCTCTGTGACCGATATTGGTCCTCGAGGTCGAGATGCAGAGGGAATGTCGCAGAGGTGGCCCGTAGTCGAGGTCGATCCGAAGACGCCATGTCTTTAGGCGCGTATGCAATGTTGTTGTTCATCGCAAACGCTCGGACTGGAACTGTCAGCTTGCTTGGTTTCTGGCACGAATTTGTGGACGTCAGAATTACCGGAGTAGCTGTCGTTCGCATAGTGTTCAGAGCTTTGAGTATCGCCGCCCACCGAGTAGTGGGCATGTTGGCGTTCTGACGTGCCTCCTTCATGCGCCCCGACCTTCCATTCGGGATATTGCAAGGGACTGTCCTGCCATGTCAAGTTCGGCCTCGAAGGTGATTGCAAAGAGTCAACTCGCGATCGCGACGAAGAGTCTTGCAGATTCAACGGATGTAAGCTTCTGCTGCCGTACTGCCCTAGCTGGTACGTGCTTTGGAGGGCCCCAGCGGACAATGGGCCGGCACTGTGGTTTGCAGACCCGAATCTGGGAGGATACTGGATGCTATGAGTCTGTCCTCTTTCTGCCGACGACGAAGAGAGAGGTGATACCAAATCATCGTTGGTGCCACTGGAAGCGCGGAACCCAGTCGTGTCAAATGCGGGCGGGGGTCCTGTAGGCGAGACATTCGTATCTGCCTGGGGTCTCTGGACATCCACCATCAGAGGCCTGTTCATATGGTTGCCCGTCTGCTGGCCTCCCATGCTGGTCGGAGTCAGATTTGGTGCAAGGCCTTGGACTGCACCGTACGGAGAGTGGAGTGCCTGTGCACTGTTGAAGCCCTCGGGGACAGCTCTCATCTTGATCACTCGGTCCCTGTCCTCAGCACTGAGTCGCTTTATTTTCGCACGCCTGGCTGTTGTGAGCCACTGGTCTGCCCAAGGCAGAATATGAAGATGCCTAGCTTACCTGTTCTGGAACCAAACTTGCACCTGACGGGGGCTAAGGCCTGGTATCTCCCTGGAGAGCATGTCTCGGTGCGCAGCATCTGGGTGAGGCTGTTTGATAAACTCATTCATCAAGAACCTAGTTTGTTGATGTGTAAGCCTGTCATAGTTAGCTTGGATATGGTCAAGTCACATCACCTGCACTTCTTACCGAAAACGCTTCATCTTCCTCCTAGCAGCGCTTCTTTCAGCAGCTGTCATGGGGCGGCCGAGCGGTTCGGCACAGCCGTCTTCATCCTCCTCCATGCCATCGTCTTCGTCCTCGGCCTTGAAATCCATGAAGGATTCCTCGCATCGAATAGATCCATGACCCCGAGGCGTACTGGCGACGCCGTCACCATGTACAAAGCCTGTATTTCCATGCTCTTGTGCAATGTCCGGGTCTACACTGTACTCCTGTGCCATGCTCTGACGCAACGTGTGCGCCGTGGGAGCTTCGTTCAGTGCTTGAGGAATATGTGCCTCCGAGAACCGGTTTACATGCATCGATGACTCCACCTCGTCTTGCTTGCACGTTGAGACCGGGCTTTGCGCTCTACTGTCGTAGTTCTGTTCTGGCTCCGGTTTGGTCAGGGTCCCCGTGGTAGGAGATCCATGTTGTAATGGATATGGTAAGGTGTCTACCCAATCTGTGTGCGTCGACGAGGAGATGTTGAATGGATTCGACATGCGTGGGTGGACTGGTACAGCACAAGATTCGACAAAGCTGTGGAAACCGCTACCAGAGGTTTGGACGTCTCGAACCCGACTCGTGAGCATCGAATTTGGCAATAGCTCTGCACTAGTTCCTTGGATCCTCGGATCGCGGGAACGACATAGATCGATTTGATTGACTTGTAGCAGTTCCTAGTCCCAGGACTGATCAGTCTCGGATTGTTCCAGACGAGACACGTCGAGATTGCTGTCGTATAAGACTGTGTTCTCGATCGTATATGTCAACAGGGCAAAGATGGCGCAAAGACGGGCCCTTCTCCCGAAATTAATATCTTTTCGGAGCTGGCCAGATGGCTGCTGAGCCCTCAATGAATCTTGCCACGGGGACTATCAAAGTTAGGCAAGTCCAAAATGTGCTCCTCCCCCAGAGGCTTCCAAGAAGAGGGAGAAGAAGCAGAAAAAGAGAACGAAATTCGCGGACGCGTAGCTGCTCGTTCAAGGAGATGATGGTCGACGAAGGAATGCGCGGATGATGTTGCAAGCAACAAACTTGATTCAGTTTGATGCTGAAAGGATATCTATCCAAGTCAAGTTGTGGCGACTGCGAGAAGGAAACAGATCCTAGGCAACGTCGGCAGGGTTATGTTCGAAAAGATCAGTTGACGTCGAGGCGGCCGGGGCCAAGCAGGCAATCGGTACTTGAACAATGGTCCAAACTGGTGAAGAGGCCCACTCGGGTTGGCCGTTTCGAGGTGCCAGAAGTTTGAAGGATAAGATAGGTACCTGCGTGTCGGACAGAGACAGGGATTGCGGATCTTGAGCCTTGGAAAGTCCGTCCTCTATTGAGCCACCCACAAGCGGGTCGGACCAGATTCAAGCATATCTCTCAATGGAGTCACGGGCAAGTAAGAGGTCGACTCAGGGTCTAAATGCAATTCTTCCCCAAACACCGGCGGGAGCGGCTAAGCTAACGCTTCAGCTGTCACCTTGAAGCGTGGGTTGGGTTGCCCTGTTGTGGAACAGCGGAAGAGACTGTCAAGATGTTGACCCACGTCCTGATCAAGCTGGCAGGCTTTAGGCTGAGTTCTGCCTATGCCCTCGTGGCTTGCTTGGCCGAGACTTATTAGATAGCGGCTAGGGACATGGACGCAAGCGCCAGGTTTGTGTTTCTGCAGCCACAACCGCTGCCGAGCCACTGGCAGCAACGGGCGTACGAACAGGACCAAGGATGGTGATGCAGCAGCCCGCAATCTCCTTAGGGGTGGTGTGTATGGTGTCGACATGACATGGAGCCTGTAGGCACCACCAGGCCTTGGACAACGGGTGCTCTTACGATGTACGTATTGGCGAAGGGGCCCCCCGGCGTGTTTCGCGGCACTACGGGCGTTCGTCCAAGTTCCCGGGGGGAGGAGCACGCACCAGTGCTGACACACCGCCTGACAACAAGGTTAACAGCCTCCTCAGTGTCCAGATTCCAGCACGATGTTCTCGAATCCCAAGCTGTCAGTGAGTGTTGCCAGTTGGGGAGATGGATATTCTTCCTCTTCGGGCGCTGAAACGTCCCGAGGGGGGATTTTCCGCCGTTTCTGGCGGCTTTTGCAAATGCAAGACGTTGATGTGCAGCCGCCGGATGTTTGTCGCTTGCAGCACGTACTGTACATACCTACTAGCTCAGCTGCACATGTATGGCAGGGATCTGTAAGCTCCCCTCCCGATCGGATGTCAAAGTCATTATCGTGACAGCGTACCCCGGCGCCGCTCAGATCTCGCGGATGTGGCCATGATGCGATGTATTGATTCAACACTGCTACATTTGCAGCTGCGCAACTGTGGTATTGTGCTGCCCCGCCAGCATACAGTAACATCATGCCTTCGGTACTTGGTGAGACGAGATTCTGAAGACCGTTTGAGTACTACGTCTCAGGGCTTCTACGCTCACTTGCGGCATGCGTCGATTTGTTACCTACTATGCAGCAGTCGGAGAACTTGGCGCGTTGTTTTATGAAGGGGTCCTAGGGTGGACGGTTTGTTGTTTGAAGGGCGGGGTCTTTCTTGTTCAGGACATGGGTTCGTTGGGTGTTTGCTTCCAGGGGCAGAAGGGGCGGCCAGCCGGTGCAAAGTAAGGTGGGGTAGGGCAGGGTAGGGTAGGTGCAGCGGGGCGGGATTCTCGTGGCATGAGTGAACAGTGAAGTTGTTTGATGTGGGCAGAAAGGTTCCTGAATCCTGACCACCTATTATGGATCTTGCCGCTCTGGTCCGTTCGACTACGTCCAATCTGGCTAGCCTATAAATTAAGCAACAAGGACAGCCCAGCTTTATCAGTGGAGGGTCAGGGGTGGGGGGGTTAGGTTAGATCTAAGATTCTGAAGCCAAATTCGCGACAATTACCCTAATCATATAAGACTCGTCTTCATATACAACGGTTCGGTCCACAGTATCTTCGCCTCACTCGAATGACACAACGACAGCCGTGAACCATCTGGGGGAAGTCGGCTCGCGGTGCTCATCATGCCTGATGCGAAGACGATTGATCGCTCACGGTCTTTCGGTACTGAATGCCGATGAAACGCTGTCAAATTCACTCATTACAAGGGAAGATGGTTGGGTCATGTTACATACGTACTTATTACTGTACATGTAGCATGGGCACTCCGCATGAGGGTTAGTACAGTGCTAGTATAGGTAGTCGTATCCCTGTTGCAGTGGATCATTCAACGGGGATTGTCGATGATTACATAGTAATAGGACGGACACGATAATAGGTGCGGTAGTTTGCGCATGGAGAACGTCGTAATGTTACGGAGTACGGATACTTCTCGACACATTTCTCGAACACGTCCGCCAAGGCGAGATCGCCCCGCGACAACGTGACACGGCCGCCAACCGCCGAAAAGTGACAACGCGCTAGATCCGGAATCTAGGGAAGCAGCCCGAATGAGCCGCCAAGCTGATACGCGCTACATTCGCAAGCCTTGTGCTCAACGCGTAAAAGGCCGGCCCTGGCGCGAGTCGCGCGACTTCTCGGACCTCGTGCAGGTGCGTGCTGTTGTTGCGCAGGACAGCAGAGCACCAGAAGGGGCCATCTGGACCGTCGATCGTTGAGAGAAAACGGCAAACTCACAAGTGTCCAGCGGCTCCAGCCGCCGACTCGACGCAGACGGAGCGCTGCTTCAGGTACGGTGGGCTTGCGGCCCGGTCATCACATGCTCTGGCCTGTCCTGCAATAGCCAAAGGGTTTCATCGTGCGGTGAGATGCACAAACGAGCAACAAATGTCAAATTTCGAGGGGGGTTGTACGGAGTACGGAGTCGTCTCGATGGAAATTCCCTCATTCGGCGTAGAACTTGGAAGCCCTCTGAAAGCATTTGATTCCTTGATTATCGCGAATTACTTCGGCCACCAAATCATGGATCCCCAACCCCTGGAAACTACATCCAAGACGTCGCCCCCAGGTCCAAGGAGCAGACTGCAGCAGTTCAGCCGCCGACACGTATGAACTGCGTATCGTAAGTACCCAGGGCCTGCCTCTGCCGGGTACCCGGACCATATGATCATCGCGATCTTGCAAGTCCATTATTTCTCCCTTCGTCAAATCGTGCCGGAACTTGGCGCAGAGCTCGAGCCACGCTACGGTTCCGCCCAGCCGACTCAGCCTTAAGCTTGTTGGACGTCAACATCCGGATTATTTGTGACACCTGGATGAAGAGCCACAGCATGATCATGGGGCCCGTCGTCACACATCGCCCTAAAGGGGTCGCGGTCGTGAGTACTGAAACACGACCCAGGGCGCTTTGCCCACGGGGACATGACATGATGACAGCCATGTTTCCCGGGTACGCGCTGCCCCTGTTATCTGCGTTGGGAGATCTGATTTGAGAGTTTTTTAGTTTTTTTTGTGGTTATTAGGATAGGTCACCAAACCTTATACCCTGACCCCTGCTTGAGGTTTCAGATCATCGTCCTGGACGCCTTGTGGGGCCTGGAGGCTTGAAATACCGGAAGAGCTTGCGAAAAGGATTGATATAATGCCGCCTGAGTAAAATGATATCTCGCCTCGTCTCGCTGTAATACTCTCATATTTGGGACTTGGCATATCTTGCCCAGAATCACATGCTATGTAGTTTGGTACTCGCAATTAAACGAGGATTGACCCGCCAGCTGCCAGCAACCAGTTCACTCGCGACGCAATGCCCCGAACACGGTGGGCGATACAGACACAATTCAGCTTCGGCATTGACTTGTGTTTGCTACATCGAAGGGATCAGTATTCGTAGAAGCCTTTGCCGCTCTTCTTGCCCAACCATCCAGCATCAACCATCTTGCCCAGCAGGACGCTTGGTCGATACTTTGAGTCACCCGTCTCACCGTGCAGCACTTTCATGATGGAGAGGCAAGTGTCCAGACCGATAAAATCAGCGAGCTGAAGTGGACCCATGGGGACGTTGGTGCCGTTCTTCATAATGGCGTCGATCGAGTCACGGTCACCGACGCCCGTCTCGAGGCAAATGACAGCCTCGTTGATGTATGGCATCAGGATGCGGTTCGCCAGAAATCCAGGAGCATCAGCCGAGACACTGGTGATCTTTCCCATCTTCTTGCAGAATGCCACGGCAGTGTCGAGCGTCTCCTTGCTCGTTTGCAAACCACTGATGATCTCCACACCCTTCTGCACCGGCACCGGGTTCATAAAATGTGTCGAGACGACACGCGATGAAGCCGACGTGTCAGTGGGGTCGGAGGTCGTCGCAGCCGCAATCTTCGTGATGGAGATGGAGGACGTGTTGGTAGCGAGAATGGCATGCTTCGGGCAGATCTGGGCCAGCCGGCGGAAGATGTCGAACTTGAGCGAAGGAAGCTCTGGCACAGCTTCAATGACAAAGTCGACCGAGCTCAGGTCGTCCATCTCTGTGCTGGCCGTCAACAGGGAGCGTGCCTCGTCAGCCTGCTCCTGTGTGAGCTTTTGCTTGGTAACATCCTTGTCGAGGAGCTTCTCTGAGTGTCATAGATTAGCCGATTGTTCGGAATTGGGCGTTGGCGGGGACGCGCATACTGGCAAAGGCAAGGCCCTTTTGGATAGACGCCTCCGAGTTATCAATCAGATGCACTGGAACCTGTGCGGCGCGCGCAGCGACGAGGGCTATTCCCAGACCCTTTGTCTGCTGTCAGCTATGGTCTTAATCACATGCTTCGCGGGGGAGCCGTACCATCTGCCCAGCGCCAATGACACCCAGGCTCTTCACATCGGCCGCATAGCGCCGTTGAGAGGTGCTGAAGCAGCGGGCGGCGCCCAATGCCTGTCTTCGGAAGAGTGAGGCCGACATTTTGGTAGTGGTGAAGCGTGGGATCGTGAGGGAAGGTTGGAACATTGATGACGGATCTGTGAGTGTGGGCAAGATGACGCTGAGCGGGCGGCTAACCTCGGCTCTGGGGACAATGGGACCGGAAGTGGATAACGGTGGTTTATCGTGCTTATCGCGTATCTTGATAGTGGATCTGTCAATTTACGCGAGTCGCCATCCAGAGACGCGTTTCGACGCGTTTGCCGTGGTGCGTATGTAAGTAAGTACCTTGGTAGTGGGATGCTCGAGCTTTCACGTTACGACATTGAAAGTTCGCATTTTCGAGCTCCAGACGACAGTGCCCACCAGGATGGAGGCATCTGACCTCAATAACGACATTGTTCATCCCGAAGTTCGAGCGCACATCAACTCTCTTGTCTCTGCTGTATGTCATCCGACGGCGGAAGCACTCCTCATAATCGCTGATAACGTAGCTCGGTGGCGTCAGCCAAGAAGACGACGGTCGATACCAACTCGGAGACGATGCTCTCGAGGTTCTACGCGATATCAAACGATGGATCCGCTTTTACGATGAGAAGACGAACCGAATGGACGTTGCGCGATGCGTCTACGAAGCGAACCTCATAGAGGGCGACCTTCTCCCCATCCTCTCCTTGTGGCCCGAAAATGCGACGGACAGCAAGTACAAGGCACGGATAGCGCTGTCCTGCTTTGAGGTCATGGTGCCGTTGACATGGCCCATACAAAGGGACCGGGAGGCCATGACGATCAACCACCACCGTCACATGCCGGTCCTGGAGCTAGCCCACGTCGCTTACAAGAGAGCCATCCTCAACTTTGACGGCGCGAGGGTTCTCAGTTGTGCTGTCAGAGTCGCTTTACCAGCCATGCAAAAGCCGATCAGTGAGCGCACGCAGAGGGACCAGGGCATCATCAAGCTGGCCTTGTTCTTCTTGCGAAACGTTGCTGCCATTGCCCCGCCACCGGGTGTTGCATATGAGGGGGACGAGTCACAGATTTCGAGGTCCGCAACGATCGACGCCTTCTCGTTCCAGGACATCTTCCACCTACTGCTGATGCTGGCGTCGAACATGGGCGAGGACTTCCGGACAGAGGACACGACGGTTATGGAGGTCTTGTACCATCTCGTGAAGCGGATCAATGTCAAGGAACTGTTCATGACCGAGAAGCAAGCGGAGCATGCCCAGGGCAATGAGCTTCGACAGGTCATGAGGAAGGAGATCAACATGCTCAGATCGCAGAACCAAACTCGGGGCGGACGAAACAATCGATTCGGCTCGATGATCTGGGTGAAACGCGATGATGGCAAGATGACCACCTTGACGGGCCAGGATGCTGTATCTAGCGCCGCCACGCGACAACGGAAAATGGACGAGGCAAAGACATTCAAGCCACCGCGGCGAGGCAAGAAGGAAGACAAGCACGATCGGGAAATTGGCCCGGCAGTCACGCTGGACTCTCGAGCAACTACGCAACTGCGGACTTTCGTGGAGGATTTCCTGGACTCCGGCTTCAATCCCCTTTTCTCCCACGTGCGCAAGACCATCGACCGCGAGGCCAACTATCTGATGGCGTATCATAAACGCCAGTTCTTCTACCTGGTCGCCTGGCTCCTGGAGGCGGAGCGCATGCGGCGCAAAGCGAAACAAGGGTCGGATGTGCGGGACGCCGAGGAGGTGACGAGCTTCAACCTCGTGGCGGGTGTTTTGAATCAGGAAATGTTCATCACCTTGAACAGGGCGTTGCATAACTCATTCGAGGCGAAGGAGTGGCACGACCTAACAGCTGTCATGCGTTGCTACACGCAGATCTTCATGACCGTGCAAGAGATGCAACAATGCGGCCGGGAAGATGACGAGGAGATCGCGGAGAACATTCTCAGTCGACTCTTCTACGAGGAGGCCACCCATGATGCTATCACCAATATTATCAGGGGGTACAAGGACCAGGGGTTTGACTACCTCGACGCTGCCACGGAACTGGTGCACCACTTCTTGCGGATCTTGGAATCGTACTCAAAGCAGAATGTCGACATGCAAGTTCGCTCGCGGAAACGGACCCGAAGGAAGAAGAAAGCTGCCCAGGCAGCCGAAGGCGTCGCCGCGTCCGATGACGAGGGTGACGGCTCGGGCAACGACGAAGCTGCCGCCGAGAAAACGTCCAAAGACCGCAAATTTGACTTTATACGTTTCGCGTCACGGTTCACGCCCCAGCCTATTGTGAATACGTTTGTAACGTACACCAAGTACTACCGCGACCTCAACGAGGACCAGCTCAAGCGTGCCCATCGATTCTTCTACCGCATTGCTTTCAAGCAAGAAATGGCCGTCATGCTCTTCCGCGTGGACATTATCCACCTGCTCTACAACATGATCAAGGGGCCCGAGGCGCTCGATGCCAGCCTGCCGAGCTTCAAGGAATGGGAGGATTTGGTGAGACACATTATCCGCAAATGCACCAAGAAGTTGGAGCAGCGGCCCGAGCTGGTTGTGGAGATGCTGTTCAGCAAATTGCCCAGCACGGCGTTCTTCTTGGAACATGGCTACGAGAAGCAGACGATCAGAACGACACAGCCCAAACCAGCGGCAGAGTTGGAGTTCAAGGATGCCGGGGCCATGGAGCGTGACAGGCAGATTGCGATTGTGGTCGGCGCTCTGCTCGACAAGAACCAGGCAGACTTGGTAACCTTCGTCAAGAAAGTCGCCGGGGATGCTGAGGTGGAAAGGAAAGCATGGCAAGATGCTGAGAGGATACGGCAGATGGAGGCAGATCCCTTTGACGAGGGCGCGACTGAATCGGACCCGAAAGCACCCCCTGTCATCTGTGAGCTATTTTACCCCTTTATTTTCTGGGATCCATACTAACAACTGCAGTCGCCCGTCCAGACAACGATGGCCAACGAACAGCCATGTTCAAAAACTCACATCTTCGACTGCTCATGTCGCTCGCCGGCTTCAAGCTCCTCGGTGCAGCAGATGAAGAGACTCGTGACTCATCGTGGATCATTCCCTCGGAGATCACACCTGATCATCTCAAAGACACCGTCCACTTCATCAACCAAGCAGAGTTCAGCCCACCAACGTTCGAGGAGGGGGTGCTAGCAGACCATCAGCTGAAACGCAAAAACGTCCCTCGGAAGAAAGCCACCTTTGATGACGACGAAGAAGGGAACATGGACAATGACGACTTTCTGGACGATGAGATGCTTTTCACCGCTGGGGGGCCGACAGCCCGCAGGGCGGAGAAGCCAACCAAGCCGAAAGCAACACGCAAACGGCTGCAACGCAAGGAGCAGACCGAAGAGGAGCTCGACGAAAAGGCCCGGAAGCGGCGGGAGCGCGAGAGGGAGAAGCAGGCGCGCATCAAGTCGGCGCTACGCATCCAGGACGGAGACAGTGACTTTGACGAGGAGGAAGACGAGGCGTTCTTCAGGAGGGAGAGGGAGATTGCGGCCAAGGCGGCCATGGTAGCGGAGCAGGCTGGTACCGAGCTCGCCGACGTGCTGGCTGGCAGCAGCAAGAAGAGGAAGTCCACAGCGCTGGTGGACAGTAGCGATGAGGACGACAGCGACAGCACCGCAAGCAGTGGGAGTGACGGGAGGAGGAAGAGGCGTACGTCGACTGTGTTTGATGAAGAGGAGGCGGATGGCAGCGCCTCACAGCGCAGGAGTGCGTCCCCGAGTCAGAGTGAGGGCGACGACGAACAGGACGAAAATCTTGTTGAGCACGGTGCCATAGACAAGAGTCTCGCGCCTGGCAGTGCAGATGAGGAGGATGACGACAATGCACTTATTCCTGCACGAAGACCAAGGGTAAGAGGTGGCTTTGTGATGGATGACAGTGACGACGATGAATGAACCAGGCAGCATCGGCATGGAGTCTGGTGGTACGCATTTGGGAACTGGCGCGGTCTATGGGAATGCCATGATATCTATCTTTCTAAATCAGTCAAACGCTTGTTGTTCTACCCTCTTATTTGGAGGCCCTTGTGCTGCCAACGGACCGTCTCTCGACATTGTCACCAGAGACTGTCCCTGTGGTCGTGGCCCCGTGGGATCCTTCACCCGTTGCGCCAGCCATGACGCCTTCATTCTCCTCTTCGACCTCTGTGGTCTCCTCACTCTCTCGGCCGCCCCACGAGCCGCCAATGCCTTCCATGGTGAAGGGACTGGCGGTGGGCGCGTCTAGAACGCCCAATTCGTCCGGCGACAGGATCTTGGGGAGGAGGAGCGCCCGGATCGGTATCAATGCGAAGATGAAGACGGGGAAGCCCACGGCCGCGACGGTCTGTGTGATGGCAAACGTGGCCACAAAGCTCACAAATTGGATGCCGACAAAGATCCAGATGGCCGATCGGCGCTTGATGGCCTTGAGGGGGTGATTGCTCGGCGTCAGGTGCTGGTCCCGGCAGAGGAAGAGGAGCTTGTCCGTCATGCCGTTGGCCTCGAGCGCCTGGATGCCCATGACGAAGAAGAGGCCGGCCAAGACGCCCTGGGGAATGAGATTCAGCACGACCAGGAGCGGGGCCGACATTGTGCCCAGCGTCAGCAGGCCTTGCGCGAGGTTGCTGACGCGCTGCTCGACCACGTGAGTAGCCTCGAACGTGTAGCCTCCCTTGTCCTCGCCCTTCTCGTTGAGCTCCTTGACGGGCTTGGTGACGCAGAGCGAGTCGGTGTGGAAGGGCGCCTGGGGGATGAGGCCATTGGGAAACGGCAGGCCGAGGATGCCGGCCACGCCGACGGTGAGGCCGAGGAGGAAGAGGTCCCAGTGGAAACCAGCCGGTTTACGGAGGGGGAACTCGCTGCCTTGAGCGATCAGGGACGACACTGCGGGCGACTGGGTTAGCATGCATACATGTACGTACCGAGCAGGAGCATCAAAAAGCAACGTACCGTTATGGTCGAACCAGAAGAGAACCGTCAAAAGAACTGCGAAGGGCAGTGCGAGGAAAATGTCCCCGGCGCTCATGTCCCAAAAGTTGACCAGCCAGTTTCGGTTGTCGTTTGTGGGCATGAACGACGTGCTGGTCGGAAGAACATCGATATCCACGCCCCGCATGCGCCCAATGTGGACAAACCCCGTGAAGAAGATGAGGGTCAGCGGCGTGCCATAGTCCTTGATGAAGATCCTGATCCAGTGCTTGAATAAGGAGCTCCCACCAATGATGCCGCATATGTACGCACACATGAAGACAAGCAGAGCCACGACGATGGACAGGTAAAAGGACGATGAGCCCCCCAGGCGCTCGAGGACTTGGACGCCCTTTTGCAGGTAGATGAAGGCGACGTAGAAGCCAAAGATGTCGCAGGGGAACCGAGTGACCCAGCGAAGCCAGTTGCAGGAGTTCGTAATAGCAAGTAGCCAGTGCAGGATGAGAGACCAACTGCAACAGTGAGACAAGCGGCCGGGCGATGCTGTCGCGGGGGATACTCACATTCCTATCCAGCACATGAAGCCAATGTAATTGACACCTGTGGGTTCCATGATATCGTAGACAGTGCTGCAGATATGGTCAGCCAGGTGAGTCCCAGTCAGTCAGTCAGTCAGTCACGCAAGCGATCGAGGTGGACGAACTAATTGAAGACGGTGATGGGACCTGGAGCGTCAGCATGCAATCAACCATCGAGCGGACCATTCGTGGACCATTCGTACCTGTTACTCCCACAATAACGAGCGGCTGCGCAGAGAACAGCGAGAAGACGACAGCACCAAGTACGGATGCTAGCAGCACCTCATTGACGCCGTACTCGGTGCCAGTGTTCTGGAACATGTCCAGTGAGAAAGCCAAAGCGGGTAGAATACTAGTTGCCGAAAGTCAATTTCCCACGATTCTGCGGAGGCCACATGAACATTTGGAAAAACACATACTTGGCGAAGTACATGTAGATGGTGGCGGGCACCACTCTGTAGTCCCACGCGTCGACCCAGTCGCTCAAATAGTACGGTGTTCTCCTCTTCAAATCGTTGATCATGCCTCGGAACAGATGTATCTTCCACCATCTCTCGCCTTGGCGAGGCGCTTGACGCTCTGCGTCCATGTTTTCTGTTGCTGCTGGCTGGGCTGAGGCAGCCATGATCGTCGGCGATTGAGCCTCTGGAGATATGCGATGCACATGCACAAAAAGGGATATAAAGAATGTGTCCACAACAAAGTGGTGGCCTCTCAGGCTTCAAATGCAAGAAACAAAACCTAGATCTCACTAGGCGCGCCGACGAAGAAGGGGTCTCAAGAGAAACAAGAAGGGAGGTTGGCCGGGAATAATCAGAGGAGTTTATCCTTGAGTTATATGCGACGGAATGATGAAGACGAGGAGGGGGCCCGTAAATACATGTACTGTAATTAAGACCAGGTGCATACCAAAAGAAGTAAGTGCTAAAAGAAAGTAAAGTTTCCGAGATTCCCTCAGAAGACCCTAAGAAAAGATCTACACCCTGCCAATGGATGATGGGGAACGCGTTTTGACTAGCGGTGGCCCTGACTTTGGATCTTTGACCTGATCGATTCGCGTGCTCAAATTATTTCATATTCACCCACTGCGTCAGTCAAAAATGAGTCCATCTGGGCGCGAGTCGTGGTCCAAGGACCCAAGACGGTGTCGAAGAACTGATTCCTGAGGCACGACAGGGAGAAACAGCGAGAGGGACTGGAGAGTTCCCTCCGCCACTTGCAGCATGATGTCAGCATCCCAATCAACCGTACAAAGCGCGCAGAAACCAAACGCAACCCATGATCGCATCGGGATACCAATCCGTGCCATTGTTCCCAGTCATCGCCCCAGGGTTCACAACATCAAATGTCGTTCAAGACCATCCATGGCGATGACCAGGGGACCCAGCGTCTTTTCCTGCCGGGAACTTTGTAGGCCAATGAGAGTGGGCAATGACGGCTTGGCCTGTCGGGTTAGTGCTACTCCCGATGTGCCCGCGCGACGTCAACGGCGGCTTTGCCATGTATGAACGGTTCGGTGAGTAGTATCTTTTTCTCGCAAGAAAGGGTATCCTCATGCGTGAGATGCAAGAGGGGACCTTGTGAGCGATAGGGACACAACCGGGCATGCATGAGCAGGTAGCCCTGGTGATATCTGGTCAAGGCTCACAAAGACCAGTCCAGTCACCTTTGCAAGATCATGACAACGTGCTCACAGATCAACAGCAAACAGTAACTACCTTTGGATGACAAACGGGACATATCCCGACATGACTCGAGTAATACTCTAAGAACGGGAGGATGCGAGCGTCCTCGAGCGAATATAGTACATATAACAGTACAGATAGCGTCTATGCCCTCTCTTCCTCCTCCCACCACCCACCCCCTTGTAGATTCCAAGCACGTCTGGGGCACCAAGATAAAATACAGATGGAAATCCGGTGCCCTGCATTGAGTAGAGAAGCATGTAATGCTGTGTGCGCTGCGCTGCGCTGTGCCGCGCATCTCACCGCATCGAGACCCGCTCATGCGCAAGGCGACCTCTTCTTCCCTTAGTTAAATTCGCTGCCTCGGGCCGCCTCCACATGTCAAGCAATCAATCAATCAATCCACAGCGGGACCATATCAAATTTTGGTCCTAGGCGCGGAAGAACCGAATTGGTCTGCCTCTGGACGGCACAACCAATCAACCGTCCCGGGAAAGTTCCCATCGTGTGCGAAGTTCCCTTGGTCCCAAATCACCCCTGGACGCTCCTACAATCGTGCCTAACATTTGGTATGATTGGATCCTGTGCTGACTCTCCCTCACCTTCTCGACTCCTCGGTGGGTAGTTTTGTGAAGGCAGGGGCCGGTGTAGGTTGGTCGGGGTTGTCCGTGTCGATCGGGTTGGCGCCCTGACCGCCGCCAAAGTACTTTTCAAACTCCTCGTTGTTGTCGCCAAACTGCCTCTTGCCCAACAGTCGGACCATGTCGTCCCGCACGAGCATCTCCTTCTTGAGGAGCTCCTCGGCCACGAGTCCCACCTCCTTCTTCTTCTCCGTCAAGAGGTCCTTGCACCGCTGGTAGGCCTCGCGGACGATGCGCTCGACCTCGCCGTCGATCTGGAGTGAAGTGGCCTCTGAATGACTCTTGGTCACGGCGTTGGGGTTGTCCTCAAAGTGAACGGGGCCCACCTTCTCGGACATGCCCCAGTCCATGACCATCTTGCGTGCCATCTGAGACACCTTCTTGAAGTCGTCGCTGGCTCCGGTCGTGACAGTCGGGAAATGGAGCTCTTCCGATACGCGACCTCCCATGGTCATGGCCATGCGGTCCATCAGCTGGTTGGTGTTCATGAGATAGGCATCCTGGGGCAAGTACTGGGCATAACCCAGAGCACCCTGCCCTCGAGGGATGATAGACACCTTCAGCAGCGGATCAGCGTGCTCCAAGAACCAACCGCAGATGGCGTGGCCGGCCTCGTGGTATGCAACAGTCTTCTTCTCTTCGGGCTTGAGCACCAGCGATTTGCGCTCAAGGCCACCAATAACTCGCTCGATAGCCTGCTCAAAGTGCATCATCTTGACCTCGTCGGCGTTGGCTCGGGCAGCTGTAGTTGTTAGCAATGTTCTTCTTGACCACTTTCCACTGTCGCATGTTCACTCACCAATCAGCGCGGCCTCGTTGACGACGTTGGCAATGTCAGCACCGGCAAAGCCAGGAGTCAACGTCGCCAAGCGACCAATGAGATGCTCCGTGTCCTCGTTGGTCACAATCTTCTTCAGGTACACGGCAAAGATCTCCTTGCGGCCCTTGAGCGTCGGGCGGTCAATGTAGATGTGCCTGTCAAAACGACCAGGACGCATCAGCGCCTTGTCAAGGACGTCGGCTCGGTTGGTGCCGGCAAGCACAACGACCTGCTCTCGAGTGTTGAATCCGTCCATCTCCGTCAGGATCTGGTTGAGCGTAGCCTCGCGCTCGTCGTTGCCACCGAAACCTCCCTTGCCTTCTTGACGCGAACGACCGATGGCATCAATCTCGTCAATGAAGATGATGCAGGGCGCGTTCTTGCGACCTTCGGCGAACAGGTCACGGACACGCGAAGCACCAACACCAACAAACATCTCGACAAACTCCGAGCCGCTGACACTGAAGAACGGCACGCCAGACTCGCCAGCAGTCGCCTTGGCCAGCAGCGTTTTACCAGTACCGGGAGGACCGGCCAAGATGGCGCCGCGTGGGATCTTGGCACCGAGCTTCTCGAACTTTTGGGGGTTCTTCAGGAAGCTGACAAACTCGGTGATTTCCACCTTGGCCTCCTCCAAGCCAGCGACATCGGCAAACTTGACGCCGACGGAGCTCTCGGCATTGAAGCGCTTGGCCTTACTCTTGCTGAACCCCATGATGCCGCCGCCACCACCTCGCCCAGCCATGTTCCTCGATGTCCAGATGATGATACCAACAAACAGGAGGGTCGGGCCGAACGCCAGGAATAGGTTGCCCAGCGTGCTGCCACCCTTCTCGTAGCTGACTGGGATGCGTTCGTTGGGGGGGATGTCGAGGGCATCCTGCGCCTGCTCCAGTTGGCGCTCAAACGACTTGATCGAGCCGATGGAGAAGGCGAGCTGGGGCTGCCCGGCCTGGGCCTCGGGCACCAGTTGCAGAAGGACCCTGCTGTCGTCTTCTACAACCATCTTGGTGACCAGGCCTTTGTCCAGATAGTTGACTCTGGCCTCTTGCCATGTAATCTCCTTGCTGACGCTGCGGTTAAACAGGAAATCGTACCCGAACATGATAATGAGGAGCAGCAGTATGGACTGCAGACTGTCACCCCATCCGCCGCCGCCGCCACCGCCGCCAAATGGCGAGCCGGGCTGTCCAGCTTTCCCCGGACGCTTTGCCTGCTGTTGCGAATCGGCGTCCGACTTACTCTCTTGGGCTGACCCCTCCTTGCCCTCCGATGTCTTGTTCTCCTCCTCTTTCTTTGGTTCCTCACCGGGCTTCTCATTTTGGTTGAAGTCTGTTGAGGGTTTCTTGTCGGTGTTCATCTTGCCCAGGGCGCCACCAGTCTGCGCATCGATCTCCGCGGCTCGTGAAGCGATCTGAACTGAGTAGCGCATAAGTCGGCCCTTGTCGATGATGGACAGCTTGCCATTCGTCCGTAGTTTCTGGATGACATCAACGGCCTCCTTTGGCACACCCGACTTCTCAACGAGGCGCAACACCATCTTCATCTGCTCAGTGTACGCCGGCGGGCCGTTGCTGAGATGGCGAACAAACGCCTCCATTTGCGGCTTGGAGAGGTACACCCAGCCCTCAGGCAGAGGCAATGACCACTCGTCTTCATCCTTCTTCGTTTCCTCCGTGGCAGGCTTGGACTGATTCCCGTCGTCCTTCTTGGCCTTGTCTTTGGGCTCTGATTTGTTGTTCGTCGAGTACGGGCGCCAAGGTGTGGTGCAGCGAATGGCCGATGGGCTGGGCGCTATTGACCGCGAGAGAATCGAGGGCTGGAGCGTTCGTCTCAACAGCTGGGGGTTCGATAGCCGTGCGAGGCGCGCCAGCTGCGCGGGTTGTCGTAGAAGTCGTGACATGGCGGCGCGCAGAGGTTGTTCGGCGAGGCGCGGAATCGCCGGTGATCACAGAGTGTACTGTCAGTGACGAGGGAATGTCTCTATACGTGGGAGGCGCAGTTATCGGAGAGTGTTGACAGCGTGAGACGAATCCTCCTGAGGGGAGAAGAACTAGAATGCAGCACCACCTCTTGCTGCGTCAATGGATGACACCACGAGGAAAGCTTTGGAGGTCTCGACGTAGAAAGTGTGGGTCTGGTCTCCTTAGCTCCGGATCGTCATGAGTCACGTGGGAGACTCGGGATCCGGATGCTGAGCTTCCCTTAACGCCGGCACAGAAAACGGTGGAAGCGAATGACAATTACTTGGCGACAACATGCTAAGGCGTTTTCGAAAGTCCATTGATTTGGCAGCTCAGTAAGCTACTATCTCGTCACTCATGTCTATGGATCCGGTGGGCTGCTGCACATATATCGCACGTAGCTGTCCACTTCCCTTGATCGGTAGTTTTCGCCCAAATCCTCCTTGGTCCTTGTCACTTGACTCGAGGATGATCTCGGTCTGCTCATTCGCATCTGGCTTAATATCCGGACAGTCCCTCCATAACTCGATTTTTCTACCGTCGCAGAAAGGGTGACGTGCACAATACTCGGCAACCCGTAGCGCTTGCGCATCGTCGCCAATCTCAAGTAAAAGAATGCGCGGATTGAGTTCCGATGCAACATCCAGTAGTCGGCTGTAGAAGATGTCATGTGGTTCAAGCCCTTCTGGAGCCTCGCCGAGATTTCTCTCGGGCACCAGGGCAAGGCGCGGCTCGTATTGCCGTACAGATGGTTCCAGATCCCCCATGTCTCCATTCCATACTTCTTCGGAAATGTATGGAGGATTCGATGTCATAATGTGCCAATTCTTATGCCTGGCTTTGCTGAACATACCTATGTCATCGTCTCTGAAAACATCGGCTTGATGGAATCCAATGCTCTGGCCTTCACGCGGACTGGCGATATTGCCCTGCTTCACGTTGTGGTCAAGGTTGTTATTGGCAAGCTCCAAAGCGTGTGGTGAAACGTCGATACCGTTTACATCAACCATGATGTTTCTCTGTTGCAGAGTCTCGAAAATTTGGAGCGGGATACATCCTGTTCCGGTGCAGACGTCGATGACGTTTACAGACTCTTTGATCTCATCCAAAGGGCCGATGACATCGTGAGAAATGATGAGGTTCAGTAGATGATTGGTATAGCTCTCGGTTGCTGCCCGTGGAATCAGAACATTGGGTCTACAGAGTATCTCCAAGGAGCCGAAGGGCTGTGTGCCTAAGATGTATTGCAAGGGCACGCCTTGGCCACGCTGTCGACAGAGCTCAGTCACAACAGCAGGTGCCTTTGCGGGCGAGATAGTCTTCTCAACATGCTCCCGAAGCCATCGCAACTCATTTCTGGCCGACTCTAGGTTCTTGCAGGTGGGAAGAAGTAGTGCTAGATTTGGCGGAATCGAGGGATTGGTTCGCAAAAGCGAAGAATGGCGTCGCAGAGGCAAGGTACGTAGTAGTCGGGATGTAGTAGGCCGGATCACGAGATGGCTCATCGCGCAGAGATGTAGGACGAAGCAACCGAGGTGAAATCCTCTAAAAGCGGCCTGTTAGGCCCGCGCGGTGGTAGTCGGATGCGGTGTGATGTTTCAATCCCGCATCAAATTGTAGTAGAGGTGTCGTGAGCTCGAGAGCTGATATCTGGTCCTGAATTTCGGGCACCTCTCTGCGCTAACAATTTTAAGGTCAACATTGTAATGGACCCATAAAAATTACCGCCCTCCTTCGTGCGACACACAGCTGAGCATCTCATCTTCAAGCAAGCTCTTCATCATAAACTCACGACACGAACCTTGCATCAGGTTGATTGCGACAAAACGACGACTCGTCTTGAGTACTGTTTCCTTCTCATTCGGCCATCTCCGCAACATTTTCTGTCACGAGGCGTCAGCTCTGCCCTGCCCATTTCACCCTTCCTTCGTCACTTGCCTACACTCAACCAAGATGAACGCGCCAGATAGGTAAGCGACGATTTTCACTTTAAGCATCTCGGGCCATTTTCGGCTCTCTGTGGGACTTGTTGTTTGCCGTCGATAGTCGACGACTTCGAAGACGGTCGGTCCCTTGTAGTGTACGCGGGTCACACATTCTCAGCAGACAGAATGCTCGGTGAATTAGGCGGTTGAATACGTGGAGTGGTCCCATGTCTTTGCTTTACCTGGGGTACTTAGCTGCAGTCGGGTAACAAGAAGGGCAAGCTCTACGATATAAGATACGCGCTTCTCCGCAGAAGGCATTGAGCTGACAACGCTAGGTTCGAGCTTTTCTTGCTCGGGGACGATGAGAAGAAGATCGAGGAGAAGGTGTACTCTGGTTCGTGCGCCCTCATCGCTGATATTGAGCAAAGCTAACTGCGATCTGAAGGCATGTCGAACACATCAGATTTCATCTTGAAGAAAGAGGATCACACGCTTGGCAATTTGCTGTCAGAGCACCTCAAGGCACACCCTCACGTCTACATGGCCGGTTACAAAAGTTAGCATACACTTTCATTGCCAGCCTGCTTCATTTCTGACATTAGTAGTCGCTCACCCGAATGTACCTGAACTATTCATTCGTGTGCAGACAGACGGAACGATGACACCAAAAGACATCTTTGTGGAAGTCTGCGGCAAGCTGATCAACCAACTCGAAGAGCTGAAGAGGAGATTCCTCACTGAGTGGGAGTTGCGTCGCGTCGTGGACCAAGGAGAGCAGGGCAACATGATGTGAAAAGAGGCAGGGAGTCGGTCGGATCTATCACACAACGGAGTTTGGGGGTTTTGTGTTCTTGGAGTTGGGTGTCACGGTCTCCTTATATGGCCAAAGTCACAGACTGCGCGAGTCTTGTCGCGTCAACGGGGGGCAAATGGACATGGGCCATTCTCGTATTTGATCTTTTTTTCTCTTCGTTGACCGATTGCATCTCGTGTGGACGACTTTCCCTATCCCTACGCACCCTCCGGCCCTTCACCGCCTGGGATCAGCTAGAGTGCATTGTCAGTTTCAATATCAAATTGCCGACGGGGGCAGCTGGACTGGACAGAACTCACCATGCATATGTTGTTTCCGTTCAAGAGGATCTTGGGCAATTTTGTGTGATTCCCTGAGTAGTCGCTGGATAGTTAGCGCAAGACTGCGAAGACATTTTAAAGGCTTCATACAACTCTGTTACGTCTTCCAACACCATGTCTGTATGCAATTAGCCCTGCTCATGTTTCCGGAGATTAATTCACTTACTGACGTAGTCGTCGAAACCCATGAGAGTGCCACTGAACTCTTCAGGAGGTCAGTTCAAATCCTGCACAATAGTCTGGAAACCTCTCTCACCCTTATCGCCCTTCATAATGACCCAGATCCTTGAGCCGACACATTTGTCGATGAGCTCTGCCAGACTCATTAGCATCTCCCATGCGCAGCGCCATGAGTGAGCTGCTCACCGAGGGGTAGTAGTTGAGAAGCCATTCCGCGGGGATACACGTAGTATTGTGTGGTGAGACACGACGAATCGACTTGGACACAGATCAAGGCTTTTTGAGAGCCCTTAATGTCGTAATGTTGGGGTTCGTGGCAGGATGGTTCGACTCCGATTCTGTAGCTCACTCGAACACAAGGTGGGATGTTCGATAGCTCTGTCTCTTCACTGAGATCACCGCGACCCCACGTGAGTTCGCGATGACGACTAAGCCAAATCCGGCCGCTACTACGTAGTCACGCGCCCGCGACGTGCCTCATTGACCTCAGCTCCGATGCTCCTCCACCCCACCTGCGTGGCTGCCTACGATAGCGCCCTTCCATGCCATGGCAGTCGGTCGTCATGCGTGGACGATCCGCAGAGCCGCCCATCGATCTTGGGTCGCCAAGTATAATTCCTCCTCACACAAGCTTTCGTCACGGTCATTGTCACTGTGAGTCCCAGTGCCCTCGTTTTGGCTCCCACTTCCTGACGTTATCAGTAGCTTCAAAACAAAGACCATGACGCCGTCCTGCGAGCTAAGCGGTGGTACGTGGCGGCAGCAGAATACTATCATCGCTCGTACGCCCCCTTCTGAGGCGAAGCCTCTATACCCTCATATCGATATCTCGCGGTACATAAACACATTTTCCCGACTATCTCATCGCGAAGACGTCTCGTCGCGCGCGACCGCAAACGACACTCAGAACGAAGCAGTATCAGAAGCGGAAGCTGCCAACGGTAGAGCAGGTGTCGAGGATACATCCAAAATCGAAAACGATGCGCGCGCAATAGCTGATGCGGAGATTGGCGACGTGCCCGTCCAAACTAGACTGGCTGAGCCGCCTCGAACTCAACTGCAATACCAGCTCGATGCGAAGGCTTTCCATCAGGCACGGAAGCTGTCAACTGGTCACCCTGACTCTTATTGGTCCCACACCATGTATCGAGGGCCGGTTGAAAGCGGCAAAGCACGACATGTCAAGGTTCATTACTGCACTAGCAAGGGAACCTCTGAATATGTGTGCCAAAAGTACTTTCTCGGCGAGCCAGTCCTGGGTTTCGACTTGGAATGGCTAGCTGGCGCGAGCAAAGACGATGGCACTCGGGCGAATGTATCGTTGATACAGCTTGCAAGCCCTAGTCGCATCGGACTGTTCCACTGCTCGCTGTTTGCAAAAGATGACTTTGTGGCACCGACATTCAAAGAGATCATGGAAGACCCAAACGTCTTCAAGACTGGCGTGGCTATCAAGGCTGACTGTTCGCGGCTGGCTAAGAACATGGGCGTGCAAACACGGGGCATTTACGAGCTGAGCCACTTCCACAAGGTCATCAGAAGCCAAATCGAAGGCACCTTCGGTCCAGTCAAGAAATCTCTGGTCCCTCTTCGTCTGCTAGTCGAGCAGTACACTGGCCTCCCCTTGTACAAGGAGAGCAGCGTGCGATCGAGCGACTGGACCAAGTCGCTAAACTCTCGGCAGATAAAATGTAAGGCTCCAAGCGACGGTTTTCTGCCTTGAAACTGACGAGATGCCCAGATTCGGCAGCAGATGCTTATGCCGGTATCCAGCTCTACCACATTCTTGAGGAGACACGCCTTAGCCTTGAACCGCCCCCCGAGCGACCCCGTGCGGCTGAGCTCGGATTGCCCTTGCCGCAACTAGCCAAGCCTTCAAACGCTGACGAACCCAGCGGGAATAGCTCCGAAGAAGATACAAACACAGCAGGGGTAGTCAAAGGACCTGAACAGCCTCAAGCTCGCAAAGTCCCCAGACCTAGCAAGAAAGGCGACGTCAAACCGAAGATCGTCGATAGCCGCATCGCCGCCGGTGAGCTGCTGGCTCAAAAATATCGCGAAACAAAATCGAGGCCCCTATCTGTAGGGCCTGCTGCCTTGCGAGCGTACTACATATGGCGCAGCAACGATGACATGACACCCGCAGCCATTGCGAAGTTACTCAGAGATCCGCCTCTGCAGACGAACACCGTCATCACATACATATTGAGCTCGGTCACGAGCGAGAAGCTTTCCTTTGACAAGCAAAGGATGAAGAATGAACTGCTGGTAGTTCTGGCCCCTGCGGCGCTCCAATCTCCCAAGTACCAGGCACTGGTCAAGCAATGCACGGGGAATTAAACATGGAAACAAGATAAGGCTGGAAGGCGGGATTTCGCCTCCAGACATGCATAATGACAACGATACCACAAAGACGATTTTCAGTACATACTTGCTTTCTTCTTCTATATCATGAATTAAGGATATCCCTGCCGCGATTCACCTGCACCCGCTTATCTTCACCACCACTGACAATGCCCCAGGTGCTGTCCCACGCGACGCTCAGCACCTTGGCGCCTTCGCCAGCCGTGGGCAGCTTCTTGTTCTTGAGCCATTCCCTACCAATGGTGTACACCGGCTCACTGAGCCGACCGCCGCCCTCGTCAGCCGAGCCTGTGCGGGCGCTGCGCAGGTCCCATACTCGACACGTGCTATCATGCGACCCCGACACAAGGGAGTACTCGTTGTCGGGCGACGCGGCTATCGAGGTGACCATGTTGACGTGCCCCCGCAAAGTCATGGCGGATGTTGTTGTGGCGGACTCTCGGGGGTCGAGCAAGGTGATGTGGCGAGCCGACGATCCAGCTGCCACCAATGAGTTGGGCAGCGCCGCCGCTGACATGATGGGGTGCATGGTCGTGAGCCTGGACACTTCCTGCTGGGTCGTCAAGTCAATCGTCTTGACAGTATGGTCCTTGGAAGCGGTGTACGCGACGGTCGAGTCGTGGGGGTGGAATACGGCGGCTGTCACGGGCTCGTCGTGAGCAGAGATCATGGCCAGCGGTCCGCGCTGGGCTGTCGTGGCAGAAGCAGCCAGCTTTGCTTTCTTGTTGCTGTGCGCCGCCGGCAGACTCTCCGGATCCGCCTGAGGCGCCGTCCTTTTCGATGAGGTCCACAGGCCAACCCGGCCGTCAGAAGAAGCCGAGAGGATGCGCCCCGTCGCGCCGTTGACTGCAATGTTGTTGATCGCCTTCTCGTGGCCCCAGAGCTCCATGCTCGGCTTCAGGGACCCGGAGAACCCATCGTCTGCCTCGCTGTAGTCCCAAACGACCAGTTTGCGGTCCAGACCTCCAGAAACAAGCTGCTTCCCCGAAAGCCATTTGACAGCATCCAATCGTGCGCTGTGACCACCGCTACGTCCAGATGAGGATACTGCGATCGCAGTCCCGGAGGGGTTCCATACCCTCACGAGGCCGTCGTAGGATGCGCTCGCTGCGCGGTTGCCGAATACGTCCACATCGCCAACCCAGTCGTCATGTTCAAAGCTACCCTCGTAGACGGGAGGGATCAAGCTGCGCACGTACTTGAGTGTGAGGGTCGTTTCGGCAGAGAGTCCTTCGCTGGCCAAGTGTTCCTCGACTGTTGTGCGGAGAAATGTGCCATTGGCAAGGAAATCCAGGGGTACGGGGGAGGACGTGTCCAGCATAGACGACGAGTTCAGGATTCGGGACAGGCCATAGCGTTTGATGTCGGCAGGCACGAGCAGCTGCTGCTTGGTTTCGGGGAGCGCGAGGTCTGGTTCGTCGGTGGTGAAGATCACCTTCACCTGCGTCGGTGAGGAGTCGACGTCCATCTTGCTGCTGAATCGCGGTAACAATGCAGTCGGTATATGTGTGCCTTGGAGTGACTGCGCGGAATGGATGTCCAGCTTGGCAATCCGAATATCGCTGTGTAGCAGCGACTGCTGGGTTTAGCAATTTTGGCTTTGCAGTGTTGGCGGAAAAAATTTGGGTGGAGCTGTCAGCCTCGCAGTGGTATCTCCACTGCGGGGTGACTAAGGAGCCAATAAATGTGCAATGCTGGCAAGGCTGTGAACTTTCGGCCTGTTCAGTACCGCTTCGCTTGTGGTTCGGACTTGAACCTCCAGAGAGAATCTATCAAACGAATGGCTGGCTTGATGTCTTTTGTGGCCGACGGCTTGATTTAGTTGCTAGAATGCGCCGAATGTGGCCTTTGTCAAAGTCACCAATGAATTGAGGGCCAAGGATGCGCCTTGACTTTCTGTGTGTGAGCTACCCTACAGCCGCAGCGTCACCTGTGTTCAAGATCCAAGGAAAGGTTAGCGCCAGTAGAATCTCTGAACTACTGTACATATGTGTTCAGAAGCTTCTTTTCTAGGCCTCTGTGCCGCCAGCCACTCACGGGGGAGGTTACCGACGGATTGGAATTGTCTCTTGTTCCCATGCCATGGCGTATAACCCGTTGCAAGACTTTTCCAAAGACTCGTAGAATTGTATTTTCCACAGGCAACAGGTAATCGATTCCCAGCCCCACACAGGGACGCAAGCTGCTCTACAACGTCGCCACTCGCAACGCAGAATGATGTCGATGGCGATGTCTGTCACTTCCTACAACGTCACAATATGCCTGAGTACGTGGGGGCGGGCCGAGCTGTGGGCCTTGGCAAACAGTAACAATGCATGCTCGACCTCTGACTTGCTGGCGACAAGTTGGCGACCGCGGGGCCCCGGGGAACGAACGTATGGAGAAGAACGGAGCTGAGCTGCTGGTTCGCTGCAGCTGAATGTTGCGAGTACGGGGCCTTTCTTTCAGGTTTCCAAGGCTGCCTGTAATTATGACAGCGTGTGAATATACTCAATTAGTAGTGACCTGGGCACATGACCAAGGCTTGGGGCATCCCCCGCACGGAACCATGGCGTCATGCCAAGTTGGAGAGGAGGGCCAATTGTAATGTGAGGAGTTGAGGGCTGTTTTGAGTTTCTCTTCAGGACACCACACAAGGTTATGCACCCTATGTGTTAGCCTAGATACTTGGCAGGTTGTTAAAGCCTGACAACGACAACTTTTGAAATCGAGGGGGACAGTTTGACCGAGGATTTGCGCGACATAAAGCGCCTGAGTAATATACACGGAATTGAGGCTGAAAAAGCTTTTCAGCAAAAGTGTCGGTCCGGAGAGGCCGCTGCAGCTGGCGGAAAAGGATGGCGAGGGGCGCCGAGTCCAGTGTCCTGAGTTGGTGGGCTGGGGTCAACAACTCCTTTCGGAGTATCCGTACTGCTTGCAGATTTCCTCGCCATTGTCGAACCGAAGATCTCTGCAGATGACTATTGCAACACCATTGAGAGGGAAAATTTGATCAAGAATACGGACATGGGTATGCGACTTCTCGAGAGTGAATTACCTGCTAGTTGGTGGAAGGTCGGCCGCTGCTTATTGTACCGCACACTTGTGCAGTGATGAATGATGCTATTCAGAGGATGCATAAGTTGATTGCCATTGCCTGAGGTGCCCAACAAGTGTCTCTGTCCGTCGTTGTACCGCTGCAAGCGCTTCTGCTCCAAGTTCACTCCAACTCCCCACTTTGCTCCAGGCTCTGTCTGGTTCGCTCTCCCTGGCGCTAACAATGAATTGACATTGAGGTGGCGTCTTAGCTGGGTTAGAGGCTGGATGTTCATGGCTGCAATTCATCACGGCAGCAGAGAATGAACTGGTTGTGCCGTCGCTGCAAGCCAGAGCCAGCGCCGGCGCCTACCCCACCCCAGTCCCTCCCACCTGCAGCCTCGCCCGCCCTCCAGTGGCGGCCCTCCAGGCTGTCTGTCAATGGATGCGGTCGCTGTGCCATCACCGTTCGCCTCAAGACGAGTGCGACATCGCTCTGTTGCAACCCACTCCTCCTCCTCCCTCTTTTCCTCCTCCTCCCTAATATTGCTCGCCCAAAGACTCGAACCCGACTTTGACCTGTGTTGGTTTGCATTCCCTGCAAGGCTTCATACCAAGCATTTGACAGCCTTCGATCCAGAGCTCAGGCCCATACTATCCGCAAGAGTATCCATCGCCGATCGGCCGGGGTAACGCGCAAATCTCGCTCCTTAGCAACGCCAACTTTCTGGTTGCCGTCTGTTTCTCTACCTAAGTAATTAGTCAATCGCCCTCCTCGATACCCTCTGCAGCTTCTGCCGATTCGAAGAAGCGTCGCGACAACTTTCAATCCCTTTCTGAGCCTGAGCCTTCGTCCCGCTTTGCCGCTCGAAACAGTCTCTCCAAGCGACGCTCGAGCTTACTACCGGCGCCATGGCTTCCGAAGGAGAGCAGCCGGTGCGCGATGTGAAGAACCACCTTCTGTTCGAGATCGCGACAGAAGTAGCCCACCGAGGTAGGAATTCTGCTGGTGCTGTCGCCAATCAGTCGTACTAATGCGGTCAACAGTTGGTGGCATCTATTCCGTCATCAAGTCGAAAGCGCCCGTAACGACCGCTGAGTATGGCGACCGATACTGCCTCATTGGGCCTCTCAACCACCAATCGGTACGGCAGCTCATTGTATAAGCGCATCATAAGTCCCCGCGCTAACAAAATGTTAGGCTGCTGTAGAGGTTGAGGAGATGGAGCCTACATCACAAGCTATTGCTGCCACCATGGCGAGCATGAAGGAGCGCGGCATCCACATTATGTATGGCCGCTGGCTCATTGAGGGCGCACCCAGGGTGCTCCTCATTGACACCAAGACTGCCTACGGTTATCTGAACGAGTGGAAGGCAGATCTTTGGAACGCTGCCAGCATCCCCAGTCCACCTGGCGATGACGAGACCAATGAGGCCATTGTCTTTGGCTACCTTGTAGCATGGTTCCTCGGCGAGGTTAGTTCTTGCTCGACCCCTTTGCTCTTGATCTGAGACATGCTGACAAGGTGCAGTTTGTGTGCCAGGAGAAGGAGAAGGCAGTCATTGCCCATTTCCACGAGTGGCTTGCTGGTGTAGCTTTGCCTCTCACCAAGAGGCGCAAGATCGATGTTACCACCATCTTCACAACCCACGCCACCCTCCTCGGCCGATACCTTTGCGCCGGTTCCGTTGATTTCTACAACAACTTGCAGTATTTCGATGTCGACGCCGAAGCTGGCAAGCGCGGCATCTACCACCGTTACTGCATAGAACGTGCGGCCACACACGCCTGTGATGTCTTTACCACGGTCTCTCACATTACGGCGTACGAGTCCGAGCATCTTCTCAAGCGCAAGCCCGATGGTGTGCTCCCTAACGGTCTCAACGTGACCAAGTTCTCAGCTGTACACGAGTTCCAGAACCTTCACCAGCAAGCCAAGGAAAAGATCCATGACTTTGTTCGCGGGCACTTCTACGGCCACTACGATTTCGAACCCGACAACACACTTTACGTCTTCACCGCCGGTCGATATGAATACCGCAACAAGGGTGTCGACATGTTCGTTGAGTCACTGGCCCGCCTGAACCACCGACTGAAGGCGGCTGGCAGCAAGATGACTGTGGTTGCTTTCATCATCATGCCCGCGCAGACCACCTCACTCACGGTGGAGGCTCTCAAGGGACAGGCCGTCATCAAGTCGCTGAGGGATACTACGCACGTAATCGAGCAGAGCATCGGTCGCCGCATCTTCGAGCGGTCCTTGAAGTGGCACGAGGGCGAGCCCCTTCCTGATGAGAAGGAGCTCATCTCCCCACAGGACCGTATCCTTTTGCGTCGCCGTCTCTTCGCCATGAAGAGGCATGGTCTCCCTCCTATTGTTACCCATAACATGGTCAACGATCACGAGGATCCCATCCTCAACCAGATCCGGCGAGTCGAGCTTTTCAACCACCCCTCTGATCGGGTCAAGGTTGTGTTCCATCCCGAGTTCTTGAATTCTGCCAACCCCGTCCTGCCCCTTGATTATGACGATTTCGTACGTGGTTGCCACATGGGCATCTTCGCATCCTACTACGAGCCATGGGGCTACACCCCTGCGGAGTGCACTGTTATGGGCGTCCCCAGCATCACAAGCAACCTCTCCGGTTTCGGATGCTACATGGAGGAGCTGATCGAGAACTCGAGCGACTACGGTATCTACATTGTCGACCGCCGGACCAAGGGTGTGGATGACTCTGTCAACCAGCTCACCTCGTACATGATGGACTTTTGCAACAAGAGCCGCCGACAGAGAATCAACCAGAGGAACCGCACCGAGCGCCTCAGCGACCTCCTGGACTGGAAGCGCATGGGCATGGAGTACGTCAAGGCCCGCCAGCTGGCCCTGCGCCGCGCCTACCCCACGTCCTTCAGTGGCGACGAGGAGGACGAGGAAGGCTTCTTCAGCGGTACCGATGTCAAGATCTCGCGACCCTTCTCCGTGCCCGGGTCGCCGCGTGACCGCACTGGTATGATGACGCCTGGCGACTTTGCCAGTCTCCAGGAGGGACGCGAGGGCTTGAACACGGAGGATTATGTCGCTTGGAAACTGCCGTAAGTCCCCTTTTCTCCCCCAAGCCTTGAATGACGCATCCCATGCTGACAATCAAATGGCAGTGCCGAGGAGGATCCCGACGAGTACCCCTTCCCGCTTACTCTGCGGACGAAGCAGCAGCAGCAGCAGCAGCAGCAGCCTCCCGGCTCAGGCCAGCCACAACAATCTGCTGGAGCCCCAATCAACGGCAGTTAAAGTTAGCCGGCCACCAGACGCCGTTATTGGATAGCTCCAGCTACGATCGGCATGGGGCGTTTGGGGTGACGGGGCGATCGCTTTGAGTGAGGAGAGAAAGAGTTTGCATCTTGGGGTTTGTTTTCCCATATCATTTCCTGTATAGTGGAGAACCGGTCATGGGTAGTATGATTATTGGTAATCAGTCATTGCGTAGCACTCAGACAGCAAAGATTATGGAATACGGCATTGAGCATTAGTTCAGTTTCATGATGTTCGTGTCTTTGCTTGCGTACTGTTGGCTATGGAGGACCTTCAAGGGGCGGGCGGCCGACGAGGCGAGAGACCCGCCATAGGAGAGATTCATCAACTCTCCATCAGAGGAAGATTAGCTTGCCATGTATCGACATGATCGAACCGTGCGAGGAACTCTACGTCGACTGCTATCGTGCCAACGCAGCGTCAGATGATAACATGAGTTGGGATCGTTCTCAGACTCGGATAGATTGTACATGTTCAAAGGGCGAGCATGGGCCACGGCCTGTTGATAAACGACAATCTACGGATATTGGCTAGTAATATATCAACAAGGTCCTGGAGCAATCAGGCCAACTAACAAGCCAACTTTCCGCAGAGTCGCAGACCACCCGCTCTGTGTGCAATGACCTGTCACCTTCAGGCCAAGCATGCAAGTTCGTGTCATGTTGATAGATCGCTCCACCTGTATGTAATTGGCACAGTCTCCAAAATCACTAGCCGTCCTACCGGCCCTCTAAATATCTTTGATGAAATCTCCTCCAGGGACAATGCGCAGGAAACACCGTCGATGATCTCGCCGATCGAAACATTCCACGATCAGAAACTAGACGCTCAATGCGCGAGGGGCCCAAGGGCCAACATCCCTCGCGAGTTGCGACCAGCCCATTGGTCTGTGATGCTTTATTAGTACCAGAAGACACCTTCCAGATCGAAATGGGGCCAGCGTCACACTCGTAAAGTGGAACGACTAACGCCGTTGCCCGCCCGCGTACCTTGCATATCCGTAGCATCTGCAAGGAACGCTTCGATCACCAGGCAGGCCCCGTATGTACGCGTGAACGTGATGGACCGCCAATGACCCTCTTGGTATCCTGCGTCACGAAGGGAGAAGGTGGTCATAGCAGTTCTGTTCTATACAAAGAAAATATTCGGATAATACAGTGTACGTAGCATCACAGCGCTGGCGCGAGCGCAGAATATGGCTCGCGCCAGGCGGGAATAGCACTGCCATCCGCTGGTATTGATCATCAAAAAAGGGTCCCAGGCTATCCCAGCATGCTGAAAGAGAAAAAGAAAAATAGTGTCGGTAGACATTAGTCTGAGTCGGCAGGTTTTCTAATGATCCACCACGCGGTGGATGTTTGGGTTTGACTGAGGTCCATGTCGTGTCTCAGGAGAGTCGGCGGGTCGTGATTGGGACAGGGGTATCTATTTCTCTAGGCGAAGCGGCTGGGTGGACGAGCAATCGAACCAACATCCTCTTCTTTTCTCCCTCTTCCGCAAGGTTGAAACGGAATTCCCTTGGAGTGAGCAAGTGCCAAGTTTAACTTTTCACAGACATGCAAGTATCCTGACCGTGTGTTGGCAAGTGGTTCAGAAAGATCAGGGATACAGAGAAGTAGACCTCTCAAGCGTGATTTGCCCTTGATTGCAGACAATGATCAAACAACCTGGGGTCGAGATCACTGGATCACAGACGACCCCCTGCACGACGACATCCCTACCCGCAGCGTCTGTCGCCGAGTGCCAAGACGACATTGCAATACGTACTGTACGGTGTACGGAGTACTTGACCTCGTATCGCAGAGCGGAAGGAACTGGTCAATGCGAAAAATCGTGAATAGGATCTATGTGTCCTGTCGAGAATCGAGAGCCCGCTAAAACCTCAACCAAGCACGTGGATCTGCGTCCTCGTTGAAATTAAAGTCATGCGCGCTGGGCAATTGGCGCGAGTCAGGCGGAGGCTATGACTTGCATACAGCGCGCCACTTGTGGCCCTCAAAAACGCAGGGGAAATTTGACGGCCCAGACTATCCTTCAATGCCTCAAGGCGAGGAATCAACACTTTCGTCAATGGGGCCTGTGATGAGGCATTCTGTGAGACTGTGAACGCCGAAAGGCGAGTGCTCAATGGCACATACGCGCCGCCATTTCGTAGCCGCCGCCGCGACGCGCTCTACAACTCAGTACACCATGATAGCGACTTCATTTTACTTTGAATTTGTTTTACTTGGCACGGTCATGATGAGTACAGTGACATGCAAGCCCTGTGGGTCTGAGTGGTGTCACTCAAGCCTGTCAAAGGAGGGTTTCACATAAAACAGCTGACAGTTGTTGAATCATATTAGAAATTGTGATTATGTCTACCTTGGTATCATGAGGATGTGAGAGGGCCAATCTTATCGGCTAAACAAGGATCGTAGCGCTCCTCCAAACGCCTGGCCTAGGCAGCACGCCTTGCCACAAAAGGTATCATCGAAGCCTCCGGAACGCCGTGCGAAAAACAGCTGAATGGTAAATGAAATGCAAAGGGCAAGGCAGACTATGCCTTGCGTCGCCCAAGTGAAATGGATAGGCCGCGTAGTCGTGAATGGCCCTTTGAGAGCCTTGACGAAACTGGCGTGGTGGGAACGTCCTCGGGGATGGGTGGTGGCTCAACCATGACAGTCCTCCTCCTGGTGGCTTTCAAAGCTGCTTCTGGATCGGGAGAGGAAGTCTGACTGAAAGGTTCCACGGAGACTGGACGAATGGCAAGATCACTGGATGACTGACTGGCGGCCTGGTTCAAATGCGGCTTGCTGCGCTTGCGGGCCAGAGACAAGGTTCGCTTCAGCATGGAGTTGCTGCTTCCCTTGGGTGTGCGAGGCCTGTCAGGGTCATGCGCATGTTCTGACTCGGGCCTCGAAGGGCAAGGGTCGATACTGAGGAAGGCAGGCTTGTGCCTCAGGGGGCTGCCCATAGCCGTGCTCGATCGTGACACCGTGCTGAACCTACTTGACGAGTGTGTGGAAGAGAACGATGTTCGTCGATTGGGCGTAATGGGTTCTGTTGTGGTGCGTCGGACTTTGCGTGGCTGGGAAGGGTTGCTGTACATTGTTTCCGGCGAGGTAGGCCTCTGGGGAAGTTCGACAATAGACGGCTTGCCCCAATAGACAAAGTTGACCACGCGGGCTGTGTCCTCTTGGCTTTTGCGTACTGGCGTCAAAGGGTCCACCTCAGTGTCCGAGTCAAAGTCATTATCGGAGAAGTCATCCGCCGATGAGGAAGCTTCTTCCTCCGACGAGAGGTAGACCTCATGCGGCGGATGTGAGGGCGAGAGAGGCGGCTGTTCGTCGAGGAAACCTGTCTTTGGGTTGATAGGCTCGAGGAAGCGCGATGCACGTCGGTTGCTTCTTTGTGGCAACGCCGGTGCTTGCTGGATTGTACTCATGTTGTCGGGCGCAGCAGGGGCGATCATCGATGTGAAAGAGTGTGGAGAGGGTGAAGAGACGATTGCGGCGAGGGAGAATTTATCATTCGTAAACGTTCAGTTTAAGTAGGTAGGTCCTGCCTTTGCGTTGTTCGCACCAGGCCTTGATGCGGAATGTGAATGACGGATAACGAAAGTTCTCAGCGGAACAAGATATGCGATGAGGCAATAAAGCCTTTGTAGACAGAAAGTGGGTGAATAGAGTCAAGTTCCCTGGCGAGGAGGTCCTGAGACACCGACAGGCTGGGCCAAAGGGCAGTCGACCGTGTGTAAGTGGTAGGGTGGGTGTCTTTGAAACTCCAGGTTCAGTGCCAAAGGGCGAGCGAGTACTGTGTGCGGTGCCGGCACACACAAAGACTGGTGAATATGTCGGCCAGCAGACAATGAGAATGGAAGCTCGAAGAGAAGAAAGCTCCTTGGCTCATGAGAACAAGATCAGATACTTTGACAATGAATGGGACATTGGGCTGGACAGGCGCTGGGGATGGCGGGTGCATTACACTTAAGAAAGGACTCGTCCGTCAAGTGGTTGGCCCACACTTGCAGGATGAGGCTGCACGTGCGAGCTTGGCAGCGGTGCGCACTGTGTACGCCGATTGGAAGGGGTTCCCAGCATCCTCCTCGATTGGCCGGCACGCCAGAGGCGCCACAATAGCCGCTCTTGGCATACTGCCAGCTGCAACTGGCTCTTTCCCTCCCGCTCCTCAACGCGTTTCACATCTACGAAGTACGAGGGCCCAAGCCGCCAGAGGGCAGGAGCCAAGATGCCAGGAGCGAAAGACGCCAATCCCGAAGCAAGCAGGAGTCTCCCCTCCGTGCGGTAAGGAAAGGCAAGACAAGATAAAGTCCACCGCGTCGCATGACTTGCAGGTGCTGGATAAGGTAGGTGGAATCTGGCATGTTGAGCATGGGTTCCCTTCTGTCGTTATCATCAACAGCTGGAGCTGCGAAGATCAAGCGCAACACTAGATACTTACGGTGTCGGGCCTGAGTATGGCCTTCAGGGCGGCTCGCCGATCTCACCTCGAAACAATGTGCTTACACGCGAGACAAGTATCACCAGCAGCCGCTCATGATCCGAGCATCGCAGGAGCATCGCAGGAGCATTCCTAATGCCGACGAGCAGAGATCACGAAAATCATTGCATTCATCGAACGCCGTTCATCGTCGGTTGATCCTCTCTGTCTACTCAAAAGCTATGCGATAATGCAGTATTGTCTTGTCGCTCCACTCGTAGACCGACAAGGACGTACGCTGATGACAGGTAGCTCGAACGCTATAATGATATTACCAACAACACATTAACGGTGTCGCTGCAACCTACCAAGGCCTCTCCGTGATTGGCTTTGAAGCCATACACGCCGCCGGCAAATGTCAATTGCGGTTTCCAGACTGCAAGGAGCTGGCTCAAGCCATGCAACAGATTTCCAACCCTGTTTTGCACTCCCCCCCTGAGATAATGGACCTGAACAGCAAAGTTTGACTATCTTGCTCAATACTAAAGAGCACGGCG